CTTACCAAAAACCCCTGGCTGTGTATTTTTCTTGGGTGGAGGTATCCCAAAGAATTGCTGCCCAATCCTGTCCAAGTACTGAAATATCAACACAAATCTGAAGTTCTAACTTGTAGAATAAAAATAAAGAAACAAGTTGAAAGCATAAATAAATAAATATCTTAATATTACACATTTCAAAACACCACACCATATTTTCAAAACTTTTTTCAGTTTTAAACACATTTATATTGGTACAAACTCTTAAGCCACCACTTCATGAAATTTGACATAGATATAAGGTAAGTTTTTTTACGTGTCCAGTAAGTGTTACATCTAATTTATTACCCCTACATGTATAAATTATGCAAGGCTTTAATCAATTTATGACACCTGAGGACACCATGTAATTTAAGGTTATCTATTTATCTTTTTTAGACAGAGCTTAGTTCCTGCATCGAATGGTCTACTGCATTTATGGCAGCCAAACTATGATAAATAGGATGACAATGACAAATCACTTTCACAGTTTCAAAACCCTTGTCCCCTGGATGAAAAAGCATTTTGGCAGCTATATTCATGGGAACAAACACTGGTTCACATAATCACATATAATAAGTGTATTGAAATAAAAAAGAAACCGGAGATATGCCGCCAGACATTCGTTTTCAGATGATACCTGGTGATAGGATTGCTAAGTAAACAAATTAAGATCGAAGAATTGTTATTATAATTCTTTTCAAAACTTCTTTATCTACCCACTTGTTACAGTCACCATAACATTATGTTGTCACAAAAAAATTTGGTAAAATGCAATATCAAAACAGCTATCCCCATTTGTTCTTGACGATGCAATGATAATTTTTAACCTACCTGAAAGTAGCATGGATCCCTGTCTAAACTGAGTTTGTACTGTTCACATAAAACAGTGAAAAAAGCCAATTTTCCACTGAAATTTTAAAGGAAAAAAATTTTAAGAAAGATCCATGTTATTTAATCTCATAAATCAAAACATTTAGCTGAATAACGAAAAAATCAGTTTATCAATAGTTACACAATCTTTCTTTACATTGGTTTAGTAAATATGGTAATAAATAAAAATTAAAATTTCACCTGATATGTTATCCTTAATCTTAAACTTTTACACTTACCCTTCTATGGCCAAAAGTAAAAACCAAAGAAAGTTAAGCAATGGTAATAAATATGGTGGCCCTTTTTTAACTTCTGGATGCTGCCTTGCATATGCATAGAATGTCACTGTAGCCGTGGCTTTATTCTTGAGACAAAGATATCTGGTTGAAAAAAAAAAAAGAAAGAAAGAAACCTAAGATTGCAAACAATCAGACTAAGAGTTATATGCTTTGATAAATATAAATGGGAATAATCTGAGATACTCCAAAGTCTGGCCACTCAATGTAAAATCAACAAAGTTTTTCAGAATTTGGAGGGGAATGGGGTTAGAATATAATGGCAAATTAGTGAGTGCAGTGCAGCTAAAAAAAAAATGAGAATTTATCCACAGATATTTTTTTAGTTTTTTCTTTTAAGTTCTGCCAAATAAGTCCATTCATGACAGTACAAATTAACCTTGTTACTTGTGTGACTACTGTACTGCTTTCTAAGACAACACTCCTTGCGCATAGAATTTTACCCTTATCACAAAAAAAGTTAACCCCTCCTCAGGTGGGTAATTGCACAATTTCTTATGTCACAGAGTCCAAAATTCTCATCTAAGGCTATCCTGAATGATCCCCATTTTAGCCTTAATTAACACAGCTGTCTTCTGACTACCTTCAACAGGCTTTGTTATGCAACACTGCCAAGTGGCACTACAGTTGCCCGTGTTACTCCTTGGAGTTTAGTGGATACCTTCTAACCTTGAACTTTTACTTAACCCTAATAATTTCCCAATGTTTTTTTTTTTTAATTATTAACTGAAGGAAACAACAGTTCAGTTTAAACTTGAACTTCCAAAAACCTGTACATGTACTTTAGTCCTGGGTGGTTAAACATTTTAATTTTAAGATGTATATGAAGTGAGAGTATAATACACCATGTAACATATAAGGGTTATTTGACTAGTTCTATTTTCTTACACAGCACAAATAAAATACAAATACAACAAAAAAAAAAAAAAATGAAATTAATCTCTCATATGCAGAAATGAGGCTTTAACCTGGACGTTCTTCAAAATTCTGGTCATAAATGTGACATACGTTTTTTTCTCTTGTATTAGTATGTAAGGCACAGAAAGTAAGCAGAAAATATCTGTACAAATATCATGTTTTCAGGAAATAATGCATGGAACTCTGTGATATTAATAAGACACCATGGTGGCAATTAGTTGGCTTTGTTTGCAATGATTTAATATTAGTACTCTTAATATGCATCTTTAAAAATTAAACAATCATATAATAATTAACTTATTTAGATATCTTATCTGGGTTTTTCAAGGAGCATAATGCTTGAAATTGATTTAACTTAAACTTACTGTAACACTGCTTGAGCTATAAACATATCCACTTCAGATGGGTAGCCATGAGTAATGTGATACTCTACCAACATTGCAGCACAGCCTTCTCCATCATTAGAATGCACAAAATGATACCTTGCTTCTGGGTAATTTTTTTCTGAATACAGATGAATTGCAAAATACAGTTAAGTGCATAATTATATAAATTTTCAAATAACAGTGATACAACAAACTGTCCTCTGTTAACATATCATGTACTTTCTATGATGAGCAGTAAACACATTTCAGTTAGGCAGTTATATCTGACCACAGAGGAATTTAAATGTTCTTGAGAAAAAAAATGAAAATCTTTAAACTGAAAATGGCTATTTCTTCAACATCATTTAAAAGCTCATATAAAAGAGATGTTTAATTAATGTTATCAATAAAATGTAATCCACAAACAACTGAAGATATAACACATACCTTGCCATAATGTGACTGCAAACTGTTTATGTAAAGCCGGATGTCCAGAATTTGATTCACAATTACTTCCTTTGGACCACTTCAATGCTTTGACAACAAATGTTGGTCTATCAGGTGACTCTGGATCAATCATTTTGTGCAGAATTCCAATTTTTTCTGTAAAAAGAAAAAAATTCTGATTAAAAAACAAAATGTAAAGTATCCTAAATAATTGGATAATGAAAACTGTTGTAAAAAACCTGGTTAGGCAAAGAAAAACTTTAAGTATATATATATACACCTTTGCATGACTAGTCTATAATTATTTATAACAACTTTGGATCTAGTTAAGGACTTGATAAGTTCTTTTATCTAATCTGTTACTGTATAACAAAATAAAAAAACAATATATATATATATAGTTAAGTAAATATATATATATAAAATAACGCAAATGAATTCTATCATCTTTTAATGACTTGTAGTACTTACCAAAAGTGTCATCATTTCTTTCTGTATCTGATGCATTTAATGTTTCTAATAACAAGAGAGAAAGGTCTGACCCACTTGTTATCTGTAATTAAAAGTGTCTTGGTATATAGTTATTACCATTTTATTCAATCCATTAAACAATGGCTAAAAGGTGGAGGCTCATTGTGAGCTGTTGAAATGTCAGTCTTTATTGTCTATTTATGAAAAAACAACATTAAAACTAAGGACAATCTCTACTGAGAAGAACACTGTTCATTTTAAAAATGTCACCATTTTTGTTACCTGATTATGCTCCAAAAGTAACTTAGCTCCTGAGTAAAGTAAATCTATGGCTTCTGCATATTTTTTCTGTGCATTATACCTGTAAATAGAAGTAAAAATATGTGAATAAAAATATTCTTCCCTGTCATTGCATTTCACTGATATAATGGTCTGGGGTCTTTTATATTCACTGTACTTACTAAATGTAAAGATCCCAGACTGGTTCAGGCAGCACTAGTTGTTAGTTTTAACTAACAACTAGTGCTGCCTGAACTAGTTGTTAGTTTTAACTAGCTGCCATAAAAAAGCCCCCTCCCCCAAGTTCATCTTGTTTTTTCATTGCCTACTGCTTCTCAACTACTGAATCCGAAAATGACCTGTGATGACACATTGATGTCCACTTTGGGACATGTTGGCATTTAATAACATGACTGACACCAGTGGGCACTATCACATGGGCAATGTTGTGCAAATCTGGGCAAGGTTAAAAAGAAGAAAATTTTCAATCTTAAAAAATGGCAATCATGGTGTCACTAAAACATGAATACTTTTTACCTGAGATAGCTAAAAATATAAAACGCCCCATTAATACCCAGATATCTGACTATTTGTGCAATGTGTTTACCAAATTTCAAGTCTAGCATTATAAGACAAAACTGTGTGTTAAGTTGTGAACAGACGAAGGGATCGTCAGAAGAATCTCTCACCCATTCTCTTAAAACACACTGAGGGTGATAATAACTAATCTATTAATTTAAACATCCTTTTTTCATTGATTGGTGGGACCAAGGTTGAGTTGATTCCCCATCCATTTATGGTCTTTTACTTCTGCGCTTTCACTTATAAGTTAAACACTGTAAGATATTAATGTGACGTGTACTTTCACATCCTTTGAATAAGAAATAACCCTTTGTTAGATGTCTACGATGCAAAATAATAAGGAACAGCTATCCTGTACCTAAAATAAAGCGTCCTGTACATTTGATGTGCCTCATAATACTTCCCACTGTCCACCGAATCTTTCAGTTTTTTTAATATTCTTTCCACACCTCGACAGTTCGCCATTGTTATTGATTTCCGGTTCCGGTTCGGCTGCAAACCGTGTAAAATAATATTCTCTGCACACAAGATGCTATACAATGTAGTTAATAGTTGTTGCTATACCCAATGTCATTACAAAGAAACACTTTTATTATTACTAATGGACCCACATGAAAGAAAATGATTATAATTTACGAAGAGCGGTGTTAAAACGTCGAGAAAGAAGACCCCAAGGTACCGCTGTCTTCGGGGGAAGAGTTCTTTTTCTTGCAGCCTCGTTTTGATACGGTGCTTGTGCTTTGTCTTTGAACCATCCATTTTGCTGTTAGCAGGAGTCAATGAACTGTGCCCAAGGGGGTAATTGCAGAAGCTCGTTGGAACGATCAAGTGAAGTTTGAAAGGTAAGAGAAGTTTAGTAAATGAAGATATTGACCTTTTAACCCCACAACCTCTGGAGTTTTTAATTGTAATATTTGCTGTTGGAAAACCTGTTATCCCCCCTCATTTCCGCTTACCTCCAGCACTCATCAACTAAACAGTCACACGCACAATCATCTGGAAACCTGAAAGTTTTGGACAGGGCGGCAGAAAGGCTACGGTGTTAATGTGTTAAATTTGTCAGATAAACAGTCATCCGCGTTTTGAATATAAAGATTGATTGGAAAATTTTAATTAATAGGCATTAGTTATATTAATATAAAATTGGTGATATAAAATTAGAGTCGTAGAGCATTGTGGTAGTGTATAGCCAGATTGTCAAGCTTTTCATACCTTTGGCTGAGGGTGTTTCTGAAGTCTGTCTGAATGTCATTTTAAAATGAGCATTGTAATTTTCTTGGCAGAATAAACATTATTTATAGAAAAGAAAGGTGTTCACCTTGTTTCTTTGTCACAATTTCAGCAAGATGGATGATGACATAATAATTGAATCCAGCAGTTCTCCAGCTACTCCAATGGTAAGCAACCCTGGGACACCTAGATCTGTTACTGAGGAAGTAAGAGCCACACCCCCACCTCCTCAACAACAGCAGCAGCAGCAACAACAACAGTCACAGGCACAAGTGCAACAACCGCAGCAGCAACAACATCATCATCACCATCAACAACATCACCAGAAGTCCTCATCTGGACATCACCATCATCATCACCACCATCAGCCACCAAGGAGTAAATATGCCCAGCTGTTGGCAGTTATTGAAGATATGGGCAAAGATATAAGACCGACTTACTCTGGAAGCAAATCTTCTGCTGAAAGATTAAAACGTGGGATTGTTCATGCACGCATTTTGGTTCGAGAGTGTTTGATGGAGTGTGAAAGAAGTGCTAGAACTTAGTTCACATGGATCTTTGTAAGGATGTATTCCAATACCCTCAGAACTTTGCAGACTTGTTTTGAGGTTGCTGGTGCAACATAGAGTATTAATTATTATACAGAACTCTTGTCAGAAATAGAGTAATTATGTGAAGATAATTCAGAATAAAAAACAATGGCAATGTAGGAATAAATGTGATCAGAGCTGGTTGACCACCATATTGGAAGTGAACGTGTAGGTTTGTGCTTCATTTTGTCTTATTTAATCATGATAGGATATATTTGTCCCAAATTATATGGTTGATTTAAATGGAAAATTAAAATAGAAAAGGTGCAAGTTTTATGGCCAGCATTTTAGATAAATAATTTCTTTAAAATATATTCAGAATATAGCTACCTAACATGTTTTACATTCAGTGGCTTTTACCTGTCGATCTACAAAGACTACAAATTGAATATTGAAATATGGATGCTGAGGAATTATGAAAAAATTTTATGGTTAGTTAAGTTTTAAATGTGAAATGATAATGTGTAGCAAAATTTATTAAGTTTAAGAGCAAGAGAGCATATCCTTAATATAGTAATGTTATTATTGTAGACAAAGTTGTTACTATGTTCTCAAATACAAAATGACAAAACTTGTATAACATTATTCCATTTAATAAAAAGTATGCGTCAAAGATATAGTCTTCTTCTGATTCTTTATTTTCCACATTCCACAATATCTGTAACATATTCGTGATTAATTATCTGTGGGAATGTGATGTTATGTCTTAACAGATGCCTGCTGACAGTATGGATTTGGTGGCATTTCATACTGATTTCTTCCATGTTGGCACATTAATGTAAATTTGCAGAAGTAATACTAATTATCTTAAATTATCTGATCATGTTGTACAGCTTAGACTCTTTTTCTGACAAACACCTGCTAACGTAGACAATGGGTGTGTTGGGGGGGGGGGGGGGCAGGTTGTGATATGTCCTGGAAAAAACTGGGAATTGGACTTGTGGATAGTGTACTAACTTGGAATGTATTTCTCTTAATTTTTTGAACCAAAGCTTACAGTGATACAGAGTGGAAACAAAAATTTTGTCAGGTCAATCTGTAAGTTTACACATCCTTCAGAGCAGTAAGACTGATCTCTTACAAAAGAGTAAACAGACTTCTCATAGCATGTTCATAAAACAAATTTTCATCTCATTTTTCACTCTTGACTGTGAGAAAACTACTTTGTAAAATTTTTGAAGATTTGATATAATGCATTACAGCTATTAGCAACACAATGACAAGTTGTACTGAGTGAAAGGTAAATAATGGCAGAAGAATGGAGCACAACCCCAGAGATCATACCTCTCCACACTGTGGATACAGAATACAGTGCCGACTCTGTTGAATGGTGCCCCATAGAAGACTGTGAGCATGTATTAGTGTGTGGAACCTACCAACTGGTAGATACTGAAAACAATGACAAAGAATTAACAACATGTGCGGAAAGTGACTCTGTAAGTAAATGTGTCTTGACAACAGCTAGTGCAAGACTAAAACTTTCTTCTCTGTTAAATTGTCTCCAAGTTTTTTCTTTTCATATTTTTGTTTTCTTCATGGAGAAGATTTTCAAAGCTCTGAATGCTTAAATTGAAACCTGTATTTCATAATTATAATTTTATTGCAGTGGAGTTGCTCTTTTGAAATTTCATTATGTTTCACTTTGCTGAAAATATTTTACCTTTCTTACCTGAAATCTTATAATGTAATTTGTTTTATTTTCTGTTAGGATGCCCCTGCAAGAAGTGTGACTGAAATACCACGTCTTGGAAAACTTCTGCAGTACAGTGTTTTATATCAAGATGGAGACACGGAATTAAAAGAAGTCAAAAACACCGAAGTTGCTGCCATACTAGATATGAAATGGAATCAGTTTAAAGTGCAAGAAAATATCATATTTGGGGTAGTCAATGCATCAGGAGAACTGTGTTTACAAAATTTAGTGGAAGGTATATTACAACCTCTTGACAGAGTGAAGATAGGAGAAGAAAGATTGGCACTCTCTCTTGATTGGTCCAGTGGAACTTTTCCAAGGTATGTCAGTCGGGTATATATAGTTCTCAAATAAAGATTTAAATCCAGATCAAATTAATTTTCATGAAAAAAGTGGTACGCATTTCATGGAGTGGTGTATATATAAGTTGGTAGAGAAACCTGCTAGATCAAGAGAATGTCCAAAAACACATGATAAATGTATTCTGATTTTATCATTATGAACATACTAGTATGGAATTGCATTTTGTAATTTTATTTTTCTTACATTATAGCAATGATCCCAGTGTTGTGGTCAGTGATTCAGCTGGAGTGATAACCTTGTTAAAGCTGTCTAATGAGAAGCTGGAGAGCATGTTACAGTGGAAGGCCCATGACTTTGAAGCATGGATATGTGCTTTTGATTATTGGAATAGCAATGTAGTTTATACAGGTATGACAAATCCTGGAGCCAAGTGTGAAAATTGGTGACAAATGTTACAAAATACTATTACATTGATACTAAAAGAAGAGAAAATTGCCATTGTCTGTTTATAGAACTTCTCACTGAATATGTTACTTAATGATGTTCCAAGAGATATGTGTGCATATTTTGTATTTTGCAAAAAGGTGGTGACGACTGTAGATTAAAGTCTTGGGACCCTAGAACCAACTGCTCCCAGCCTGTCCTTACCAGCAAAAGGTATTCCAATTCTTACTGACTGGAATTTTGGTACTTTAATACAAGATGAATTACCATTTAACTAATGACCACAACAAAACATATTGATGAAACAGCTTTTGAAAAGAAATACCTTCCCTTTAGTAAGTAGTAAGGTTATTTGGATTTAGAAGATGGGAATCTGTATACATTTTCCTGTTCTTTCTATTTGTATCAGTTATGTTACATATTCATACTGCTAAATTTTGCTGTCATTCAGGCATTCCATGGGTGTGTGTAGTATCCAGAGTAATGCTAAGAGAGAACACTACCTAGCCACTGGCAGGTAAGATGTGTGTTGAGCTTCTAAGTTCTATACCACCACAATATGCTTTTATTAATTTTCTGACAATATTAAGATAGCTATAGTGACACCCATCTAGATCTGCATATATTTTGGATAGGTGATAGCATTTTTCTCAAATTCCCTAAACAGCACTCCAAGTAATAGTTTATTTGGAAATAGCCTCTGTTGTCAGCTCCATTAGTTAGTTCCTTTTTAAATGCTGATGGAGAGAGATCCTAACAAGTTTATTGTCTATCAAGCATAGTAGAAAAAAAATAACTATTATTCTTTTAACCTCTGGGTATTTGGTTGGTGAAATCATCTTGAAGTTGTCCAAATGCTTAACAGGCCAATAGATTACAATCATTTTATGCAAACCCATTAGAATTTCTGAAGTAGAAGATGCAGTTGCCCTCAGTAAACTTACAAATGCTTCTTCACATTTTGTGTTTCAGCTATGATGAACACATCTTGCTGTGGGACACCAGGCTTATGAGGAGTCCACTGCAGGATGTTCACATTGGTGGTGGTGTGTGGAGACTCAAATGGGAACCTAGTGAAGGGGAACTACTGCTGGCTGCATGTATGCACAATGGGTTTCACATTCTCAATTGCAAAGGTTGGTTATTTTAAAGAGTTCCGCCTATTACTCAAGCTTGTTTTAGTTTATCAAAATTAGTTTTAAATCAGACTTGTTTAAATGTTTAATATTTGGTTAAATTGTGCTCTCTATTCATGTTAAAAACTATTGTTTCTTTTAACAAGAGACTTCTGAAAATATGACCAGAATTTAGAATAAAAAAGATTGTTCTCCTATAAATTAATTTCAAGTTTATTTTGAAATTTCAGATCTGAGTGCACCACAGTTAGTGGCATCTTACATGGAACACAGTTCTTTGGCATATGGAGCAGATTGGTGTAGGAGTCAATGGGATATAGTCCAAAATAGCAATACTGGGTTGGATACGAAAGAAACCCAGGAACTCTCAGAAACTCTTGGAAATGTATCTGTAGGGCAAGAAGCTGCACCAAATGCTGATATGAATAAGAAAATTTCTCATACACTTGCTACTTGTTCGTTTTATGATCACAGTATGCATGTATGGAACTGGAAAAACAAACTGGTTTAGTATGGGATTTATACAACTTTATTATTAACACCAATGCACAGTTATGTATGAATATTGAAACATCTAGAAAAATGTGCTTTAAAACAACCAAATGCAGGAGGATGACAGTGCACAAATTCATTTGGGACCAAGTAAGACATGTAATTGGATCAAGAACAAGTGTTTACTTGTGAGCAATTCTTGGTAGACTTTTTGCGAATAATGTACATTTTGATTTTGAACCGACTTTTAGAAACTGAATACTTGTGGTACGGGACTCTTTAACTTTCGTCCGCTTTACTTTGACTTATGGAAAAAAGCTAGTTATATTTAAATACTGTATTTAGTCTTTAGGACTATTCTCGTAAGTTAGAGGATAGTAAGTAACATGGTTTTCCTTTCACACAGCTTACAGTAGCGGTGAACAAAACAGTTTATTTTTTCGTCAATTCTGACCAGGTCCTTGGAAGTTTAAAGCAACACCTTGAAAATGCCAATATATGAAAAAAAAACCTGCATAACTTAAAACAAAATTATCCAGATAACTGATTTTTGAACTCCACCTGCATTTTTGATATTGATCACTCCTGTNGAGAATATCAAAATCATCTGTGACATTTGCTTCTTCATAGGCACTTCCAAAGGGTATCATTGAGTGTACGTGGCTTGTAGCTTTCTGCAACTTGAGACAACTGTAAAACATGTCAGTTACCTCTTTGACCACCACTTTGGCTTTCTCCATATCTGAATCTGTCTTTCTTACATGTTCTTTGTAATATAACCTCAAAAGATCCCCAGGTGACTGATCTTGGCCACTTTTTGCAGCATCTTCAGTATTCTCAATCCCAGAGTCATCAGAACTACTGAATGAAATGTTTTGCTTTTTGGGAGATTGTCTTGGGATATCATTGTTATCTTGGTCTTTTTTCTCTGTATAGGTTTGATAAAGCCTCCAGGTTGTGTAAAGGGTTGCTGCAACTGTGGCTCCTGTGGCAATAGGACCAAAAGCACCATAAGAACCTGATGCTTGCTCCTGCCTGCGGCTCCATCTGTTACCCATTCTACAATAAAAATATGCACTTTTTTATATGAAAACTGGCCAACATGGCAACCTACCCGTAATAAACATGCTGTGCCAATTTGTTAAGTCAGATCAGCAACATTAATTACCTGTAATAAGTTTGGCTTTCATATTACCTTATACGTTGGGGATGGTTGTTTTCTGTGTTTATTCGTGACTAGACTCTTTTTTTTCTAGTGCATTTCTAATGTATTGCACTGTATTGCCAGTTATAGTCTGACCACCCTGCCAGTGTGGGTGATGCCGAATTGGAATATAGTAACTGTTGTTTTTTCACTCAATCATACAAAAAGTGTGGCCCTGTGTGCCGAAGGTTCAATCGATCTTATCAGGCTAAAATCAAATTAATCATAACATCTTGCCACATATTTTATAAAACTAAAACCTTTAAAACTACTGTAGCTTAGTAGCTTACCAGTACCAGTGGCACTGCGGTTTTAAAAGGTGGCCGTAACAATAGTCCGAAGGTTCATTCGTCCGAATGTTCACTATAAAACCTTCGGACCAATGAACCCTTGATTAAAAAACCGATAAAAATGTTACCATTTTTCGGACCGATGAACCTTTGGACTATCGAGTCGCCCCCTTAAAAAGTTTAAACCACGGAACTTCATCAAACTTTAAAAAAATATTCTGGATATAGATATTTTTGCTTTACATAAGTAACCAAAATGGTTTAATGGTTAACATGGGAAAGAATGCAGAAGTTACTTTTAAAATTAAGGGCTTACTGAGATGTAAACTTACCTAATATTTTAATTTTTTAATGTAAACACATCTCACCTTTCCAACGACCAACGTGTAGTGTCTAATACGAGCTGAATTGTCGTTACTAGTCATAAAGTGCAATTTTACCAACTTTATACTTTTACAACAAAATGTACTCAGTGCTGTATATTTATATAGAATTTCAATCATATTAAATTAATACTAGATAAAATGTGATGAAATCACTACATATAACCTAATAATAAAAGAATACACTAGGAACCTTTTACTTGCAGAAGTGTTGGTTGGAGAAATGGCAGCCACAGGGGTGCTGCCGTTTGTGAGGGGCATAGACTTAAGTGGCTATGATTTCCAGGTATGATGTTTTTTCACAATCTCTTTGATTTGAAATAAACCATCAAGGTTTATTGCTCAACGTGATGTTGATATTTGTGAGATCAGACTTACTTACATATGATAAAAAGTGATACTAATTGGGCACACCCACTAAGGCAGATCAAACTATAACGTATATTAATGTTAACGTAATGTGTAATCTGTTAAATTAAGCCGATTGAGTGAATATTAACATTTTATGGCAAGCAGAAGCATGGTTAATCAAGGGACGACAGACTTTAGGGTGGGGATCGGGTTAATGTAAAAACTAGTGAGCCGCAGACTGCATTTCCATTGTTTGCTCTTTTTCAGGAAGGAAAGTTCCCCAAAGATGTGGCTGATATGATTGGATTGAGGTGGCTTTATGTCAACGATTCCAATCTTGATAAACTTCCAGATGAACTTTCGAATCTCAATAAGTTGGTAAGTTTGCACTGCCTGTTGACATGTTGGGTTGAAATGTTTAAGCTGTCAAAGACAAAATGTATTCAACCATTGTACAGGTATTGGTTCCTGGTACATGTAGTTGATTAATGCTATTTTCCAAATATACAGTGCATTACTATCACTCTTAATTTTAACATAGGGATTTGCTTGTTGAATCATGAAATTACATAGCCAACAAATAAACTAAAAATGGAATGAAGGTTTATTGGAGATGTCTGATTGATTATAATGTTTCGAACCTCTCACATCAACAGTAATGACAAGTATATTTTTTCAAAAAGTAAACTGTTCTAAGCATAGTACTAACAGATAAATGTCAAGCAAAAACCTATAAATCAATCTTGATGTTCTGATTATGTTCATTGTTTTATTTACGTAAGGAACACATTTCTCTGGTCAGAAACAACTTGGTCAGCATTCATGGCGAACTCTCTGACCTGCCATGTCTAAGAGTAATCAACTGCAGGTACAACAACCTGAGAAATACAGGGATTCCAACAGACATTTTTAGTCTAGAGGATCTGTCTACTCTTGTAAGTATCTGTTCCTGTAGCACTATTCCCATAACATGTCTGAAGCAAGGGTTAAGCCATTGTGCATTTCAGCCACCTGATTTAGATGTCCTGTACCAGCAGATTGCAATCTCTTTTATGGGTAGATGGCTTGTTAATATCCCCCCTTCCATAAGTCACATATTGGAAAACTTAAGTCGATTCAAACTCAAGTTTTGCCAAATCTGTTTTATGAGAAAAAACTTCCTCTATGTCAGTTTCCAATCTCAACAGGTATGATAGCCTCCTGAAAGAAAACCAGAATTATCAAGTCAATTTTGTTCTTTAAAAGATCATTTAAAACTCTAAAATAACTNAAGAATATCAAAATCATCTGTGACATTTGCTTCTTCATAGGCACTTCCAAAGGGTATCATTGAGTGTATGTGGCTTGTAGCTTTCTGCAACTTGAGACAACTGTAAAACATGTCAGTTACTTCTTTGACCACCACTTTGGCTTTCTCCATATCTGAATGGGTCTTTCTTACATGTTCTTTGTAATATAACCTCAAAAGATCCCCAGGTGATTGACCTTGGCCACTTTTTGCAGCATCTTCAATATTCTCAATCCCAGAGTCATCAGAACTACTGAATGAAATGTTTTGCTTTTTGGGAGATGGTCTTGGGATATCATTGTCATCTTGGTCTTTTTTCTCTGTATAGGTTTGATAAAGCCTCCAGGTTGTGTAAAGGGTTGCTGCAACTGTGGCTCCTGTGGCAATAGGACCAAAGGCACCATAAGAACCGGATGCTTGCTCCTGCCTGCGGCTCCATCTGTTACCCATTCTACAATAAAAATATGCACTTTTTTATTTTAAAACTGGCCAATATGGCAACCTACCCGTAATAAACATGCTGTGCCAATTTGTTAAGTCAGATCAACAACATTAATTACCTAGTAATAAGTTTGGCTTTCATATTACCTTATATCATTGGGGATGGTTGTTTTCTGTGTTTATTCGTGACTAGACTCTTTTTTTTCTAGTGCATTTCTAATGTATTGCACTGTATTGCCTGTTATAGTCTGACCACCCTGCCAGTGTGGGTGATGCCGAGTTGGAATATAGTAACTGTTGTTTATTCACTCAATCATACAAAATGTGTGGCCCTGTGTGCCTAAGGTTCAGTCAATCTTATCAGGCTAAAGTCAAATTAATCATTACACTTTATGGAAAACATAACATCTTGCCACGTATTTTCTAAAACTAAAATCCTTAAAACTAGCTTACGCTAGTAGTAGCTTACCAGTACCAGTGGCACTGCGCTTTTAAAAAGGTGGCAGTAGCAATAGTCCGAAAGTTCACTATAGAACCTTCGGACCAATTAACCCTTGATTAAAAAATCGATGAAAATGTTACCATTTTTCGGACCGATGAACCTTTGGACTATCGAGTCGCCCCCTTAAAAAGTTTAAACCACGGAACTTCATCAGACTTTTAAAAAATATTCTGGATATAGATATTTTTGCTTTACATAAGTAACCAAAATGGTTTTATGGATAACATGGGAAAGAATGCAGAAGTTATTAATAAAATTAAGGGCTTACTGAGATGTAAACTTACCTAATGTTTTAATTTTTTAATGTAAACACATCTCACCTTTCCAACGACCAACGTGTAGTGTCTAATACGAGCTGAATTGTCGTTACTATTCATGAAGTACAATTTTACCAACTTTATACTTTTACAACAAAATGTACTCAGTGCTGTATATTTATATAGAATTTCAATCATATTAAATTAATACTAGATTAAATTTGATGAATCACTACATATAACCTAATAATAAAAGAATACACTAGGAACCTTTTACTTGCAGAAGTGTTGGTTGGAGAAATGGCAGCCACAGGGGTGCTGCCGTTTGTGAGGGGCATAGACCTAAGTGGCTATGATTTCCAGGTATGATGCTTTTTCTCAATCCCTTTGATTTGAAATAAACCAACAAGGTTTATTGCTCAACGTGATGTTGATATTTGTGAGATCAGACTTACTTACATATGATAAAAAGTGATACAAATTGGGCACACCCACTAAGGCAGATCAAACTATAACGTTATTAAACGTAATCTGTAATCTGTTAAATTAATCCGATTGAGTGAATATTAACATTTTTTGGCAAGCAGAAGCATGGTTAATCACGCAATTAAAGGACCACAGTCTTTTAGGGTGGGGATCGAGTTAATGTAAAAACTAGTGAGCCGCAGCGTCAGACTGCATTTCCATTGTTTGCTCTTTTTCAGGAAGGAAAGTTCCCCAAGGATGTGGCTGATATGATTGGATTGAGGTGGCTTTATGTCAACGATTCCAATCTTGATAAACTTCCAGATGAACTTTCGAATCTCAATAAGTTGGTAAGTTTGCACTGCCTGTTGACATGTTGGGTTGAAATGTTTAAGCTGTCAAAGACAAAATGTATTCAACCATTGTACAGGTATTGGTTCCTGGTACATGTAGTTGATTAATGTTATTTTCCAAATATACAGTGTATTACTATCACTCTTAATTTTAACATATGTACTGGATTTTACTTGTTGAATCAGGAAATTAGTACATAGCCAACAAATAAAATAAAAAATGGAATGAAGGTTTTTTGGAGATGTCTGATTGATTATAATGGTTTGACCTTCTCACATCAACAGTAATGACAAGTATAGTTTTTTTATAAAGTAAACTGTTCTAAGCATAGTACTAACAGATAAATGTCAAGCAAAAACCTATAAATCAATCTTGAAGTATGATTATGTTCATTGTTTTATTTACTTAAGGAACACATTTCTCTGGTCAGAAACAACTTGGTCAGCATTCATGGCGAGCTCTCTGACCTGCCATGTCTAAGAGTAATCAACTGCAGGTACAACAACCTGAGAAATACAGGGATTCCAACAGACATTTTTAGTCTAGAGGATCTGTCTACTCTTGTAAGTATCTGTTCCTGTAGCACTATTCCCATAACATGTCTGAAGCAAGGGTTAAGCCAGTGTGCATTTCAGCCACCTGATTTAGATGTCCTGTACCAGATTGTGGCCTCTTTTATGGCTAGATGCCTTGTTAATATCCCCCCTTCCTTAAGTCACATAATTGGAAAACTTAGGTTGATTCCGACTCAAGTTTTGCCAAATCTTTTTCATGAAAAAAATTCCTCAGTTTTCAATCTCAAGAGGTAGAATAGCCTCCTGAAAGAAAACCAGAATTATCAAGTCAATTTTGGGTTTTTAAAAGATAATTTAAAACTCTAAAATAATTGTACACTCAAGTGCATAAATTATATTTTGAAGTTTAATTTAGTTTTCAGAGGGTAAGCGTAAGCTGAATACATAGCCACGTTTACTTTATGTAATTATTACAGGATTTTAGTCACAACCAGCTGAAAGAGGTTCCTGCTGATTTAGAACTTGCCAAAGGCTTGTTAGTCTTGAATCTAAGTCACAACAAGTAAGTACTTCCCTAAGTTATCATTGAGGTAATGAAAAGAGATAATATACTATACCAATGACTATGATTTAAAACAGAAAGTAAATTAGAATTATAAAAATTTGGAAAACTGTTTTTTCAGAAGTAATTACAGTTATAATATTTTATGATTTATTTTCTTCTTTTTCTCTAGAATCGAGTCTATCCCATCACCATTATTTATCAACCTCACAGACATTGTTCATTTAGATTTGAGTGACAATCAACTGAGTAAGTAGACAGAGTTTCAGTACCTTCAACAAGATTGTGATGTGTTTGGTCAATCAGTAGCAGTGTTTCATCAAGTTTTGAAAATTTAAAATTTAAAGCAACTTGTATTATTTCTTCGCATAGCTGTTGAAGCATAATTGGGGTTTAGGATATATCGATTTCTTTTATACAGCAACCCTTCCACCTCAGATGAGAAGACTGTCAAATCTGCAGACATTGATTCTGAACAATAATCCCCTGCAGCATGCTCAACTTAGGTAGGTATGATGTCTTTGATAATGAAAAAAAATGTAAATAGTCAAAAAAGTAAATGAAGATTTAGGTATGCAGTAAGCATATAACAGCCTCCTGTATATTTACAGTGCATGTTGAAGAAATAATTCTTGTATGTTTTTGTTTGAATGTTTTAGCAAGGATAGGTAATCATAGCCAACTAAAGTGAACTTTATATTTCAATCTATTGTGAAGTATTTAACAAATTTGATTTTTGAATTCAGACAACTTCCAGCCATGGTTTCACTTCAAACACTCCACATGAGAAACACACAAAGAACTTTGGGAAACTTTCCTTCAGGGGTAGATACGCTAGAAAATCTCACAGGTAACAAACCTTTAACTTATATAAACAAAATAGATTGTTTCAGATAACATTTTGGTGGAAGTGTTCATTAATCTTCTTAATTTTAGTCATTAAAAATAAACGTGTATATAAATACGGCTTTTGAATCTATCACTGGACTTGCATTTTATGAGTTGACAACTTTGTATATCCTTTGTTAATCAGTCATTAACTCAAATAATGCAAGTCCAGATTCAAAAACTTAGTGTAAAATATAACAGGATGAATACATACTTAAAAGCATCATGGTAATATTACAGTACAATATTTCATGACATCCGTCTTTTTTTAATTTAAGATATTGATCTATCCAAGAATGACTTGCCAAAGGTTCCAGAGCCTATCTACAAACTGCTATCTATCAAGAGATTAAATATAAGTGATAACAACATCACTGAATTGTCTTCACTTGTAGGTAGGTGGTCTGAAAAAAAAACAGGATGAAACCTTACATCTTTGGATCCACTTGATAAGCTTTAAACAAATCTTACTTGTTCTTGCCATATTTAAATTTTGATATCAAGAAAGTGAAAATTTAGTTTTGAGAAGAATTTTAAATATGTCCTAGATTTGTATTATGATCTTATGATCTACATGAATTATTGGTGAGGTGAATGGTATGTTATTAATAGAACATCTAGTGATAGTGATGCTTTGCTTTGATTTGACTTTTGTGGGCTGATGAATATTGTGATACTATGTCTAGGAACTAATATTTAACATGATAATCATATTTTTAGACTCTTGGTCAGAACTGGAAGTGCTAAACGCATCAAGAAACAAGTTAACAGCTTTACCTGTGAGTGTTTATTGTTGTATACTCTGAAAAGGCTATCAATTTTAAAGAAAAGTATTAAAGTTATATATGTTATTAATTATCTTTTAAATAGGATTACAAGAAGGTGCAGAATTTTTGTAAAAGAAAGGGGGGGGGGAATGCTAAATTACTAAATTAAATTACTTTACGTTAAGTATCCATCTTTGGTTTGACTCAAACCAAAGATGGATACTTAACGTAAAGTAATTTAAATTACTTTCATTGCAGGCATCAATTTGTAAACTGACCAGACTGAAGAGGCTCTACCTGAACTGCAACCAGCTGGACTTCGAAGGGATCCCTGCTAGTATTGGCAAGCTACAGGAACTGGAGGTTTTCAGTGCAGCAAACAACAACCTTGAAATGATACCTGAAGGGCTGTGCAGGTATGAAGACAATTGTTTTTCAAAATGATTTATATTTTAGTCACGTAATTCAAACAAATGAACCTGAGGGCACTTGATAGAGAGCCATTTTTTTTCAAAATGCCAATTCAAGGTCGAATGTTTTTTGGTAACCTATGTTATGTCTTGTTTTTTATAGATGCACAAAGCTGAAGAAGCTGATTTTAAACTGCAATAGGCTGATAACTCTGCCAGATGCATATCACTTCCTCACAGACTTGCAGGTAAAGAGATTTGATAATAATTTACTCGTCATCGACTTCTTACTTGTCACTTCTTTATAATACGGATGCTGAGTGTTATGATTAGTGCTTTACAGACATTCCCCAAAGAATTTTTTGTCAGAAATTTTTACAGACATAATTGATATTTTTAGGAACTAGACGTGCGATACAACCCTGACATTGAAATGCCTCCCAAGCCAAAAGAACTGCAGGTTGGCAGTGGCATTGAGTATTACAACATTGACTTTTCGCTCAACAACCAGTTGAAGCTGGCTGGTGCTGTGCCCACAACTCCTACTGGCCAGACACCACGTAAGTGGATGTACATTAAATTTTGTCAGAATCAGTTCCTTGGCTCAACATTGTAGCTGAACAGTTTTTTTTGGTTGAAGTATGGGAGGAAAAATAAACTTAACAAACCTTTATCATAGTCTCATCTAAAATTAAAGTATTTTGATAAGATATTAAAAATGGATTTTCAAATACAATGCAAATTGAGCTGTATGTATTCAATAAATGATTACATGATACATAAATGTGGTATTTTTATTTGTTTATTTTATTATTTTTATTTATTTATTATTACTTTTTTTGCATTTGGTATCTTGAATTGCCAGATTATGTATAATTTTTTATAGCTCACAAAGACCCAGTTGCAAGGAAAAAGAGGTTGCACAGAAGAAGGGATACTGGAGAAGGCAAAAGCTCAGACCAAGTGCTGAAGGTAGATACAAATACAGTTTGTGCATGATATTTTGGAAGATCAATCTTTCACCAATTTGTCTACATTTTAAAAAAAGTTTAGAAGCATATCATTTCACAGATCCTCCCCATGTGTCAAGTGTGGACTTTCTTGTTCAACATGATTTGATCAATTGCTGGGGAGCTGTTTGGAAAAAGCTTCTTAAAAGCCACTATTTCTTTGATAATGGAATGTTTTTGTGAGAATATTTTTAGTGTTTAGATAAAATAAGATGTAAAATAATTCCTCTACATATGTAACTTTGCGTCTTTTAGGGAATGAGAGATATTGCCAAGGACAAAAACAAGAAATCATCTCCATCAAAAGAAGAAGAAAAAGAGCCCATAAAGTATGTATAGGCTATCAGTTTAAGTCCAGTATTATAGAGCAGTGGGACATTTTTTGATCTAATGTCAAAACTTGGGAAATTATTTTGGTTTTGCATAAGAAATAAAAAAGTAGGATTTTATGGTGTTGATGATTTGTTTTACAGACCAAAGAGATGGGATGAAAACCTCCAGAAACCACATTTGGATTACAGTGAGATCTTTGAAGAGGATGTAGGACAAATTCCAGGTAACAATTCTTTTTAAAGTAATAAATGATATATCAAATCTGATAAATGTAGAATATGTTTAAATCCTCTTGTTCTGTTTTATAAATTCAAGTTATGTATAAAGTTGTATGATAAGAATTTTTGTATATACATAGGCATGTTTAATATTGGTGTTAATACCTTTGCATTTCTATTCTGCAGGATTGACAGTGTGGGAGATTGAGAACTTTTTGCCGGTAGAACTAGATGAAGGTAAGCATTTAAAATTTTACATATCACCAATATCCAATGTCTGGACACTTGTTGCTAATATTAATAACTTATATATCAATCATAAAAAAATATGGACCCTCAGATAAATTCAATAATAAATTTTTCAGCCTTCCATGGAAAGTTCTATGAAGCAGACTGTTACATCATACTGAAAACCTACATTGATGACACTAGTAGTCTGAACTGGGAGATCTACTATTGGATTGGAGAGAAGGCATCGGTAAGAGCATCTTTTCATGTGTTACAATGGTTATATTTTGTTTGTTTTAACTCTTTCTTTAAATCACAATTTAGATATTGCACAGAGGCATGTTACAACACTAAATATGTGCCAACATCTAATATTTATAAATAAAATGTGTGATATTAGTAATTTCCTCACTTACTGTCAGGTATAAAACTACATCAAGCATGCTGTTTTATTTTCTTGTTTAGCTGGACAAGAAGGCATGCTCTGCTATCCACTCAGTGAATCTGCGTAATTTGCTGGGTGCTGAGGGGCGGACAATACGTGAGGAAATGAATGACGAGTCTGATGAATTCATGGATCTCTTTGAAAATGACATACACTACATTGAAGGTGGGAGGACAGCCAGTGGGTTCTTTACAGTGGAAGAAAATGTAAGTCTAAACTTAAAAAGAATGTGTGTAAAGGTCTATTTGATTTGAGCCAAACAATTCTTTGATTGGATGAAAAGAGAAGAATAAAGTTTTGTTCTTTATGAAAGACTTGTTGATTCTTCGGAAACAAATTAGTACTGATTTCTTGTTATATTTAAACATTGCATCATTATATATATTAGTCTAATGTTAACATTTTGATTGTTTTCTAAATGCTTCTTATTTTTTATTTCAGTGTACATGAAAGTTAAACATCTCTTGAACTATATTTTACATTACAGATCTTTGACCCAAGAATGTACAGAGTGTCAGGAACACAGACGGTGCATCTTGAACCAGTAAGTGTTATTGCTCTTTGAATATGAAAATAAGATAATCTTATTTCAACACCATTCTTGCAGTACAAGTCACTGAAAGTTTTCCTGCCTCTTAGATGGAATACTAGCACTAAAGGTTCTCCTAAGTCAAATTAATTGTGATCATGCATATATGTATACCTGGATGAAAACTGAGCATGGATGTGAAGCGGTTTACTTTTATTTAAAGACCGGACTGGAAATGGGGTCAGTGACAGTCCACCATGTTTGCACAAACCTTTCTTTGATATTAGTTTCTTATGTATTGTATTGTATTGTATTGTATTGTATTGTATTGTGTTGTATTGTATTGTATGAGGCGTTGCTAAATCATTGCAGTATATTGCTGAAGTATAACTATAGATGATGTGTTTTAAAACCTATGTGTTGATTTATGATTTATGTTGTCTTACATTGTCTTTACTAGGTGCGTTGCCATGTCAACTGTTTGGATCCCCGTTTTGTTTACATGATTGACTGCAAGATGGAAATTTATATCTGGATGGGACCCAAAGCTAAGAATGTCACAAAAACAAAAACAAGGTATTAAGGTCTCTAAATGACTGAGCAAGTAATATATAAAGATTAAAAAGTATTGTCAGTGCATTTTTCAGAGAATAATTTGGTCTCATTTTATTTAATTTTTATTTAACAATGTCATGGTTCGGTCTGTGCCAGTGTCAGTATTGTAAAACAGCGCAGTGCCATGTCAACCTGGCATTTAAAAAAATAACCTGATATATGTAATTGTTTACTCTTTTTGTTGTGATTATTTTGCACTGCTGGTAGTATTAATTTGCAGACTTGTAGCTGAAAAAATCAATAAGAATGAAAGGAAAAACAAGGCAGAAATCTTGATGTTTGCCCCAGGATTTGAGAGTCCAGAGTTCTGGAAAGTTCTGGGAGGTCCACCGGGAGTTAGGGGTATTAGAGTAAGTGATCATTTGTCCTAAAGTAGTTTCTATCAATTTATTCTGCTTTCAAATTGCCATCTTATCCTAGTGAAAGAATTCTTTGCTGTTGTAAATCAAACGCTGTTGCTGGATATGTTTCCTCAATCTTCTTATAGTTTCAACTGAATCCCCATTTTGTCAGTTTGTTCTCAGAGTTCTTGAAAAACAAGAGAACTAACAAAATGGTAAAAATCCCAAATGATGGCAATGGACACATCTACAGATTGTTAAAAGGAAATATAAAACATTTATGCTTTTCATCTTGAGTTGAAACTCGTGCATTTATCTTTATTTAGGAAATCGTCCCAGATGACTGGAAGCCTACTGTTCCTAAGCTGTATAAAGTGGGATTGGGAATGGGATACTTGGAGTTGCCTCAAGGTATGCATTTTTTTTTGAGAAAAGTTCACTGGAAAAGAAGCCAACAAAATGTGTCTTGGAGTTGAAAATAATTAGAATTCTACCCTTGTTCATAATTCTGAGGGGTGTACTTTTAATTAGTGTTTTAGGTCCTTATTCTTGCAGTTCTTAAGCTTAACATAGCAAAGTACATCCATTTAGTATTAGTGGTTGTTGTAAAGAAATTTTGAATAATATTTTTGGTCTGTGGCATTATATTAAATTTTTTGAAGTGTGTATTATTTTCAATTCATACCTATTTGATCTCTTGATTTTCTAGTTGAAGTTCCCCATAAGAAATTAGTACAAGGGCTGCTGAAGACCAAGAATGTTTACATCTTAGATTGTCATTCTGATGTTTTTATCTGGTAAGAGGAATTGAAATTTAGAAATATAGTTATCCTTGTATTGTGTTCATCAATGAGTGTCCATGTTTTGTCTGTGGTCAGTTCTTTTACAATGTATAGAAAATAAATTAAATTAATTTTATATTAATTACCAAGTCATTTGGGATAGAAATAAGGCATGCTAGCTGCTGTAACAGTACAATATTGAAAAACATGTTATATTTCACATAGGATTGGAAAGAAGTCTACACGCCTTGTACGAGCTGCAGCCTTGAAGCTGTCACAAGAATTATGCAGCATGTTAGACAGACCAGCATTTACCAGAGTCACACGATGTCAAGATGGGTGGGTATTCTATTAAAAATATTTTTTCTTATGATTGAAAAAACATAAGGTTTTTGCCTAACATTCTCTGTGATATTAAACCTGATACCAAAGTGATTGTACAGGCAATTCATGATAGCAGTATAGTGTAAAGAAATTGGGTGTAAAACTTGAATATTGAGAATTTGACCTATATGCAAGAGTTTTTAGAAACAACATGCCCAGAGTACTGAGATAGAGCCTTGATAAAAATGAAAACGATGTCATTTCTATTTTTTGTAAGATATTCTTTCTCATGTTACATAGAAAACTACAAAATATTGACAAAATAAATACAATCCTTCAGCACTGAATCCCAACTCTTCAAGATGAAGTTTGTTGGTTGGGATGATGTTATCGCAGTGGATTACACCAGGACTTCAGAGTCTGTGATCAAGAGGGGAGTTGACCTCAAAGTCATTATGGAGAGGGACAAGATTAAGACAGACCTTTCAGCTCTTTTCATGCCAAGACAGCCACCAATGTCCAACCAAGAGGCAGTAAGTAAAGGGCACTTAGACTGGCATTTTAGTTGTAGTACTAGTGAGACTTTGAAGAAGAAAAGGTGGAGTATACAGTTTTAAATTTAAATCTGCCTGCCAGTGGGCCAGTAACAAATTATAACAGAGAATGTGCAGTTGTTCCCTGAATGAATTAGCAGCATATTTTACATAAATAGATCATGCAGTATCTTTTTTATATAAAAATACCTAAAATGTTTTGTTTTTATTCATCAGGAACAGCTGATGGAAGAATGGAATGAAGATTTGGATGGCATGGAATCCTTTGTTTTAGAGGGCAAGAAGTTTGTGAGGCTGCCAGATGAAGAATTGGGTTAGTTTGTAATTGTTTGAAACAAAATGTTATGTTTTTCTTTTTAGACAAAGGTATATGTTCAGGACTCTTAAATCTATCCTTATCATCTTGTGGTAAATCTTAATGAAATAATAAAATAACAATTGCAATAATACAAGAACAAATTTTATCTGAAGCATGGTTTAGGCTACAGCTGGAAGAAATTCCTTGGATAATTTACACCCTTTTGGAGAAGTTTCATAAATTTATTTTAATTTCTAACTGCTATTTAACAGGTCACTTCTACAGTGAGGATTCCTATGTGTTCCTGTGTCGGTACTGGGTGCCTGTGGACTCTCCAGAGGGCACAGGGGATGAGGACAATGAGGAGGAGGAACCCGAGGATGACTTCAAATGTGTGGTGTACTTTTGGCAGGGAAGAAATGCTGGGAACATGGGGTGGTTAACCTTCACTTTCAGGTATGAACTCTGCAGATTTTTATATTCATGTTCGATATCATTCCTTTCCAATACATTGCCTATTGCAAAGTGTGTGAAAGGTAAGTGTCCAAAATTTGTGACACATATCTTGACTCACATGACAGCTATGTACTGATAAGGTCTTAGTTCAGTTTGTATATTAGTCTATGATAAGTTTATTCAATATTGATTATAACAGTATAAAAATGCTGCCTAAGTGGCTTTTTAACAAGTGGTGACTTTAATTACAGTTTGCAGAAGAAGTTTGAAGCCCTCTTTGGAGACAAACTGGAAGTTGTTAGAACACATCAGGTAAGTTATCCTTAACTACTAAACAGAAGTGACTCTTAAGGAATAGATTAAGATTGGTAAAGGTATTTTAATTAGTTCACTTCTTTTCCTGATTCTGCCTAATTTTCTTTCAGCAACAAGAAAACCTGAAGTTTTTGTCTCACTTCAAAAAGAAGTTTGTGATTCACCAAGGCAAGAGGAATCCCAACAGTGAGGAACCAGAAAATGTTGAATTGTATCAGATTAGGGCCAATGGCAGTCCCCTTGCTACAAGATGCATTCAGGTATCGATCAGTATGAAAATAGTCTAAAGTAATCAATCAAATTCTTTGCATACTGAAAAAATAAATAGATAACTAAGTAAATAGAATAAATGAAGCAGTTACAAGTCATGTAGATGCACTCCTTACCATTTAGAGAAAGAAACAAATTTTATTTTCTGTTTTACAGGTTCCTGTTGATGCTTCAAATCTCAATTCTTCCTTCTGGTAAGTTATTTTAAAAGAATATTGATATAAATGGATTTTTCGCAAGTACAGAGGGTCTAATTTAATTGTGAAACTGCTAGAAACATGTGCAATTCATATTCAAATAAGAATTATAAAATATATTTAACTTTCCACCATTAAGGTTGTTAAGAAATGCAACAATTTAAAAGGCGCATAGCTGCTACATGTAAATGTTGAGGAAAAAAATGTGTTACTTTGTGTTTTTATTGAATTTAGTTTCTTGCTGAAAGTGCCATTTGATAATGATGACATGCAGGGTATAATGTATGTCTGGATAGGAAGAAAGAGTGACCCTGAGGAAGCAAAACTGGCAGAGGAAATAGCAAGGGAACTGTTTGATGTATGTTCTTATACTTTTGAGTATTGTGGTGATATCGGTTCTTGTGTGTGTGGAGTTTTGTGAGTTGTTGTTGTTGTTGTTATATTTGTAAACATCATGTTAGTTTGATGAAGTAAAGCTTTATATTTTTAATATGTTATGTGAAGTATGGGAAGGAAGTTAATGGACCATCCTAAATATATCTGTTAGTGAGATGAAATTGTTGTTTTAATATAACACTGTGAGCATGGGTGAGTTTATCAGCTTACAAAAGATGAAGTTCTATTCACATAATGAACTCACATTAGAAATCCCGATGAGGGAGAAGTTTCGCTGCATTAATTGTGTGTGATACTTTATATTAGGAAACATACACAGTACAAATCGTCTGTGAAGGTGTTGAGCCAGAGAACTTCTTCTGGGTTGGAATTGGAGGCAAGAAGCCTTATGAGAAGGTATAGTTAACGTATTACTAGAAGACTACATGCAATGTTTTCATCGCATTTTTTGCCTCATGGTATTGTGATTTCAAAATGTTTCTCTTTACATTGAAACTGGTTGAGCAAAATTCAGTCACTGAAATCAAGACTATCTGCAAAGCAAACAAGTAAATTTTGACACGATTTATTTACAGAAATAACGATAATAATCATAATGTTTTTTTTTTCTTTTTTTTGTTACAGACAGCAGAGTTCATGAAATATGCCAGGCTTTTCAGGTGCTCAAATGAGAAAGGTTATTTCACAGTCTCTGAGAAATGCTCAGACTTCTGCCAGGTATGCTGAGTTATTATTATTATTATTATTATTATTATTATTATTATTATTATCTATTCTGTATGATAGATCCAGGATTTTATGATGGGGTGGAAGAAGGGGGAGGGTCTGGAAAATATGTAAGAGTGAAGAATAAACTGCTGTAATTCTTACTTGGCAAAAGACTGGAAAAACAAACCAGACGGTTTTAATTCTGTTATGTTTAGCAAGGGGAGGGTTTAATTTAATGCTAAGGGAAATATGGTATATTTTTATAAAGTGTGTCATGATTTTCCTATTAATATTACATGGTATCTAATGTTGATGTATAATTTGCAATCTTTCTCATTTTCTTTCCAGGATGACCTTGCTGATGATGATGTCATGATTTTAGACAATGGTGAACAAGTATTTTTGTGGCTTGGGAGAAAAACCAGTGATGTGGAAATCAAGCTGGCTTTCAAGAGTGCACAGGTGGGCAGGGAGGCTTACTTACACTACTTTAGTGGAAAGGTTTCAGTCAAAATAAAGTCTATTGTTTGTGATTAAAGATTACTCAGAGCATTTACTACTAAGTCAACTACAAATATTGCTGTAAATATGTTCACATAATTGAGTATTGTCAACCTTGGATGTAAAATTAATAACAACTTCAAGAATAATATTATGTGACAATTTCATGATTCTAGGTCTATGTCCAGCACATGAGGAACAAGCAACCAGATAAACCAAGAAAACTGTTGCTTGCCCTTAAAAACAAAGAGAACCAGAGATTTACCAAGTGCTTCCATGGCTGGGGCAAATTTAGGGTGGCCCCTGAGTAACCTCATTAATACTATGATAGTATATATATATTACGATGTATTTTGAGCTGTTTAAGTACTAGAGCCTTTGAATAGCCTGCTGCTGCTTGGAATAATTAGCAATTACATGAGTGAGAAGACTTTCCCATTAAAGTGCAATATATACTGAGATGGCACACATTGAAAATTTAGCAAATTCTGAATTGACTTCCTGAAACTTTTACAGTTTAGCTGTGTATAGTTTATGCAGATATCTTTCTACTATTTATTTTGTGATTTCTTTTGTAAAATATATTTCCTGAATCTGATTGTGAAATTTTATCCTGCTAATTTATATTTGTAAAGTGAAAGTGGATCTTTGCACTGCTTACAATAAAACATTGTATACCCAGTGTTGTTCTTGTCCTGTTTGCCAATGCTTTAGTGTTTTATAGATCTAAAGCTTCAATACAAGGCTTTTAGGTATGTGATTGTCAACTAGTTATCAATCAGGCAGTTGGACAGTGGCAAAAGTTTTTCAATTGCTCACCTCCGTTTTAAATGAAAAACCTGAAAGGAAAGGCATCACTGCAGGGCTATTGTCATGTAATTTTGGAATATAGTTTCCAAGTATTAAATGGCATATCTGTATCATTCTGAATTCTTTATGATAAAGGTGTTTTTTGGTGCAAATGGTAGTCACTGGAACGTGGCCATTTATCACAATTTAAGAATACTGGTATGCCCTTCATAATCCGTGAGTAGCATTCATGCTCATGGGTATAAAGGACTAAAATTGTAGCCCATGATTGTAGCCACAATCAGACTACGTAGAGCTTTAACCCTACATTTATATCAGTGTTAATAGTTTTTTTTGTACCTCACTAAATTGCCTTATACTCAATATCAAGATTAGTTTTGTTTCACCTTAATAATGAACAGTGTTAATAAAAGTACAAGTCACAAACTGTGTTATTAACAGTGGTTGTAGAAAAGATCAACATAACTCATTTTTCAAACACAAAAAAAAAACTTTCTCTTTGGTGATGCAGTTTTCTAAAAATGTTCAGCCAATATGGTGGTATATAAACAAAGCAAATATCTGATTAAGATGTTGAAAAAATTTATTGTTGACATTATATAGCTTGCTTAATTTAAATGTACAGTGTTTAAATAATGATACATGCTGTACAGAGAGTAATGACATGTTGAGAGCAGTTGGAAGTACATGTATCTTGGAGATGCTGTAAGTACATGCAAAGAGGAACCACAAATACTACTACATATATGTAATACAACTTTTAAACTGTTATAGGTTGATCTTAACATTTTTAAACAGTCCAGATATCACTTTTAGTCCAGCAGGTTCTAAATCAAGGAACGAATATTATTTTGGTATTTGAATATTGCTGTCATGGTAGTTCCACACAATTTCTTGGTACAATTTCTACTGTGGTTGCAAACTTTAGACCTCATTAACTTGCAGAGTCATTTCCCCAGTTGGTGTAACACTATTAGCAGTGTATATGATCCAAAGATTCAGCTCCAAAGGCCATCCTATGGCAGTTTGCTAAATAACGTCCAATGTTTTGGTCAAGATCCTCTCTGCACTGTGGTCTAAATGGGCACTAAGAGTGAAAAAAGTATTTAAAAAAATGATCATTTAAATATTAAGCACAGAATGCATTCGGGGTGTATGCAAAAAGCCACAAATAGCGTGATCATAACATCAAATACCATTACATTACCTTTAAAAATAATTTAAGTAATATTTTATCTTTAAAAAACGACAGTTGAATATAAATGCAGTCTCCGATTGGTTAGTTTGCAAAACTCTTGTATAACTGAGTGCATAGTGGTTCAAAACTTGCCTGATCCAATACAAGTCTTTAATCATCGTCATCATCAGGATGCCATATATCATTTTCTTCTATAAAAGCAGCAGAGCTCTTTGCAATGTACGCTCCCAGAAAAATAAATGGAGATACCGCTACACACGTTTTTATCACAGGAAAATTAATCTGCTGTGGTTTTTGGTATAATGTCCCACTGTCGGTTAATACATGGCGAATCTGATTTACAACAATATTCTTCTGCATAGAGTTTAGAGCCCAAATTTGACGGGACTGCCCGAAACCTTTCGCAAGCCTCGCCGCCATGACAGTTTAAGTGGTTTGGTGGGGGTATTGTTTATTTAATGTTTTGTTAACTGTGTAATTTACGGCGTCAAATTAAAGATGTTTAGAAGTCACAAGAACATTAATTGTCATAATAATTGCTTATGTGGTTTTCTCATGCAAATACAAACTGGGCATCAAATAAATATAAAATAAAGAAAACAGGTAGCGAAATCGAGGCCTATTGATGGAGAAAACTCATAACATAAAATACCGAAAGGTGTCAGGCCTTAACAAGAAGGGAAAAGACGTAAGTGAAAAGCATGGCTAATGAATCGCCGGGCACAAATTCAGAGCATCATGGCAAGTACAGATCACCGTTGGTGTCAAGATATGCAAGTCCTGAAATGGCATATAACTTCAGTGATATGAAAAAATTTACCACTTGGAGAAAACTATGGCTCTATTTGGCCAAAGCAGAGCAGGTAAAGTTTAGTTTTAACTAGTTACAACTTCAATGCATTGATTGATTCTTTTTTCTTTCCTTTTCTTTATTCCCAAACTTTCAGTTTTCCTGCTTCTGTTTACTTGCTTTCTCTTTTCTTCCTTTCATTCTTGGTGCATGTGTTTTGATTACTAGTATTTTTTTCATGCCATCTCTCACGACAAATGTTTACTAAATATAATTAATAAGGTTCATTGTTCATCAGGACCAGAGGCAGAGTGTGATCCACCCAGCGTACTGTATACTGTGCCCGTGGGAAATAATTTAGGCTTAATTTTTTATTGTTAGAGATTGAATGATCTGGATATTTTCAGAATTCAGTGTACAGTCTGTATATACAAAAACTTTTAAAAATTACTTTATGTATAATTTTATAGGTGTTGGGCCTTGAAATCACTGATGAACAAATCAAGGAGATGGAAAGCAATATTGATAATATTGACTTTGAAAGAGCGGCTCAAGAAGAGAAGAAACGTCGTCATGATGTCATGGCCCATGTGCATACATTTGCAGCATGCTGTCCTCTTGCTGCACCTATTATTCACCTTGGAGCTACCTCAGCATATGTAGGGGATAACACAGTAAGTTTTGCAAACTAGGTGATATACATAATCATTCGAACGTTTTTTTTTTCTAGTGCATGCTTTTTCTTTTAAACAAATTAGCTAGGAGTTTTATAAATTAAATTATTGACTGAAATGTAGTAAAGAATTTGTCAGTAGTATTTCACTTATTTTTGCAATTTCACAATTTTTGTATTTTTTTATTTCATTAGTTATTCTGGTATGCCAGTTTTGTTACAAAATGTATATGATTAAAGCTTAATTTTGCAGATGTTAACTTCATCTTGAGACAAATAATTAAAATGTTTATAATCTTTACTTTGAAGAAGATATCTGTATTTCAGTTTTTCAGAAGGTCTGTTATAGCCAAGTTTGATCTGATAATGGCTTAGTTACAAGAATACTTGATTTTAATTTCTCAATGTCTTTGAGACCTTTTTGTCAAAATCATGCGAGTAAGCAGTGTAGTCCCAAGGAGGTTTCATTACTCTGTAATTATTAATTTTTTCTTTTCAGGATCTTGTGGTTCTAAGAGAAGGCTTTGATATACTCTTACCAAAGGTAGCTATTTTTGTTTCTATTTAGTTACAGTTTTTGTTTACTTACGTATGAGATTGAAAAAACACTACTTAAACAGTGTGTACTACTAGTATATTGAGGTGGTTCAGGTTGAATCTTTTCAAAAGTCCCTGATCATTTTTGTAACACTGTACACATTTTATAAAACATTCTGAATGTAAGGTTTTCATCAATACTATCAGTAATAACATTATTTTCATGTTCCAGGTAGCACGCTGCATTCAAAGACTTGCAGATTTTGCAAGGCAGCACAGAGAACTACCATGTCTTGGTTTCACACATATGCAGTGAGTAACTTATATATCAATTTCATGTAAAAAAATATATGTATAGAACAATTACTAACTGTAACAAGCAATAAGGGTCCGTTCACATGAAAAATCTATTTTCTAAAAATCTAAAAATCTATTTTTGGTATCTTGTGATCACGGTCTGTGCCCGGAATACCTCACAGCGTAATTACTGGCAGCGTGAGCCAGTTTCTTCCAAAGCTGTAATTAATTCTCGGCTGCGGCTGGGGGGTATTCAGGGCACAGACCATGATCACAAGATACCGCAAATAGTTTTTTAGATTTTTAGAAAAGAGATTTTTCATGTGAACGGTCCCTAAGCCAGCAAAGCTGTCAAATACCCGTTTTGCAGATTGTGCCATTAGAATCCCTGTGTGATTAGGCCAGGTGATGATGTATCATGTTAGGCCCCATTCCCATAGACACCATCAGTGTACATGGATGGACTCACATCTGCAAGGACTCTTGCTGGCTACAATCAGCTTAACTGAGTAATAAACCTCTTCCTGGCATAGAGGAGAGTACAGAAAAGCTGGAGATTACATGAGCACATTGGAAAGAAAAGGAGGTGGTCAGTTAAGCTGATTGCACTTAGTGAGAATCCCCACAGAGTTGGGGGGATCTTCTTAGACTGATGGTGTGTACGGGAATGGGGTCTAATTTTGGCAGTTTACCATTTAACTTAAGTCCATTTAACTGTCTTGAAAGCCTTGAGTAAAACTTGATTTCCTTCAGACCAGCCCAGCTCACCACTGTGGGCAAGAGGGCATGTCTATGGATACAGGACCTGTTAATGGACTTGCGCAACTTGCAAAGGGCCAGAGATGACCTACGCTTTAGAGGGGTTAAAGGAACCACAGGCACTCAGGCCAGTTTTCTCTCTTTGTTTGAAGGAAATCCTGATAAGGTAAATGGTGTTTTTTTTTCAGTGAGACATTTTCTTAGTAGTTTATTAAAAGTTTGTTACACGACAACTCAGCAGAAATACATGCTATTGTTTATCTCCATTTGCAAATTTATGAAATGATGGGAAGCTTTTGACCCCCATATAATGTAAAATACATTTATTTACAAACTGTGAGGATTTGCTTTGGGTGCAGATGAGCATTATAATTGAATGAAAGGCTAAATATGTCTATGACAACATTTTTGTTATTACAGATTGACCTATTAGATAATCTGGTGACAGAAATGGCTGGGTTTAAAAGGTAAGTGTCCAGTTTTGTCTATTGACAACAGACTTTATTTTACCAATAACAAAAATCTCACTTTAGTTCTTTAGCACTGCCCTTGGAAGTTCTAAATTTTTTTTCATTTATTTTTTTTTTTCAGATCTTATATTATATGTGGTCAGACATACACTAGAAAAGTTGACATTGACACCCTCAGTCCATTGGCCAGTCTTGGTGCCTCTATCCATAAGGTAAAAAATTGCAATATAATTTACAATATGTCAAAATTGTATTTATCAATGTACAATATATATATATATATCAAATTTATAGTAAATATATCAAAGTGTAAATTTATTTATACATTAACTTCAAAATAAAATAATAATTAAAAACGCTAAGAATTAAAAAGACTGTTATGCAATACAAGTCTTAAGGCATTCAAAACATAGTGACAGCATTAACTAACTTATAGTAAGTTTGGACCTGTACAGAATTGGGACTTGCAGATTTCTTGAAGTGCAGGTCTCTGGTTCTTCAGCGCATCTAATGCTTCCCCCATGTCTGATGTATTCTATTATAGCTTCTAACAATTTGGAAGATTTCCAAGATTTGGGCCAATTTTAAATGATTTGCTTAAATCACTTGAAAGTAGAGGAAATGGTGTAGATTCTGGAGCAGAATATTTGTTATATTAACTGGGGCACCAGGTTAATGAACACTAGCTACCCCTATCTCAGAAATTATACCTCCGAAATCTCTAGATTGCGATTCCGCACAGCTCCCACAGGGAACTATGTGCCACTCACGGCAAAGGCCCTTTTATCATTGTTTTGGTAGTGGCTTAACTAATAGTCATTCATTTTCTCTCTTGGTGAGTTTTAATGTCAGTGAATGATATATTATATATCAAGGTACAAATATTAGTATCAAGAAATGTGATACCAACAGATGCTTTTACTAAGTACTACATATGTTATTAAGAATATTGATTCTAATAAAAATGAATTAAAAAGTGATAATGTATTATTTTCAATTGTTAATTACAAAAAAGTAATAGCCTCTCTCTCATTTCCCCCTCTAGATTTGTACAGATATTAGACTGTTGGCAAGTATGAAAGAAGTGGAAGAGCCTTTTGAAAAAGACCAGATAGGTAAATGATAAACCAAAAATTGAACATATAATGTACACAATGGGACATTTTGGGGGATTTGGGGCATCAAAAATCTGTTGCCATGGCGACAGAATTATGAGACAGCGTTGAATATTGAAAGTTCTTCATGCTTTATCTTTGCATAAGCAATGTTTTTTAATACTGCTGAAATGTAATATATGGTGGTCCATGTTCATGATAGTATAATGCAAGTATAGATAAAAGAAATATTTAAAACAATTAAAAGAAAAGAAATTAAATATGTTTATAAGTTTACAACCCAGCAGAATAATATGTGAATGCTTGATTAGTACGTTGATTAAGTGTCGTCAGAGTTCATAACTAAATGGATATGGGATGTATTAAAATGTATGTTAGTTTTATTACTTAAATCAAATTTAACACTTGCACATATTTACTTATTAAATAATTTTGAGTAAAAATTTATGTTAACAATGCACCTGGGTTAATCTATAAGATTATATGTTTACCTCATATGTATATATTTGAATCAGTGGACTTACATTCTTCATCACAGGCTCCAGTGCTATGCCTTACAAGCGTAACCCTATGAGAAGTGAAAGATGTTGTTCCTTGGCTAGACATTTGATGACTTTAATCCAAAATGTTCTCATGACACACTCAGTGCAGTGGATGGAGAGGACACTGGATGACAGTGCAAATAGGTAGTTAATTATAGCCTGATATTGTAAGATTTTCAAACATTATTTTTTTTTAGCCTAGTGGCTGTGAGTAGGTACTTGGGTTTAATTAATTTCAAAGATTTTAACTTCCAAAATGTCATATTTGTATTATTAGATTACTAATTAGATACTTTTGGCCAGGGTCATGAGCACACATGGGTAAGCATAATTAATTGTGTTAGGTGAGACAGAGTGCGTTTTGTTGTGCATGTTTCTTAAACAGCATTGAAACTTTCCTAAATTGTTATCTGTCATAACCTTTGCAATACACACTAAACCAATATTTCATTTTGAATTATTGTAGGCATGTTTTATTCAGTTTAACATGCATTATATCAATTGATGGGTGTATAATAGGAACAGGACTTTACTTGAATTCAATGTTACCTTGCATTTCAGACGCGTGACTTTAGCAGAGGCTTTTTTGACTGCTGACATTGTACTTAGTACTTTGCAGAACATAACAGAAGGCCTGGTGGTTTATCCCAAGGTAACATTTTTTCAATTTATCAAAAGCATTACACAAAAACTATTGCATTTGAAAAATATTTATGTATATAAACACAAGATTAATTAATTAGATTAATGTTGTCAAAAACTTTATGTTTAAAATTTGTGTTAAACTTAAACTTTATTCATTATTTATTGAAATTTTGCAAGATATATTTAAATACATATATTACAATATTTTTGAAAGAATATTGTATTGTAAGGATCCAATTTAGATATTTATATTTACATAATAACTTGTATTTCAAGTTCTTAGCTTTTGATTTGATCTCTAAAACAGGTTATTGAACGCCATGTAAAACAAGAGCTTCCATTTATGGCCACAGAGAACATAATCATGGCAATGGTCAAGGCTGGACAGGACAGACAGGTCAGTACATTGAAAAAGTTTATAGCAAATGCCAAGCTGATGACCTAGAGGATAACAGATTGACTGAAATCAAAAAAGAGAAAAAACATTGGATTGAGAAGGCATTTGGTTTTTTTTTTTGTCTATAAAGTGATAGTCAAGATTCTAGCAATATTTAAAGTAAAAGTAATTTTTTCTTTTCTTACTTTCTTCTTTTTTTCCAACAGAGACTTGCAAAACATAAAATATGTAACTCTGATTTTTGGCCTATGTATTGTAAATTGTAAATTATAATGTATATTCTGAACAGAGTAGCATAACCATGGTTAAGTCATACCTTACTTGTCTGCTGTAGGTTTGCCACGAACAAATCAGAGTGCTGTCACAAGAAGCTGGCGCTGTTGTAAAGGAGCAGGGAGGAGATAATGATCTCATGGAAAGAATCCGAGCCTCAGTTTATTTTGCTCCCATCCATGATCAGTTGGACAGTTTACTAGATCCAAGCACATTCACTGGAAGAGCACCAACTCAGGTACAGTTTCTGACAGTTTCTAAGAAGTTCACATGCATAGTGTGATGTGAAGTTCACAAAAGAAATACACTTGATATATTGTGATTTATCAAACATGTTTTAACTATTTCATCATTTCCGTAGCCAAACTGTAAAATTTATTGAGAGCAGTATATATTTCTCAGGCTTTAAATCATATGATATCCATTTTACTCCTGAAAATATGATAAATATACATATTTCTTTACACGCATTACTGTAGATTAATTTTTTGATAATGTTAAAACAGATCGGTGCACAACTGCATACAGTTAAGTGTGAATACTATATATATTTCTGTCCTCACATTGTGCATCTCATTGCCTTAAGACTATTCTAATTCTGGTATATATGTATATTTATATCTTTTTTCTTCTTTTTTTTTAGGTATTAAGGTTCCTGGAGGAGGAGGTAGCACCAGCCCTTAAGCCTTATGGCAGTGAACTTGGGGGAACAGTAGAACTCAACCTTTGACAAAAGTTTTCAGCTTTATGGGTCTTAGAATTCCACTACAATATTATTGAATTTTGTATTAAATTCTTTTATCCTAGAATACATCAAATTGAAAATCAGACTAACTTTAATGTGTCATTAAACAATAAAAGACAATATCAAGAAATATGTTAACTATTGGATATTTGAATAAATATTGATTGTGAAGTATCTTTTAGAAAATACTGCTAAATTTTCCTCTGGGAAACACCACTATTTAGTTTGCTATATTAGTAACTTTTATCATTTGTGTGTAATCTCAAGCAGTGAATAAATAAGAAAAATAAAAAAAATGGGTTTTTGTTTTCAAACTGAATATATTTATTTACCATAAGAATAGAAGTCTGATTGCTTCATTATGATGGTATAAATTGGACTTCAGTTGACAAAAATCTGATTGAAAATAATGTTTAGGCAGAATGGATAGACCCATGTTTTGATTCTGGATATTTTTCCTTTTCTAAAGTGTAGTTCAAAATAATGGACAAATTAAAGTTTTAAAAACAAAATGGTAAAATCCACACCTTTAGAAAATTTTCCTAGTAATGAAGCTTAGTTCAAGTATCAGTTGTGCAAATTTCTAAGATGAATGATATTGATTTTAAAGGAGTAAGTACCCTAAAAATGCAAATCTACAGAAATCGTTAACATGGCAAGGTACGTAGATGTGCATGCGTCAAATAGTCTAGTTTATGATTAATTAACTTAAACTAATATATGCTTAACTGAGACTTACAAAGTGCAGTTCAGTTTACTTGTTTAATGTGGAAAAACTCAATATCAGCCTTAATGTCAGACATAGACTGCTTTAATTCTGTATTATGAGATAATGTCCACATGATGATGTTTACTCAAAGGTGCTTTTTCTTTCATGAAAGTGTCAGTGCCAGTGGTTTTACTTCATGCATTATTTGACTGTTTCTTTAGTTTGTATATTGTTTGAAGCATAAATCAATGCAGGTTCAGAGCTAAGAAAATGTATTGCCGTCCCTTGCAAAGAAAAGACGATATAGGACATGTAAATGTTACATTATTACATTGTGCAATAGTAGTGGAATGTATTTAGAGGCCTGTGATAGAAAGAAAATCAGCAAGTGATAGATTTTCAATCTGTCATCTAGAAATTAGTTTGAACAGCAAAGCAACTTAATCAGGATTAGTTCTGAGTAAAAATCCATTGAAGCATATGATTTACAGTTATCACTTGACAATTTGGATGATAGCTTTTACTTTGGATGTTTACCAAGCATCCTTGTTTAAAGTAATGAGCCTTAGCAAGTAAATTTATCTAGTTTGATTAAGAAAATTAGCTGTTGCCAAGCACATGTTGATTTCCCACCTGTTTCATGTTATTTCTAGCAAGATAGTGCTATTGTCATATACAGTGTCAGTTTCAATAATTGAACATTAATCAACAATGTTCTGCTGAATTAAAATTTGCCCCACCTCCTCTTGCTCAGATGTAATAATGTAAGTTAGATCATGATCATTGCTACCATTTAACTTTTACATGTAGTTCTATGCTCTTTGAAAGTACATGTACATTTGAAGTTTCTCAATGCAGCATTGTAATGACATTTATTTGTTTGCATAGTACTTGGGTACTTGGGTACCTGTGACCTGGAGAAGCACCCAACAGTGCACAAACAATGGGTATGGAATATTACATTGAGAACAATCTATGGCCATAGTGTTCATTGTTAGTTTTTGGTGTTAGCCATGAGGCAAAGGGTGAAAAGTTGCATGGATATAAGCATGCGCGAAGTAAATAGGTGACTTTTGGACAAGGTCTCTCAGAGCAGCTAGTATGTTCGATACAGTATCAGGACTGAAAGTTGCATTTGAAATTGCTCTTTTCATGACATTGTATCCATAGACCAGTTATTGGATCTGTTTATTGGTATGATTTTAATTTATTTTAAGATTTGGGATTGAATTGTGAGGAATTGTGTTTGTGATAGTTGTTAATTAGTGGAATATCAGTCAAATATGTATGACATAAAACTAAAGTTGTTGCCAAGTTTTTTCTAAAGGGTTATTTGACTTGGTAAATTAACTACTACAACTACTTCAAACATGGGACTAAGTGTTACTAGGATTAAGCCATTCTAGCAAAAGGTGAGTTCTTGACAGCATACAGACAGAAAGACCACAGTGCTTTTCTCTTAGACTCGAGATATAGCATAATACATTATAAATGTACATACTGGTGAAGTAAAAGTAGTTTTTGCTGGATGATAGCCTTTAATTATGAAATTGACCTCAAATTTTAATGGTAGAACTAGCTATTTGTGTAATATGCTGACTTTTAAAAGAAAATACTTAATTGATATTCTCTTCTTTAGATTAATTGATAATTAATAAATAGAAATGCTTCACCAAAGTTGCCATGTGCCTGTGTATTGATCTTAACAGTGGTCCTGCACTAGATCAATAATATTACCAAACTTTCTCAATAAGAAATGTGTCCCCATTTATATTGAACACACATGCACACTAAGTATTTTCCTGTTTTATGCACTAAAATGGGTATACATGTACATATATTAGACCTGGGAGAATAAAATATATATGTAGAAGAACGTTTTGATAACAATACGGAATTAAAGGTAGGTTGAGGTACATACTTAAGCATTGACATAAGCCTGAAAAAGATGGCTAGCTAGAATGTCTTACAAGGATATGTCTTTACCTTGCAAGCTTGCCAACAAGGGCTGATTAGTCGATTGTTAATAGGCCACCTGCAAGGTTGTATACTTCTTTCTTCATGCAGGTATGCAGGCAGTTGAAAATTGCATCAAATACTGTTTACTCAATTTGAGTGTATTTATTGCAAAGCATTAGGTTATGTAATAGAAATTCTTTCAGTAAGAGTCAGTTATTCAGTGCTTTATAATACGTGTGTCATTTGGTTTCAAGGTTATTTTTTGGCCAAAATTAGGCAAATGATTACCACTATTTAAGGATTGCGTGCTTTGAGTTGGAATTATAGTCAAATAATTCTAAGTTAAGCTGTTTGAAGAAACTAACAAAATTGTAACTTTGTCTTTATATGGGGCCGTAGTAATAGTTCGAAGGTTCAACAGTCCAAATGTTCATTGGTCTGAATGTTCACTATGGAACCATCGGACCAATGAACCCTTGATAAAAAAACGATGAAAATGTTACTATTTTTTGGACTAATGAACCTTCCGACCAATGAACCTTTGGACTATCGAGACGCCCCCATTTATATAAGACAGCTGAGGATATTGTGGGTGCTAAAGCTTTTTGAAGTTTTTTTTTTTTTTTAGATTATACAAAACCATTAGAAATGCCCTAGTTCTAACAGTGCAGGGCATATCTCTGAAGAAAAAGGACACACCTGAAAACATGAAGACATATTGCATTCAATTATGACATCTCCTGAAGAAAAGTGATGGCCACTGAATGAGAAACAGAAGGACATTAAAAACAAAATAACAGGAACAAATGGTCTATCTTAACATCCATGGAATTCAATAGATCATGAGTAAAACAAAGTTGTGGGCAGAGAGGCGCGAGTCTAGTCAGAGCAATAAAGTAAGTACCACTACAACATGAATGTAGTACGTGGCATCATTATACTTGTGACATTAATCTGTGACTGTTTAACTTGGTTTCTACTAGTTATTGTAGCACAGTGTAGATGTCATGGTAAAATATATATATATATATATATATATATATATATATATATATATATATATATGATAGGAATCATTCTATCTACACACAACTTACCCAAGTCTCAAATTTAAAGGCAATAAGCAGGATAACAATGGTATTAAGTGGGTTTCCTTTGGTATTCAAAAAATAACATATTACTTTAAAATGTACAAGTATATACTAGGGAAGTCAAATGAGATGTCATATCTGTAAATTTTTAGGTATCAGAGACTGAGACAGATGAGAGTTTTACTATTAAACTTGCTGCTGCTCACATTGAGGATGCTATCCATGGAAGGTATGTAACTTTTTCCATTCATTGTACAATATATGGTAAGATGCCATGCAGCCAGAGCCAAAGACTAATGATGGTAATAAGTAAATTTAGAACTTAAGAAGTAATTCCACTATTGAACAACTTATAGTGTTAATTTCATACCTAAATTCATTTAGCAAAGTTGAACTAGTTGCTACTGAGACCAGATAAATCCATAAATAGTTATACATCACAACTTGTAAATAATGTCAGAATGTTTATATTTAAAATATAAATTGTTTTTAGAATTAATACAATTGTCTGAATACCTAATTGGATGTGGATAGAGAAGAAAATAAATTTAGTATTAAAATCAATACAGATACATAAAAACAAACTCCATTTATATGTTTTTCTAATCTGTTGATAGACTTACGATGTGCCATTTTACTTACAGAGCTGCTTATGGTAAAGCCAAAGCCATACAGAGCACACCGTGGATGCAAAGGTAAGGATTTCTTTCTGGATTCAAGTTTCAGGGCTTATATGGGACTTCTCTGTAACTAGCACATACATGTGCTTAATCCCTGTCAAGGATCCAATAAATCCTGTACTGGTAGGAGCCAATAGGACATTGGCCCAATTTCCTATAGGATCTTATAGAAACCTATATAGGACTTTTTAGTAAGGGAGTTTCATATGTCTGATAGACTGTAGCCTTAAAAATGCCTACATGTTGGCATTTTCCTTTGAAATTGGTGCTCTGTACAGATGAATTAGAATTTCTGCATGTGAAGGCACATTTACAGCTAGCTAAGTTCACTTCTCTACTCTTTGCAGCTTCCAGTGTTTCAATCATTAGAGGCATACAGACATGATCAACTGCATGTTCATGAAAAATAAAAAGACAAAGTCTAGAAACTGCACTTGTGCAATTGTTTTCAACAAGTTTCGTTATTTTGTCAGGTGTTTCCAAATAGTATCTAACAAGTGGTACAACCGTTTTCTGGTGCTTAATGTCATTGTCCATTCCTGCTTGGTGGCTTGGGAACCCACACAGATTGATGAACCTGCAGGGTCGTAAGTAATGTTATAATCAGGTTATACTCCTATATATGCAGCGAAGTACAGTACAGTACAGTAAAACCATATTAAGTTCTTGTATTTCAAGGTCACATTCAGAACGGGTGATCTGCAGACTAACTGATCCTCAAACTACATATGGCTGACCCCACCTCCATAGGCACCATTAAATGGATTAAGGCTTCATTCACATGGAATGTCTATTTTCTAAATTCTATTTTCTATTCGCGGTATGTCTTGTGATCACGGTCTGTGCCCTGAATATCCCGCGGCGTAATTACTGGCAGCGCGAGCCAGTTACTATAAGTTACTATAGGTAACTGGCTCGCGCTGCCAGTAATTACGCGGCGGGATATTCAGGGCCCAGACCGTGATCATAAGATACCGCAAATAGAAAATAGATTTTTAGAAAATAGACATTCCATGTGAACGAAGCCTAAATCTCAGCTCCCAGGTTAAATTGCTAGGCCCCTGCAGGGATAATGAGGGATCAGGGATTAATCTGCATTGCTTTTAAGTGGGACGGCCATTTTTGATCTGTGGATCTGTTAGTCCACGGATCAACTTGTTCTGAATGTGCTCAAAAACTCCAATCCTTCAGCAAATATTTGTCTGTTCTTACAGAGCTTAATTGACAAATGTGAGATTCATTATTTATCTGCACAGACCTTCCCCATTCAGAGACTTTGTTTGCAGGATTGTTTGATTTTGTTTAAAAAATTATTTTGTCTTCTAGAACTCACCCTGTGGTATTTGTGATAGGGTTTGTCTGCTTGGCCATATATGTAGCAGACCTCGTCTTCAGCATATCATTTTTCACATGGAAAAGTGTGAAGGATTTCAAAGTGGAAGAGACAAAATGGCTTAGGTATAGCATTTTACAACTGCAGGAATATTTTACCAAATTGATTGGTTCTGCACAGTTGCAATAATGTTGCTTTTGAATTCCAGCCCTTACGATTCTTTATGTAAAGTTGTTTTGAAAGTTGTTTTGAAAGATAACTTTGATTTCTTTAGTAATAATTCTGCCTAATAGTTTATCAGTACTAATAGGAAGTGCATTTTATTTTTATTTTTTTATTTTTATTTTTATTTATTTTTTTTAGAAAATTGATTTCAAATATGTTGTGAAATAGACCATCCCTATGAAATGTTTTGTAAAACAAGGTTTTGCACCAGTTTGTTTTTATTATGGAAGAGTATCTGAATAAAATATACAAATAGTTGAAAAATACACACTGTAAGATTTTAAGACTGATCTTGCTTCAACTTCAGGGTGGAGTGCATCTTCATCACCATGTTCATCATAGACTATTTGTTACTACTTGTCCAGCATTTTATAGCATTAGGAGGAATCAGTGCAGTAAGTATATGAACATATGTCTGTCTTTATGACTTGAAAAAAGTTGTGAGCATGTTGCCTTTATTTCATCTTTTTAGCATGGATTTTTGATAGATTTTAATTTAAACTAACAATTTTAGTTCATGTAACAAGTGGACTCTATGATTTTCGTTAATTATGATAATTGTTTCTTTAATTCAGCGTATACCAAGTCCGTTCCGTTGCCTGCGTCTGGCAACTATCTTCTGTAAGATCACCAATGTGGCTCATGTGTTTGAGATAGCTCTTCTTGTCCTGTTCAAGATTATCAAGGTAATAAGCAAAAATTCTAATATAATTTTTTATTAAATGAAAGTTTTCAGACCATATGATCTCAGCTCAAACAATGATAATTTTTGTATGAAAATTAACTAATAATAATTTACATGTTAGAGGGAAGCCTGCAACCTGTCAGAGGGAAGCCCTCGTAAGTTATGTTTAAATCCTTGCTTAATCAATTTGGAACATTCATATCAGCTATGTTCTGTATCATTTTAAAACAAAACATGTTTTTATCCAGTTTCTCCTGATTATCCTTGGTTTTGTTGCTGTGTTTGCTGCCATTGGCATTCAGCTGTTTATGATGGACTATCACTATATTGGTTGTTACCATAGAGAGAACTTGACCAATGCAGATGGTATGCCTTGCAATGAAAGCATATCTGATGATACCACAGGGTAAGTAAAAATTTGATCGTCTTTTATTTAGGGACAGATTTATGGTGACAATTGTTATGCACAAAATTTTATGGAGGATTAAAGCAAATTCAAATTTTGAAATTTTTAGCACTTCAAATATAGTGCAATTATTCCATAATTTGTCTTGAAATATTTCAAATAAATGAACAGTGTGCTTGTTTTGCTATTTTTTTAAATGTACAATTATTTTCTTTCAGATCTTTTGATAACATAGGATTTTCCTTTATAAAAGTGTTCAGTTTGCTAACAACCTCAAACTACCCTGTAAGTACCTCTCTGCTTGAAAAGAGAATACAGTTAAATAGTATTAATAAAACCCATATGACTTTCAGATAATTTCAAGGAAAAATAAGAAAGGCTACATTTCCAGGCTAAAATCCTTTAGAAACAAGAATCATCAAATTTTGAATTATGGTAACATTTTATGAATATTAAAACTTGTTTTCTATTAAGGTGTTTCTTATGATAAAAAGTCTATTTATTTATATGAATTTGTTGTTATTAAAAGCAATTTTACTTTGTCATCAGCACATCATGTGGGGAGCATATTTGGCATCCTGGACAAGCTTCTTCTATTTTGCCGTCTTCCTCTATGCAGGATTGTTCATAGCCACTGCTCTACTGCTTGCCATTATAGTTGATGAATATTGGTGAGTTAATCCTCAGATTATTAAGCAGCCAGTCAGTACTTGTGGTATGTAATCATATATGTTTGATTTTTGTCATGTTTGGTTTTTGAAAAAAAGAATGCATTTTGCAGCACTTAGAGCATTTAGAAGCATTCTTCCATTGGTGTCTATTTTATCCCCATTTTGGGAAGGATAAGTGCTTGACTTGAACCCTCCACACCCCCATTCCCCAATTCTTAATGAATTATTATTGTTTTTTTTTTTGTGGTTATTATAAGTTTTTTGTTTATGTAAGTTGTCAAACAATACTGACCTTATAAGAATCTGCATTTATTCTCAGGGCCTCCTGCAAAGCAGATGTCAAACGTGAACGAAAGCAAGAGAGGGGGGAAATAGTAAAGGCATTCAACCTGTTGGATGATCCAGGTGCTGGGAAAATTCCTGTTGATGATGAAAAACTTTTTCAAGTTTTTAAGTTATTAAAACCCAATGTGAGTATTTGAGATTATATACAGCTATATTGTATAAAAATTAAAATAACTCCTATAAGATTTTGAAATTATGTTTTCAGACCAACTAGATAAATGCCATTTGTCTAAAATGTAACACATTGGTGCAATTTGTCAGTTGTAATGATTTATGTTAAAAAAAACAAAGTGATGTATTTTTTAAAATTACTTGACATCTGTTGACATGACATGAAGATTTTTGACTTTGAATTGACTTTAGATGATTAATTCCATTTCCTTTTCCATGCAGAATTCGAGGGCAGAAATCAAAGAGCTTATTCAAATCATGGATATGGATTGTGATGGAAAGATCAGTAATTTTGACTGTGTCACTATGTTAACAGACGTATTGCATTATGAGTTTGAGAAAGTAGATGAGGAACAGGTGAGGAAAAATAACATGTTACTTGATCTGTATATTCTGTTTGTCATATTTCTTACTTTAAATTGAAGAATACTATTCTATTTTGACTCAATTTTTCCTACATGGTATTTTGATATTTTTCAAACTAGATTACATATACTGGCTTTAGTTTGAACTTAATGATAACATGGTGCAGCTGCCAATTTATTCCTTTTCTGATATATTTTATGATTCATAATAATACAATTGTCTCTTGGTTTTCAGGATAAAGGCAACAAATGCATTGTAGCATACAGAAATGCTTGCAAGAAAGTGTTTGAGTCAAAAGGATACAATTGGTTTTCAGTCATATTAATTTTGATTCATAGGTGAGTTGTGTGCTGCTGCTGATTAGGTAAATTTTGAGTACCCCAATGGAAATTTTACTGCCTTCTCAATTTTTTGTTTACACTGTTAAATTGATGCATTCGAAAAAATGATATAATATACTAAAACAAGTTGCTAGTACTGTGTGACCAGACATATACATGTACTTGGCAACCCCATGTTTACAAAATTATTATTGTCTGAAATTATTATTGTCTGAAAAGTGCTCATTTCCATTGTTGATATACTAGATATACAGTTATGATACAAATGAATAATCTGTAACTATCTAATTTGTTATTATTTTCAGTGCATTGTTTTGCATGAAGTGGTATAATATGGGACAGACAGAAGAAACAGTAGTACATCTTCTAATGACCAGCATCACAGTGATTCTCTTGGTCAGTGCTGCCTTAGTCTAAATCTTCTAGATCTTCTTTTTACTACACCAATAATTATTTATGGCAAATTAAAATATTAATTAAAAAAGTTTTAAAACCACAAAATCTTTGAGCAGCATCACATTGATGTTTTGGTCAGTGCTGCCTCTAGTTATATGCTTTCTATATATTTTTAACTGTTACAACCATTATTTATGGCAATATAATTACGTACAGACACATCGTGTCTCTACATATGATCATCAGCAGCATCTGTGGTTGCCTTGTCATTGTCGTCGCCATGCATTTTGAGAGATAACATGATAAGTTATAAAATAAGTAATAACCTATTCTCTTCAAAGTTGCAGAACTGATGGATATACATAAAATGCAGGTTGAGTTTAAAAATTAGATTGACTGGATCATTTTTTCAGAAGTTAAGCTGTTTTTTCCGCTTTTTATTTATTTATTTATTTATTTATTTATTTTATTTTATTTTTTTTTTGACTTGGTACTTGTATTGGACTTGCTTACAAATTTTTAAAAGTCGGCCTGATAGGAATTTTAGCAGTTGATTTAAATTAATTTCCCGTTTTATGTAAATGCTAATTTGAAGTTTGAATAAGTAATTTTATTTGTTAGTAAACAGTGAGCTGAAATGTATATAAGAGGGGTGCTTTTTCTGACAAAAAAGTGGATATCCTTCCATTAATTGCTCCAATGTGCAACAAGGATTAAGAATTTTTAAATTCAGGACAGACCAGTTTTCTACCCAGAGTAGTGGTTCTTTCAATCTTTTATTTGACTACAAAATGATAACATAAGTTGCTGTACACTATGCATTTGCCTTAAAAAGTAAAATAAACAATGTACTAGGATATAAACCCCAGAACATGACAAAAAAGGCTAGCAAATGCTAACAAGAAAATGCATTTTTTTTTCGGTGGGTGCAGTTTCTCCCAAAAGGGTTCAGTTCTTCAGAAATGTACCGGGTAATTAAGTATGCATAGACTGGAAGAATGTGGAACTGTGACTGGAAGAATGGAAGATACAAATAATAGCTGTTTACAGCCCATGAAGATCTTGATATTCCTCCAGATCCTTAACTTCTGTTGAGAATGGTATGTTTTCAGGAAGCTGTTTTGGGTGTAAGGTAACCGCTTCTTTCGGTGTTCCCTGTGGTTGTCTTTCTTCCCATTTTTCTTCAGGGTCTTGTTCAGGGTGTCCGAAAATACCCTAGTATATTTAAAATTCTTAATCAGAAAACAATGGGTATATTTAACAGATGTGTCTGTAAATAAAGCTGTCACCTTCAGCTGAGTTGATGTCGCCATCACTGGGCACTTTCAGAGATAACATCATAAGTGGAAAACCATTTCATCTTGCTATTATTTTCAACTTTTTGTAGTTTAACATAACAAAAAAAAAATAATAAATAAATAAATAAACCAAAGTAATTCAATTGGTTGTGTCAAGCAAAAGGGTATGGACCACAATGGAAATAAGTGTTTTCCACTTTCTTTTGTCATCCATGTATTTATCATTATTGAAATATATTTTGTAAATAATTCACATATTATGTATGTAATAAATCAAACCAAAGCCAAAAAGGCTCTCTTTAGGTGACTTTTTTTAAATAATATGGTGGTACAGCTGAAATAGCACTCAATGTGAAAAAGAAAGGAGTGAAGTCATCTGAACAAACAACATATTTACTCCCTACCTTACCATTCCCAGTGACTGTCACAGTTTGTGTTGATTGACTATTGAGCAGACTGGCTGCATTTTGACCAGAGTCAGGACTTTCAGGTGTAAGTGATGGTATCGAGTGGCCCTGATCTGAACTGTTCTGTCTGTCAGTCATGTTTAACTCTGCAAGGGACAATATGACAAAGTGCTTTTTTTCCTAATGTGTACATTTACAGTAACTGCATGTTATTCAACAAAAGAAACATTTATGTAAATTGGTATTCTTAGATTTTTCTTCTGTTTAACAAGCATTGTATACTAGGGCCTTCTGAAAACATTATATATCAAGTTGTGTCAGGCAGAGATACACCTGTACATGTTGTAACTATTGAACTAGAACGCAATGCTCAATGGTGAAAATAAAATGTGAAATATTCCAAATCTGGCAAGGGTACACTCATATATATAGTAACTATATATCGAACTTGAATTAAGGAATATTCAGTGTCACATTATATATATATATATATATATATATATATATAGAGAGAGAGAGAGAGAGAGAGAGAGAGAGAGAATATTTAATAAGACCTTGAATTTGACCTTTGAACTGGGAATACGAAGTCATATATTGACAATCTTAATGTGACGTTTAATTTGACCTTTGGCCTACTTTTCACCATGAACTGCATAATTTCCAATCTTTTATTATCATTGAACCAAAAATGGCAAAGAATGGCAAAGATAGATCCAAAGTAACTGTATTGAACTTGGAAAGGAAATAATAAATTAGGCATCTTAGACTGGGTTCCCACAGATTTAGATCGATCCATTTGGATCGACCTAACTCCCTGGGGGTTCACACTAAATTGTTGTCAGCTTCCGAGAACTGAGTGTGCACAAGAGTTAATGACCCCCTTACAGCTTTTAGTAGGCGGGACAGACATTGAAGCCACTTAAGCTGACAGCAATCTAGTGAGACTCCCCAGGGGGATAGATCGATCTAAATATCTGTGGGAAAGGTCTCTTAATGTGACATTGAATTTGACCTACTTTTCAATACAAATACTTTTTGTATATTTACCAGATATTTTTCCACAACTACAATAAATACATCCATAGATTATCATTTTCTTGATTATCCATTTGATTATCAAAGCAAAAAAAAAAATTACAAGTATTTATTATTCATGATATCAACAAACACAAGTACAGTGGTATCCAGATGAAATGATACAGGATCTTCATTGCCCAAGAATTGAATTTAGCATGCTGAACTTTTTTTTTCAAGGATATCAGGTTATAAACTATATGCTTTTAACCTCTATTAATTTTATATTCAGTTGTGCTCTCAACTGATCGATTTCATGTTTTGTTACTATTGTTTAACCAGGTTGCGCAAATGTTATTCTATTGTGGTTTATACAAATATAAGCTAGTTTAAGGACAAAACTACCTGCTCCACAGACAAAAATATGTCTTTTGAAATGTTCAATTGTCAATAAATATAGATCAAAATCGTATGTAATCAGCGAGACTACAAATTAGAAATTATCGCAATTAGGATACTTACCTGGGATATAAAGTACGTTGCGGAAGTCAGCGGAAGTCAGGTGGGTTTTTAATTTATTCGCACATGCTCGATGATAAACTTTGGACTGTTTATGTGTGCAATATTCATTGCGATCGTTAAAATCAGCATAGCAATTTGTCAATTTATATTTTACGATATGGGCAAATTCAATAGTAAATAACAGTCTTGAAAATCAAATGAAATCAAAAATGGGAAATATTTTCGTTTGCTGAACAAGTTGTTATTAGGTCAAGGAGCAGGTTAGATAGAAGCCACAAAATGGTGGCTTAATTTTACTAATAACACATGGTTTGTTACCGTAAGATTTTGTAACATATCAATATATGTACAGGCACAGATCTCTGTTGCAGTTCTCTAGTCTCTGTTGCCATCACCTTGCAGTTTCAGAGATAACATGGTAAGTGTAAAACCATTTTGCCTGTTGTCTTCTTTTTTTTTGTATATATTCCATATATACAGATAACACATTTGAGAAATTATGGTTGATCTATTGTCTTCAAACTTACAAAAGTTATCAATATTACTAAAATCCAGGTCAAGTTAAAAACTAGTATGATGAGATTATTTTTCTTGAAGCATGAAGTGTTCAGTTTTCACATGTTGGCATTTGCAAGGTGTGACTTTGGACTTCCATGGGTCTGAAGGTCTTTGCTAGTCACATTTTCTAAATATCTGTGCTACCTGTAGTGCATAATTAAAGATTGGTGGTGATTATGCTGTTAAGCATTGTGTAATATTGCATCAAAATTGAAGAAAACCCCATTTGAGGCACTTCTTCTTCTATTACCTATTACATCGTTGGGCGTCTACCCAGCGGGCAAATTATGTTATTTTAACGTTGAAACAACGTTGAACCATAACGTTGAGAAGACATTGGATAAACGTTGGATTTGAAAGTTGTGTCAACCTCAGAAAACAACATTGTAGCAATGTCAGAAAACAATGTTATATCAATCCCCACCCAGCGGGAAATTAGCCTGGGTGTGTTTAACAGTAGGACATGTTTGATGGCTAAATATATGCAGGGTATAAATGTGTGGCCTTTAAGTTAAAATTTCCAAGGTTTAGATTAATATATATAGTTCTTTTCTTATATAAGAAGATAACTACAACCATATATATATATATATCACAGTCACCTCAACCTGTCTATCTATAACAGGTTACCAAGAACTGTTAACTCCATCACATTTACAGCAACTTATTCATCCTAGTGTTAGCTGACCTTGCAAGGAATTCAGTGTATTGGAATGTATTTCTGAATAGCAAGTTAAGAAAATTCACTCGTTAACTAAAGACACAAAACAACTGTCACTTTTACTTTAAAACCCTTTTGTTATTATTTTGATAAATTTAGTTACAGTATTGATGAACAAAGTATCACATTTTCAATAATTAATATTTTAAATTACAATCCATAACTGCAAGGTTGTGTCATTGACCAAAATACAACGTTGAGTCAACGTCACATTATGATGGTGTTTCGACGTGGCTGGATCAACATTGATTTTACGTGGAATTTAGGTAGATCAGCGGCAATTCAACGTATCAACCTGTTTTCAACGTTGATCCAACGCAACTATGCCTGCTGGGTAGGGCGTCAACAAAGGTCCTCCACTCCTCTCTGTTTCTCGCTAGATGTTGAATTGTCCCCCAACTTTTGCCCAGTTGTTTCAATTCAGTTTCAACAGTCCTCCTCCATGTGGTCCTGGGTCTGCCTCTTTTTCTATGCCCTTCTGGTGTCCAGTACATGGCTACCCAGTACTTTAGTGGTGGAATTTGGGTCTTTCCTCAGAACATGGCCAATCCATTTCCATCTTCTTGTCCTGATGACTTCACTTATACTTCTCTGGTTGGTTTGCTTTAACAGGTATTTATTAGATATAGTCCTTGGCCAGAATATTTTTAAAATTTTTCTGAGGCTTGAGGTGTGAAAGGTAGACAGCTTCCTGAGATCTTCTTCAGTTATGCGCCAGCATTCTGAACCATAGAGAAGAGTTGATAGTACACAGCTCTCAAATATACAGAGTTTGGTTTTTATACTATATTGAGAGCATTTCCAGGTTTTGTTTAAGCTCTTAAAGGCATTTCTGGCTTTGGTTAGTCTGTTGTTGACATCTCTACTGGTTCCTCCATCTGTTGCTACAATGCTTCCTAGGTATGTAAAGCAGCTGGTGTTATTAAGGATGCAGCCTTCTACTTCAACTGGTAGTGGTGATTGTATATTTAATGCCATCACTTTGGTCTTCTTTTTGCTTATCCTAAGCCCAATTTGCTGATAAACATCTTCAGTCAGCAAATTTGAGGCACTGTCACGATAATATTCATTTCAAGAAACCATGTCCCTTTACTATTCTCAAAAAATAAATAAAAAAACAACGTGGGACTAAAATACAACATAAGTTGGAAAACCAGTCAGATTGATGCCTTTTTCTGGAACTTACACAGTTTTGTTTTTTGAGAAATTTAAATTTTTCCGGTTTGGCATTTTCAAGGTGTGATGAAGACCCTTGGTAATCACTTTTTCCAAATATCTATGTTACCAGCAGTGCATAATTAAAAATTGGTGGTCATATGGTGTTTGATATTATGTAATATTGTATCACAATTGAAGAAAACACTGTCGCCATGGTTTAAGGGGAAAATATATGTCACTTACTTTTCTGAAATTTACAGAAAAGAAACATAGGACTGAAATACAGCTTGAGTTGATAAACCAGTCTGTTTGGTTTATTTTTTGGGAACTTACGCAGTTTTGTTTTTTGTGAAATTTAAATTTTTCACATATGGGCATTTTCAAGGTGTGACTTTGAACTTTGCGAATTACATTTTATAAGACTTAGTATCTATGTTGCTTGCAGTGCATAATAGAAAATTGATAGTGATATGCTGTAATTTTGCATCATAGTTGAAGAAAACCTATTTTGGGTTCTGCTGCCACAATGACCATCAAAGGAAAACTATGTTACTTGCAGTGCATAGGCAATATGCAATTCAGATAACACGTACATTTCATGTCTTCAAAATCACAGGACTGATGAATATGACATAGATACAGATTGAGTTTGAAAAATCAGCCTGTCGAAGTAATTTTTTGTGAAATGTTAATTTATCATGTCATGGCATTTTCAAGTTGCGACTTTGAACTCTCTTGGGCCTGAAGCCTTATGCTAGTTACATATTCTGTATATTCGTGTTCCCCATTGTGCAACATTATTTTTTAAAAAATTGTGTGTTAACTTTGCATAATGTATTATTGTATCGAAATTGACAAAATAACATATTGTGTGCTTTTATTTTCTGCTTTTGTCTGTACATTTGACAGCTTTGCTGCCTTCTTTTTATCATTTTCTTTTTCGGGTGTGTTGTGGGGGGGGGGGAGTGAGGGTCAGTAGGTTAAATGAACTTGGTAAAGTCAAAGCCTAGCATTTGACAGGGTTTCTTCTTTTACATAAAGTTTAATTCTAAACTCATTATCTTCCAGTTTGATTTACTGCTGCGTTCTGTAGCGTACTCAAAGGAGATGTGTCATTTGGCTGGTCTGCTGGACATTGGCCTCATCTCATTAGCAGTCATCAGTAGTGGACTGTGGTACTTGAATCTCCTCACAGAAGTGACATCTACCTTTAGCAGACATTCTGTACAGCTGTTTAAAGGTAAGATATTGAGAACAGGTTTTTCACTGTTCCTTAAGAATTTTCTAACTATATCTGATAATTGTAGTATCAGCAAGGAGACTGATGTTGGCATACACTGTACTTCGAAATCCTATTGAAGGGCAACAAGAAACGAGTGCATGGTATGGTAAAAGGTTATACAATTTGAAAAAAATCTTTCTTCTGGTGGTGTCAATTTTGGGAATCGAACGATGAAAAGTTTTTTTACTGATTTTTTGACTTAATGAAATAATAAATTGGTTTCTAGGGGTGACAACCGTTATATCTGCCCTGGCAGTTTTGGCGCGCTTACCCTTGATGTCAAAATACACCAGGTTTGGGCTGAGTGTGCTGGTCAACATATATCCCATCCTTTCAGATCTCATCATGTTGGTCTTCGTTGTTCTGTAAGTATGGGTTTTTGTTGTTTTTACTGAATCAAGGATGATAAATGAATACTTTATTAAAGATCTATACGCATAGATAGACAAATGATTTGAATTGTGTTTGCATTTAAACATATACCATTTATGATAACTATTTCCAGTTATTTCTATGCCATCTTGGGCCTGGAAATATTTCAAGAGAGTCAAGTGGATTCAAACTACACATTTGAAGTAACCAAATATGGTTGTGGGCTTGGTTATCAAACAGTAAGGTAAATAAGTTGATTGCTGGTAGTATCAAGATTAGTAACACAGTGTGAATTGATTTTCAGTCTTGGTAAAGTATAAGAAAATTGAAAATGAAAAATGAGACGGTGATGTTAATTTTTTGTCTGAAGAGTTAGGTAAAGGTAATAAATGTTGCCATGTGGAAAGACAGAAACTTGCATTGTTTATTCAAAAGAGAAGTTTTATCTATATTACATTATTTATGTGTGTTTGTATAATTATATACACGTTTGTGTGTGTTGAAGCTGTAGGAAAAAGATGGAGGAATACAAGTCTACAAACTGTAAGTTTGCATATATGAAGGAATAAAACAATTAGCCAATGCAAGAAGTAAGATTGATCAATTAATATTATTGAATGGCATCATTTCAGGTGCAGCCTGATAAACATCTTCCAAATTTTAACTACAGCAGGTTGGCATGGCAACATGGATGCTGCCATTGTGAGTACGACATGGTGGGCTGGCCTGTATTTTCTCTCTGCATACATCATAGTTAACATGCTCATTATGAAGTAAGTATATAAGAAAATCCTTTCCTAATACATTTTGTCTTGTTTTCTCTCTTTGTAATTAATTGATATTTCTGCATATTCTAACTGATTTTTTAATTAATCTTAGACAATATGCTACTGACAGCGTTCAAATAACTTTTTTTTAAATTACAGGAAACAAACACTTAGTTTTCAATTCTTCTAAGATTAACAAAAACATGCATATACACATATTATCAGAAAGTAGTGAAAGAACTTGTTTTTTTTTTAATTTTTTTATCAGCTTGTTTGTGGCCATCACCATCGAGGCCTTCAACAAACTAAGTGCAGATTCAGGGCCTGGTAGTGCTGTAATGGAGGGGAGAATACTGGTAAGGATCAGATATCACATTATATGTAGTGGACTTCAGAAGAGAGGCTCCATGAAATTATATAGACTGGTATCATTGCGTAAATGTTTAAGAGAAAAGGCATTAGATGAAATTATCATTAACAAAAAAAATAAGCTATTAGGTGTGTATAAAATAGATGTTTTACAGAGGTTATTTTTGCACAATTTGATTTTACTTTGAATTCATTTTCATTTTACTTTAAATTTGAATTTAACCTTTTTAAATGCGCTATATATGTCTATGAACTGTAAAATTGCTTTTGGTTAATATTAAAGTGGTGCTATATTTTTTCAATGAAACAATTATGTATGTAACATTTTAGGTTGGGGCAGCACCTGGTTTTACCTCTCATACTAAACAAAAAACAGAAGCTGAAGAAGAAGAAGAAGAGGCAGAAGTGAGAAATATACACTATCTAAATTAACGCATCTCTTTTAATGCAATTTTGGAGAAGTTTTGTCTTATTTTATACCACATTACACTTCTCGCATTCAAAATTTGTACAATTTGCTCAACTAACATTGTCATAAGTAAGTTGCTGGCTTTATCAATATCCTGTTTGATACATTGCATTTAGTGATACTTCTTGTGCTGGTTCATTTTTATTAATGCTGTCCATCTGCAAATCAGAATATTTGGAGTTGGGTGTTAATTTAGAATGTAAATGCAATTTTGCTGTGCTGTAATTTCATACCTGTAGATTTATCAGCCCTGTTTTTATCAAAATGTTAACAGATTGATATGATGATCTTTAAAATGTTCTAGGATATGTCAAACCTAAGTCTAGAAGAAAGAAACAAAAGACTTTTGAAAAGAAAAAGAAGACAGCGGAAGAAGAAGCATGCTACAAATACCACAAAGGTGGTGATTCCATTTAGAAAAAAGAACGAAGATGAAATTAACCTTCATGCTGGGGAGGAAGTGGAAATCTTGGAGAAAAATGGTGCCATGTGGAAAGGCAGAGTAGGACAAGAAAAGATGGGCTGGTTCCCAGGTAAGAGCAAGATTTATTTAGGCTTGTCATCCACTCATGCACCCTACCATGATTGATAGCATATTAAGATGGTTGTTTCAACCTGCTTCATACAACATGGCAACACTGTCAAGGACTTAACAGTCAACAAAAATAAGTATAATTGTATTCTACGAATTATGGCTCTTATATATTGTTTGCTTTCAGCTAAATGTGTCAAGGAGTTTACAGTGAACAAAAAGACAGAGGTAGCCTCAACTATACAAACACAGAGTTCAACTGGCGGAAGTCAGACAGAAGATGAGGTAAAGCACACAGACTCAAGCAATATTTGATGTTTTTTTTTCTTGTTATATATTATTCATTAGCTTTCTTATCAGGTACTATTGCTCTGATTGAAAGAGGAAAAATATGAAATAAACCAGACTGGTCTTATTGCCACAGTCCAGATTTAGTACCACAATCAATTTTGTAATTTTTGTATCTGGTTTACTATATGTGTTTCATTTTGCACTGTGGTTCACTGCTACCTATTTTGAAATTCCCTAGTGACGTTCCTTATTTTCAGAACAAATTACCCGTGTTAGTTTTTGAGGAAAATGTAAAGAATTTACCTTGCTAAAGATAAAAAAATCACTAATCACTAATTTTATATTTGACCTACTCATCTTTATGTGGATATTGTCATGATGTAAGATTTTTTCTCTTTTCAGGAGAACATGATCGACTCAGTGTAAGTTATTGTTTTTGAATACACAAAGCTTTCCTCAAATTTCTGGAGATAATGAAAGTCAAAACATCTTAACATTGATGTATATTATGTAACACAGCAGCAGCAGCAGCAAAAAAAAAAATTAGAGTGAAAAATTAGCAATAAGACTATCTTTGTATTTTATTTGTCTTCCTTAGGAAACTAAAGCTAGCTAAACCCGTTGCCCCACAATCTAACTGGAGGCGCCAGCTAGTGGGCAACATGACAGTCATGAATCCAGATGAGGTAATAATGTAAAGAAAATTGTTGATACTAACAAAATTATTTGAAGTATTTATTGAAGGGCTTAATGCTTTGTTGTACCAAAAATAGTATAGGTAAATAGAAGATTTAATTAAAGAAATGACAAAAAAAATAGTGAAATTCAATGTGTTTTTATAACATGTCGATTCATATTTGTTACATTTAGAAAATTATCACTTTGATTGATACTGTATATGTCTGTTTAGTGTTAAATAGTTTATGATCTATTTCTCTGGTGCATCAGAAAGCTAATTTTTATTTTCTCACTATTTTCAGTTAATGGAGTTGAATCAGTTGTCCAAAGCCAAGATCAGTCCTGCTTCTGTCAAGAAGAATAGGATTAGCCCTGATAATTATGAAGTAAGATATNCTTTGAGAGATAACATGATAAGTAATAAAACGTTTAACCTATTCTCTTCAAAGTTGCAGAACTGATGGATATACATAAAATGCAGGTTGAGATTAAAAATTACCTTGATTGGATCACTTTTTCAGAAGTCAAGCTATTTTTTTCGCTTTTTTTTTTTTTTTTTTTTTTTTTTTTTTTTTTTTTGACTTGGTACTTGTATTGGACTTGCTTACAAAATTTTAAAAGAGCCTAATAGGAATTTTAGCAGTTGATTTAAATTTATTTCCCATTATATGTAGATGCTAATTTGAAGTTTGAATAAGTAATTTGATTCGTTAGTAAACAGTGGGCTGAAATGTTTAAAAGAGGGGTGCTTTTTTCACAAAAAAGTGGATATCCCTCCATTAATTGATCCAATATGCAACAAAGATTAAGAATTTTTTAATTCAGGACAGACTAGTTTTCTACCCAGAGTAGTGGTTCTTCCAATCTTTTATTTGACGTCAAAATAATAACATAAGTTGCAGTACACTATGCATTTGCCTTAAAAAGTAGAATAAACAATGTACTAGGATATAAAGCCCAGAACATGGCAAGAAAGGCTAGCAAATGCTAACAAGAAATGCATTTTTTTTGGTGGGTGGAATTTCTCCCAAAAGAGTTCAGTTCTTCAGAAATGTGGCGGGTAATTAAGTATGCATAAATCTGTGACTGGAAAAATGGAAGATACGAATAATAGCTGTTTACAGCCCATGAAGATCTTGATATTCCTCATGCACTGAAATCTATATCCATAACTTCTGTTGAGAATGGTATGTTTTCAGGAAGCTGTTGTGGGTGTAAGGCAACCCCTTCTTGTGGCGTCTCCTGTGGTTGTCTTTCTTCCCATTTTTCTTCAGGGTCTTGTTCAGGGTGTCCGAAAATACCCTAGTATGTTTAAAATTCTTAATCAGAAAACAATGGGTACCTGCGCCTGTAGTTGCTGTGGCCATCACTGTGCACTTTCAGAGATAAGTGGAAAACCATTTCTTCTATTATCTGTTTCAACTTTTTGTAGTTTAATATAACAAAAAATAAATAAATAAATAAACCAAAGTAATTTAGTTGGTTGTGTCAAGCAAAAGGGTATGGACCACAATGGAAATAAGTGTTTTCCGGTTTCTTTTGTCATCCATGTATTTATCATTTTTGAAATATATTTTGTAAATAATTCACATATTATATATGTAATAAATCAAACCAAAGCAAAAAAGGCTCTGGTAAGGTGACTTTTTAAAAAAATATTATGGTGGTACAGCTAAAATAACACTCAATGTGAAAATTAAAAGACTGAAGTCATCTGAACAAACAACATATTTACGCCCTACCTTACCATTCCCAGTGACTGTCACAGTTTGTGTTGACTGACAATTGAGCAGACCTGCTGCATTTTGACCAGAGTCAGGACTTTCAGGTGTAAGTGATGGTATCGAGTTGCCCTGATCTGAACTGCTCTGTCTGTCAGTCATGTTGAACTCTGCAAGGGACAATATGACAAAGTGCTTTTTTTTCCTAATGTGTACATTTTCAGTAACTGTTATTCAACAAAAGAAACATTTATGTAAATTGGTATTCTTATATTTTTCTTCTGTTTAACAAGCATTGTATCTAGGGCCTGCTTAAAACAATATATTTCAAGTTGTGTCAGGCAGAGATAAACCTATACATGTATATAACTACTATTAAACTTGAACACAATGCTTAGTGGTGAAAATAAAATGGGAAATACTCCAAATTTGGCAGGGGTACACTCATATATATAGTAAGTTACTAACTATCAAACTTGAAATAAGGAAGTCATATATATATATTAGCAATCTTAATATGACCTTGAATTTGACCTTTGACTTTCTTTCACCACAAACCACAAAATTTTCCATCCATTATATCCTTAAAACTTTTAGAGATACACCCATAGTTACTATTGAACTGTGAATACGAAGTCATATATTGACAATCTTAATGTGACATTGAATTTGACCTTTGACCTACTTTTGACCATGAACTGCATGATTTCCATCCTTTTATTATCATTGAACTTAAAAAATTTTCAGACCCTTATAACTGTAACTGTAACTGTATTGAACTTGAAAAGGAAATCATAAATTGGGCATCTTAATGTGACATAAATTGGGCATCTTAATGTGACATTGAATTTGACCTACTTTTCAACTTACCACATATTTTTCCACAACTACAATAAATACATCCATAGCTACCATTTGATTATCAAATGCAAAAAAGAAAAAAAAAAAAATTACAAGTATTTATTATTCATGATATCAATGAACACAAGTACAGTGGTATCCAGCTGCGAGATAAAATGGTACAGGATCTACATTGCCCAAGCATAAATCGAATTTCGCATCCTGACCTTTTTTTTTTCAAGGTTATCAGGCTATAAACTATATGCTTTTTACCCTAATTAACTTAATTTACATTCAGTTGTGCTCTCAACTGCACTGAACGATTTCACAGGTTTTATTACTATGGTATTGTTTGATCAGGTTCATAAATGTTTTATTGCAGCTTATACAAATAAGCTAGATGAAGGACAAAGCTGCCCGTCCACAGGCAAAAAGATGTCTTTTGAAATCTTCAATTGTCAATGAATGTAGATCAAAATTGTATGAAATCAGCGAGACTACAAATTAGCATTTATAGCAATTAGGATACTTACCTGGATAAGTTATTAGGTATATTGCGGAAGTCAGGTGTTTTATAAATTTATTCGCGCATGCTTGATAACAAACTTTGGACTGTTTTTGTGTGCAATATTCATTGTGATCGTTAAAATCAGGATAGCAATTTGTCAATTTACATTTTACAATATGGGCAAATTCAATAGTAAATAACAAGTTTTGAAAGTTGAATGAAATCAAAAACAGGAAATATTTTCGTTTGCTGAACAATTCGTTATTAGGTCAAGGAGCAGGTCAGATTGAAACCGCAAATTGGTGGCTTTGCTAATAACACATGGTTTGTTATTGTAAGATTTTGTAACATATCAATATTTTATTTGAATTCCTTTTTATGGACAGGCATAGATATGTTTATGTACAGGGACAGATGTGTCTGTACATATTAAAACTGCCACCAGAGATTGTAGTCTCTGTTGCTATCACTTTGCACTTTCAGAGATAACATGGTAATAGGTGTAAATCATTTTGCCTATTGTCTTCAAACTTACAGAACTGATGAATATTTATAAAATGCAGGTCAAGTTTGAAAATCAGCTTTATCAGCATTGTCCAAAAAAAAAAAATCTTTTTTTTTCGTATATATTCCATACAGTTAACACATCTGAGGAAATGAGGTTGATCTATTGTCTTCAAACTTACCAAAGTTATCAATATTACTAAAACTAGTGTGATGAGATTATTTTTCTTGAAGCATGAAGTGTTCACATGTTGGCATTTGCAAGGTGTGACTTTGGATTTCCATGGGCCTTAAGGTCTATGCTAGTCACATTTTCTAAATATCTATGCTACCTGCAGTGCATAATTAAAGATTGGTGGTGATTATGCTGTTAAGCATTATGTAATATTGCATCAAACTTGAAGAAACTATATGGTGACATATCATTTTGTGTAGCTGCACTGGTGGAATGGAATAAGTTACCAATAAGTTACGAATAGAATCACAAGAATCTTTTAAAAAGGAATTGAAATCTCACCTTTTGAAGACATTTTATTCATAAATTTTTTAATTTTGCATTAAAGAAATCTTGGATTTTTTTACTTTTAATTACTGTTTATTACAATTTAGTCTAGCTCTGATATATATAATATATATCTTAATCATTTTTATCTATAAACTTCTTTGTATTTTATGTTGTACAGTCTATTGAACATTTTATGGATTTTAGACTCGAAATAAATATATTATATTATTTCATTAAGAGAACCACATTTGGGGCACATTTCAAGAAACCATGTCCCTTTACTATTCTCAAAAAATAAAAAATAAAAATAAATAAATTAAAATACAGCATAAGTTGGAAAACCAGTCAGATTGGTGCCTTTTTCTGGAACTTATACAGTTTTGTTTTTTGAGAGATTTTAATTTTTCACATTTTGGCATTTTCAAGGTGTGACTTTGAACTCCCATAGGCCTGAAGACCTTTGCTAATCACTTTTTCCAAATATCTATGTTACCAGCAGTGCATGATTAAAAATTGGTGGTGATATGGTGTTTGATATTATGTAATATTGCATTACAATTGAAGAAAACACTATTTTGGGTGCTGCCACCATGGTTTAAGGGAAAATAATGTCACTTACTTTTCTAAAATTTGCAGAAAAGAAACATAGGACTGAAATATAGCTCGAGTTGATAAACCAGTCTGTTTGGTTAATTTTTCGGGAACAGTTTTGTTTTTTGTGAAATTTTAATTTTTCACATATGGGCATTTTCAAGGTGTGACTTTGAACTTCCATATGAACCTGAAGACCTTTGTGAATTACATTTTATAAGTATCTATTGTAATGTACCTTTACATATACATATGAGATTCATGTCCTAAACTTATATAATTTTGTACCCTTAATTCAAGCGTGGGCTCGAAATAGGACATTACGTTTTAGACTTACTTAGTGGATAACGCAATCCAAAGATTCCCCGGTTCGTGTCAGATTTACATAAGGTCGCGCAAAGAAAACCCAAGTCCACATAATGACCAGTTTAATGGTTTATTGGTCGACTCTGTCTAACTACATCATCTACGTGAAATCTCCAAGCTCTAGGCCGTCTCCCATGGCTCCGTCGAGCGGTCGCTTTCGAGTCTTCTTCAGTCTGAACCCCCAATATTAATTCTGAACGTTTTTTATACAATATTTCTCATCGGTGGAGGATTCTGTGCTGCATTATTTGGCGGTACATACTAATTTTAATTATTCAAATTGCACACGTCCACTTATGTTACATAATTACAGGTAAGGTCATAAACTAGTCGAGTGTACAAGCAATTGACTCTAATCAAATTAATTACAACATCTGGAGATTATATTTGTGAACTCTACACTATGTTGCCTGCAGTGCATAATCGAAAATTGATAGTGATATGCTGTAATTTTGCATCATAGTTGAAGAAAACCTATTTTGGGTCCTGCTGTCACAATGACCATCAAAGGAAAACCATGTTACTTGCAGTGCATAGGCAATATGCAATTCAGATAACACGTACATTTCATGGAAAAGGGCTTGACTTATTGTCTTCAAAATCACAGGACTGATGAATATGACATAGATACAGACTGAATTTGAAAAATCAGCCTGTCGAAGTAATGCTGTTTTTTGTGAAATGTTAATTTATCATATCATGGCATTTTCAAGTTGCGACTTTGAACTCTCTTGGGCCTGAAGCCTTATGCTAGTTACATATTCTATATATTTGTGTTCCCCATTGTGCAACATTAAAAATTGTGTTAACTTTGCATAATGTATTATTGTATCGAAATTAACAAAATAACATATTGTGTACATGATTATTTTCTGCTTTTGTCTGTACATTTGACAGCTTTGCTGCCTTCTTTTTAGAACCTTGTCATTTTTTTTTTTTTTTTTTTTTGGGGGGGGGGGGGGGGGATGAGGGGGGTCAGTAGGTTTAATGAGCTTGGTAAAGTCAAAGTCTAGCATTTGACAGGGTTTCTTTTACATGAAGTTTAATTCTAAACTCGCTATCTTCCAGTTTGATTTACTGCTGCGTTCTGTAGCGTACTCACAGGAGATGTGTCATTTGGCTGGTCTGCTTGACATTGGTCTCATTTCATTAGCGGTCATCAGTAGTGGACTGTGGTACTTGAATCTCCTCACAGAAGTGACATCTACCTTTAGCAGACATTCTGTACAGCTGTTTAAAGGTAAGATATTGAGACCAGGTTTTTCACTTTTCCTTAAGAATTTTCGAACTATATTTGATAATTGTAGTATCAGCAAGGAGACTGATGTTGGCATACATTGTACTTCGAAATCCTATTGAAGGGCAACAAGAAACGAGTGCATGGTATGGTAAAAGGTTATACAATTTGAAAAAAATCTTTCTTCTGGTGGTGTCAATTTTGGGAATCAAACGATGAAAAGTTTTTTTACTGATTTTTTGACTTAATGAAATAATAAATTGGTTTCTAGGGGTGACAACCGTTATATCTGCCCTGGCAGTTTTGGCGCGCTTACCCTTGATGTCAAAATACACCAGGTTTGGGCTGAGTGTGCTGGTCAACATATATCCCATCCTTTCAGATCTCATCATGTTGGTCTTTGTTGTTCTGTAAGTATGGGTTTTTGTTGTTTTTACTGAATCAAGGATGATAAATGAATACTTTATTAAAGATGTATACGCATAGATAGACAAATGATTTGAATTGTGTTTGTATTTAAAGATATACTATTTATGATAACTATTTCCAGTTATTTCTATGCCATCTTGGGCCTGGAAATATTTCAAGAGAGTCAAGTGGATTCAAACTACAAATTTGAAGTTACCAAATATGGTTGTGGGCTTGGTTATCAAACAGTAAGGTAAATAAGTTGATTTGCTGGTAGTATCAAGATTAGTAACACAATGTTTATTGATTTTCAGTCTTGGTAAAGTATAAGAAAAATTGAAAAATGAAAATTGAGATGGTGATGTAAATTTTTTATCTGAAGAGTTAGGTTAAGGTAATAAATGTTGCCATGTGGAAAGACAGAAACTTGCATTGTTTATTCAAAAGAGAAGTTTTATCTATATTACATTATTTATGTGTGTTTGTTTAATTATATACATGTTTGTGTGTGTTGAAGCTGTTGGAAAAAGATGGAGGAATACTAGTCTACAAGCTGTAAGTTTGCATATATGAAGGAATAAAACAATTAGCCAATGCAAGAAGTAAGATTGATCAATAAATATTATTGGATGGCATCATTTCAGGTGCAGCCTGATAAACATCTTCCAAATTTTAACTACAGCAGGTTGGCATGGCAACATGGATGCCGCCATTGTGAGTACAACATGGTGGGCTGGCCTGTATTTTCTCTCTGCATACATCATAGTTAACATGCTCATTATGAAGTAAGTATATAAGAGAATCCTTTCCTAATTTTGTTTTGTTTTCTCTCTTTGTAATTAATTGATATTTCTGCATATTCTAACTGATTTTTTAATTAATCTTAGACAATATGCTACTGACAACGTTCAAATGACTTTTTTTAAATTACAGGAAACAAACACTTAGTTTTCAATTCTTCTAAGATTCACAAAAACATGCATATACACATATTGTCAGAAAGTAGTGAAAGAACTTGTTTTTTTTTTTTTTAATTTTTTTATCAGCTTGTTTGTGGCCATCACCATTGAGGCCTTCAACAAACTAAGTGCAGATTCAGGGCCTGGTAGTGCTGTAATGGAGGGGAGAATCCTGGTAAGGATCAGATATCACAGTATATGTAGTGGACTTCAGAATTAAGAGAGGCTTCATGGAATTATATAGACTGGTATCATTGTGTAAATGTTTAAGAGAAAAGGCATTAGATGAAATGATCATTAACAAAAAAATAAGCTATTAGGTGTGTTGTAAAATAGATGTTTTACAGAGGTTATTTTTGCACAATTTGATTTTACTTTGAATTCATTTTCATTTTACTTTAAATTTGAATTTGACCTTTTTAAATGAGCTGTATATTTCTCTGTGAACTGTAAAATTGCTTTTGATTCATATTAAAGTGGTCAATATTTTTTCAATGCAACAATTATGTATGTAACATTTTAGGTTGGGGCAGCACCTGGTTTTACCTCTCATACTAAACAAAAAACGGAAGCTGAAGAAGAAGAAGAAGAGGCAGAAGTGAGAAATATACACTATCTAAATTAACGCATCTCTTTTAATGCAATTTTGGAGAAGTTTTATCTTATTTTATACCACATTACACTTCTCGCATTCAAAATTTGTACAATTTGCTCAACTAACATTGTCATAAGTAAATTGCTGGCTTTATCAATATCCTGTTTGATACATTGCATTTAGTGATACTTCCTCTGCTGGTTCATTTTTATTAATGCTGTCTATCTGCAAATCAGAATATTTGGAGTTGTGTGTTAATTTAGAATATAAATCCAATTTTGCTGTGCTGTAATTTCATACCTGTAGATTTATCAGCCCTGTTTTTTTATCAAAATGTTAACAGATTGAAATGATGATCTTTAAAATGTTCTAGGATATGTCAAACCTAAGTCTAGAAGAAAGAAACAAAAGACTTTTGAAAAGAAAAAGAAGACAGCGAAAGAAGAAGCATGCTACAAATACCACAAAGGTGGTGATTCCATTTAGAAAAAAGAACGAAGATGAAATTAACCTTCATGCTGGGGAGGAAGTGGAAATCTTGGAGAAAAATGGTGCCATGTGGAAAGGCAGAGTAGGACAAGAAAAGATGGGCTGGTTCCCAGGTAAGAGCAAGATTTATTTAGGCTTGTCATCCACTCATGCACCCTACCATGATTGATAGCATATTAAGATGGTTGTTTCAACCTGCTTCATACAACATGGTAACACTGTCAAGGACTTAACAGTCAACAAAAATAAGTATAATTGTATTCTACGAATTATGGCTCTAATATATTGTTTGCTTTCAGCTAAATGTGTCAAGGAGTTTACAGTGAACAAAAAGACAGAGGTAGCCCCAACTATACAAGCACAGAGTTTAACTGGTGGAAGTCAGACTGAAGATGAGGTAAAGCACACAGACTCGAGCAATATTTGATATTATTTTTTTTCTTGTTATATATTATTCATTAGCTTTTTTAGATACTATTGCTCTGATTGAAAGAGGAAAAATATGAAGTAAACCAGAGTGGTCTTATTGCCACAGTCCAGAATTAGTACCAGAGGGTTAATTTTGTATCTGGTTTACTATATGTGTTTCATTTGGCACTGTGGTTCACTGCTACCTATTTTGAAATTCCCTAGTGACGTTCCTTATTTGCAGAACAAATTACCTGTGTTAGTTTTTGAGCAAAAAGTAAAGAATTTACCTTGCTAAAGATAAAATATCACTAATCACTAATTTTAACTTTATATTTGACCTACTTGATTACTCATCTTAATTTGGATATTGCCATGAAATAAGTTTTTTTTCTTTTTCAGGATAACATGATCGACTCAGTGTAAGTTATTGTTTTTGAATACACAAAGCTTTCATCAAATTTCTGGAGATAATGAAAGTCAAAACATTTTAACATTGATGTATTTTATGTAAAACAGCAGCAGCAAAAAAAAATTAGAGTGAAAAATTAGCAATAAGACTTATCTTTGTATTTTATTTGTCTTCCATAGCAAACTAAAGCTAGCGAAACCTGTTGCCCCACAGTCTAACTGGAGGCGCCAGCTAGTGGGCAACATGACAGTCATGAATCCAGATGAGGTAATAATACTAACAAAATTATTGAAAGTATTTATTGAAGGGCTTAATGCTTTGTTGTACCAAAAATAGTATAGGTAAATAAAAGAATTAATTAAAGAAATGGAATAAATGTTGAAATTCAATGTTGTTTTTATAAACATGTAGATTCATATTTGTTCCATTTAGAAATTTATCACTTTGATTGATACTACATCTGTTTAGTGTCAAATAGTTTATGATCTATTTCCAAAGAAAGCTAATTTTTATTTTCTCACCATTTTCAGTTAATGGAATTGAACCAGTTGTCCAAAGCCAAGATCAGTCCTGCTTCTGTCAAGAAGAATAGGATTAGCCCTGATAATTATGAAGTAAGATGTTGGGCTTATTCTAGCATCATTTTTGTTTAAGCCAGATATTAAAATAGAAAATCTGAAAACTTGTTGGCTCTTAATCCCAGTTTTAAAATAATATCCACTTTGTTATGTCAGGCAATCACATACTAGTGATTTTTTTAAAAAAGGTTTCCATTTTTGCCAAAAAATAACAACACTATGAAATCGGTTGAGATTAAGACAAATTATTTCCCAAAATACAATAGGGAGTAGATGTGATACATGAAGAAGATGAGCCAGAAGAACACAGTGACTTTAATATGGGGCAACATTCAGGTCAGTTGAGAAAATAGAAAGTTGCTTACAGAGAAGTCGGTTAGGATAAAAGACTTGATGTAGTTTCAGGAAATTATATATATTTAATTTGTACCAATAATTATGTAAGTTTTTTTTTTCAACAAAACTGCATGAAAATTGAAATATTTCCTCCATCCTGCCATTCCAGCAGCTGCTACCTACCCACCAAAGTCTGCCCTTAAGAGAACAGAACGAATGGGCAGTGTAGACAATGCAACTCCTAGTAATAACAATGACATTCCCGACTGGGTGAAAAAATTTAGTCAGCAGCACAACATAGCACTTGTGGAGGGAGGCAAACAAATGGAAGAAACAGCAGAAGATGACTAATTTGATAGCTATTTGGGAAACCTTAATAAACCATGCCAGTATTAAACCGCAGCATTGAGCTGATGATTCTGTTAATTTATCCCTAAAATTGGGATAGATAAAAAACACTAATGGTGAATGTGTAAAATAAGACAACTTGAAGACGATATTTAAGAATTTTTATGTACAATGTATTGTATTCCACTCATTCTTTCAAGTTCTTACAAATTGACCCATTATCTGACAGCATATTTTAAATTAACACATTTTTACATAAACCATTAACAGCCCACCTTTGTTTAACAATGCCTTTACTTAAAGTAAGGCATGCTTTTGCAAGGCATTAGTCCTAGGCTTCATATATTACAAGGAGTGGTAAATAAATATACAAACATTTGTGGAATTTTATGGAGCAAAAAGTTCTTCACAGACAGTGCCAAATAAACATGTCTGAAAATATGACAGTCAGCTTTTGATTTTAATATGCCAAGCTTTTTAGCTCTTATTTTTTGGTAAAAAAAAAAAAAAGGAGAAAATGCAGGTACACATTTGGGTATAATGAAGCTCTGCTTCCCATTCTTTGAGATGTACGGTCCCCAAAAATTGATGATCATTAGAAACAGTTTTATGAATGTAATATTTTAATGAGGTGATGAGACATATTTTGCAGCATTTGCCTCAGCAGCACCCTTCAGCCGTGTTTCATTTTAGAAGCTGAAGTATTCTTGAATTTTTTTTTTTGTCCTCAACAATCTATTCTTCTTCTTCCAACCATGCTCTGTATTTGGTTTTTACTCTGAGGAAGGGTAAAAGGTCCGGATCTCTTCCCCTGAATCTCCTAAACAGTTCTTTGGCTGGTAACCCACCTCCATAATACAGGAAAGTATTTCTAAACCTGAAACAAAAAGTTATCACTAAATTACTATCTAATTTTTGGCTGAAATATTGGCACATTAAATGATAAAACTTTTTTATCTTACTGTATATTTGATTAACTACACAATTATAAAGGAAAAGCACCTTACCTTCGGCCTATCTCATTCAACATTTTCACATCCTGTGGATCTACATCAGAAAATGCTTCAAAAATATCTGCGGCTACCATCTGGAATAAAAACCAATAAACTTATCATATTGTCATTAATTGTATGTTTATACTAGTTCCAGACTAATCTTACCTTCTACATTCAATCTAATGAAGACAACCACAATAAAAAATCAATTTTTAAATACCTAACTAATTTAACCTTTTCAAGTTTTAAATATTTAGATACTGAGAAGTATTTGCATCATTTTCAATCCAACTACACTACATTAACTGGTGGATAATTAATGGAGTTATTTTGAACCAAATCAAATCCTATTAATTTGAGCCTCACAAGTACGAGCAATAATGCCTTACCGATGTCCATATTGGAGCATAGCAATATCCCGGTGTCTCTGTAAACACTCTTGTATTGGAAAATTCAGACATGTCTTCAACAGGAAGAGGAAGGGGCATAAACAGTGGCCACAGTTTTTTCTTGCTCTCCATGGGGGAGCCTTCCAAGCTGCAACAGAAATTTGGCATATATAAACACTGGCATAATAGTATACTTTCATAATTAAACAGGAAATCGTACAAAGCAATAAAAAAACTATGACTTAATGTCAAAATTAAACGTGTAAAAATTTATTTAAAAGGTTAACTAGTGTTATGTCTGTATTACCTTACAGCTGCCTGATTGTAAAGAAATGATACCATTTTTCTCATTGCAAAGTAAAAAGGCCATATCAGCCACTCACCTTAGATGCATCTCCAAGTCAAAAGCTGCTGTATACAAGTCGTGCATCAGGTCATATGCCATCAAGTATTGGTTGGCTAGACAAATTAAAGTATACAAGTTTAAAATATGTTAAAAGTTTGAAAGACAGAAGTAACATCACTTGCTTATTAAATATAGTGTGATGTGATTAATATAGGTAATTGCTAAATAATTACTGACAGCATTTACAGCAAAACTGATTAAATAATAACTGTTTCTAGATATTACTGACAGCATTTACAGCAAAACTGATTAAATAATAACTGTTTCTAGAGACTATCATGATTGTGGCTAAAATAAAATCTGACAATTAAGAGCATTCTCAGTTAACAGAAAATTTTACTTCCTGACAGTGAGATTCCTTATGTGATGTATATATAAAAAATGATATGAAAATGATCCTTATAATTATAAAGAGCCAGATGTACCCAAGACATTACATAAGGAATCCCACTGTGAGGAAGTAAAATTTTATGTATGTCCAACAGACAAATTTAAATCAGTTTTGTATTTGTCAAAATAAAGATTACATAAATTAATCTTTAAAAAAACTGATTGACAAGAAAAAACAACAACAATAAGAAATCCAACCTTTTGTTTGAACATTTACCTATGCAAATTTTTCTGGCCATAGCCTCTGTCAACTGCTCTCCTGTTGTGACATGTTTGCTAAACATCTGCACTATGTGAGGCTGCAGACCAAAATACCCCATAACCAGACCAGGTATGCCCTGAGCATCCACTTCTGTATACAGGCCAGCACTGAGTTCAGTGTAGGGAACTCGATTCAGCACTATTCCAAGGGCATTTCCAAACTAGATGGAAAAAGGAGGAAAAGATCTTAATTGTAACAATTTAACCAACACGGTGGAGAAAATATGTTGTGACAAGTCTCACTGGTCTAGGCTTGAGGAAAATGACAAAAACCAACTTTTCTTCACAATTTAAAATGCATTTTGACTTGTTCTCTCATACTAATAAATGGTGTCATGCTATCAAATGATATGTTAAAGGGATAATAACTCTTCGTATGAGATCTATATTTCACAGTAAAAACATTGTAAACAACTCATAGAAATATAATATATTGTTTACCACAATAACGGCTGTTATAGCTATTATTCTGATATCTGAGCTTGTCATTGGACCATGTGACCTCCATAGATGGCTATATTCTGTTATAATCTCTTAAGAGATTATAACATAAAATCAAACTCTCTAGAAAAAAAAACAGGGACTAACTTTGAATGTAGAAATGGATCCGTTAACCATTGGTAAGTATGGGAAAATTGTTGTTTACTCCGGGAAAATTAATTTTTTGGCCAAAACGAACAGTTATTATCCCTTTAAACAAAATAATGCTGATCAGTGCTAGTCTACCTTTCATTGTTACACATGACCCCATGTAAAGGAAATACAAATAATGGATTAAACTGTAAAGCAATCATCAGTTTAATATAATATCACATGCCACCACTTACTTGTTGAAAAAGTTCTGGGATATAATTCATTTCAATGAAATTAAAGGAGGAGCCACCATCGGATGTATCGTCCATCATTCTGGAATTCAGTGCTGAGAGACTCAGGTATGCAATTGGCTTACTGCCCAAAATTTCACTGTGTGCTGAAACAGTGAAAATAGTCCATTTTTTCATGTTTGTGTAAAAAGATGGTCCAAATCTCTCTAAAACTAAGAAATAATATTGGATAATTCACCACAGTAACTGTGGACAAAAGTGTTTAACACATTGTCAAGACATCTTAAATTATTAAGTAACAAAACCTGAAGGTTCATGATCAAAACTTTCAATTCTGACTTAAATCTACATTTGACAGTAATCTATCTGGGTAATACATTGTTTTTGCTCTTTTCAATCTCCTTAGCAAAAAGTAAAAAAAAAAATCATAGATTCAATTCCATAACAAAAAGGAACAAGGCAGCGAAGCTGCCAAATGTACAGACAAGGAAGAAAATAATCCAATGTAGCTGGTTTGCCAATTTGAGATGTATGTCAAAATACCAAATAATAAGTAACAGTTTTCCTGTTACTAATTATTTGGTATTTTGACATACATCTCAAATTACCAAATAATAAGTAACAGTTTTCCTGTTAGAGCATTTGTAGTAGCAGAATCAAAATATTTTAATCAATTTTGATGCAATGGCACATAATGCTTAACAGCTTATTACCACCATCAATTTTAAATTATGAACTGCAGGTACATAAATTCTAGAAAATGTGATTAGCAAAGGCCTTCAGGCCAATGGAAATTCAAAGTCAGACCTTAAAAAGCCAACATTTACACAAGTACTGAAATTTGTTATTTTCATTTTCAACACATAATATGCAATTACCAATTTACTTTCCTTTGTAAATAATCAACTAAAAACATTGTTAAGATGGGGAAAATGTCAATCAAACAATTTTAAATGTCCATTTTCAAAACTGATCTATATGCCAGACCTTTGAATCAGTCATTCAAGTTTCAAAGCAAAATATGACATGGTTTTCATAAAATATGCTGAAAAAGCAAAAAAAAAAAAAAAAAAACAAGGCAGCAAAGCTGTCAAATGTACAGACAAAAAACAGAAAAAAAAAAGATGCAAAATAGGTCATTTTGTCAATTTTGATGCAATAATGAATGCTTATAATAGCACAGTCAGTCAACACTGATTTTTAATCATGCACAACAGGTAACATGGTCAATAACAGGAGCAGATCCAGAGATATTTTCTGCCAGTATTCCAAAGTATCTTTGTTGANTCCCTTATGTGATGTATATATATATAAAATGATATGAAATTGATCCTTATAACTATAAAGTGTCAGATGTACCCAAGACATTACATAAGGAATCCCACTGTAAGGAAGTAAAATTTTATGTATGTCTGACAGACAAATTTAAATCAGTTTTGTATTTGTCAGAATAAAGATTACATAAATAAATCTTTTAAAAAAACTGATTGACAAGAAAAAAACAATAACAACAATAAGAAATCCAACCTTTTGTTTGAACAACCCAACCTATTTACCTATGCAAATTTTTCTGGCCATAGCCTCTGTCAACTGCTCTCCTGTTGTGACATGTTTGCTAAACATCTGCACTATGTGGGGCTGCAGACCAAAATACCCCATAACCAGACCAGGTATGCCCTGAGCATCCACTTCTGTATACAGGCCAGCGCTAAGTTCAGTGTAGGGAACTCGATTCAGCACGATTCCAAGGGCATTTCCAAACTAGATGGAAAAAGGAGGAAAAGATCTTAATTGTAACAATTTAACCAACAAGGTGGAGAAAATATGTTGTGACAAATCTCACTGGTCTAAGCTTGAGGAAAAAGACAAAAACCAAATTTTCTTCACAATTTAAAATGCATTTTGACTTGTTCTCTCATACTAATAAATGGTGTCATGCTATCAAATGATATGTTAAAGGGATAATAACTCTTCGTATGAGATCTATATTTCACAGTAAAAACATTGTAAACAACTCATAGAAATATAACATATTCTGTTTACCACAATAACGGCTGTTATAGCTATTATTCTGATATCTGAGCTTGTCATCGGACCACGTGACCTCCATAGATGGCTATATTATGTTATAATCTCTTAAGAGATTATAACATAAAATCTAACTCTCTAGAAAAAAAACAGGGACTAACTTTGAATGTAGAAATGGATTCGTTAACCATTGGTAAGTATGGGAAAATTGTTGTTTACTCCGGGAAAATTAATTTTTTGGCCAAAACGAACAGTTATTATCCCTTTAAACAAAATAATGCTGATCAGTGCTAGTCTACCTTTCATTGTTACACATGACCCCCTGTAAAGGAAATACAAATAATGGATTAAACTGTAAAGCAATCATCAGTTTAATATAATATCATATGCCACCACTTACTTGTTGAAAAAGTTCTGGGATATAATTCATTTCAATGAAATTAAAGGAGGAGCCTTCATCAGATGTATCGTCCATCATTCTGGAATTCATTGCTGAGAGACTCAGGTATGCAATTGGCTTACTGCCAAAAATTTCACTGTGTGCTGAAACAGTGAAAATAGTCCATTTTTTCATGTTTGTGTAAAAAGATGGTCCAAATCTCTCTAAAACTAAGAAATAATATTGGATAATTCACCACAGTAACTGTGGACAAAAGTGTTTAACACATTGTCAAGACATCTTAAATTATTAAGTAACAAAACCTGATGGTTCATGATCAAAACTTTCACATACTGACTTAAATCTACATCTGACAGTAATCTATCTGGGTAATACATTGTTTTTGCTCTTTTCAATCTCCTTAGCAAAAAGTAAAAAAAAAATCATAGATTCAATTTCATTACAAAAAGAAACAAGGCAGCGAAGCTGCCAAATGTACAGACAAGGAAGAAAATAATCTAATGTAGCTGGTTTGCCAATTTGATATGTATGTCAAAATACAAAATAATAAGTAAGTTTTCCTGTTAGAGCATTTGTAGTAGCAGTACACAAAATATTTTAATCAATTTTGATGCAATGGTACATAATGCTTAACAGCTTATAACCACCATCACTTTTAAATTATGAACTGTAGGTACATAAATTCTAGAAAATTTATGAACATTCATCAGTTTTGTAAGTTTAAAGACAAAAGATAAAATGTTTTTCATTTTATTTGTATTTTATTTCATTTTATCTGTCGCCGATGACAGACACAGGCAACAACAATATGTACAGACACAGATGTGTCTGTATATAAAAAAAGGACTACCTTTACCTCTGCCTATCTGGCATGACGGTTCATACTCCATTTCTTCCCTTATGAACTGGTCTATATACAAGTAAGATATGTGTTCACCTGGAAAAAGCAGATTCCATATTAAGTGGCAAAAACCACAACTATAATAATTATTATATTAGATATATACAGCAAAGTGTTGAATATTTTATAAATCTCATTGTTTTTTGTAAAACTGCCTAGACTACATAGATATTAGCTTCATTTACATGGGTAATATCTATGAAAGGAGGTCAAACACAGCTACACAGCAAGACTGGCATACATACTGGAAGAAGTTGTTCTTTTTAAAATCCAAGTGAGCAACTAAGTACTAAGCAACAATTCACCTTCTTCGCTATATACTTTGAAAACCCTAACACCATCAGTCCACACCGGATATTCTCCATGGCTTTCCTAAAACATGACACAGAGGTAAAAGTCATTTTCAAAAAAAAAAAAAAAAAAAAAAAAAAAAAAAAAAAAAAAAAAAAAAAAAAAAAAAAAAAAAAAAATGACAAAATATTGATGAAATGCTTTCTATGAATTAATCATTGTATGTCACCAAGAGTTGTAAGCAAACAAGCAAGATAACTTTCTTAAACTAATCATGGTTTGAAAATACAATTTAAGGTGGAAAAAAAAAGAAAAAGAATAGAAAAATCCATTTTATAACCATGCAAAAAATGTTCATTAATACCTCTAACTTAAATCCAAAGAGCTCCTGTGTGAAGTTGAACATGGTGTCTAGAACATGGTCCAAGGGAAAATAAGATATTGAGTCTTTGCCTTCAAACCCACTAAAATCAAATATTTCAAAAATTATTGGCAAAAACAATAAATAAAACAATGCATTTCATATCCAGTTAAGGTCAAATTTTAATTAATACCCGTGTAAAGGAAGTGGACAATCTATTCATCAACAAAATCATTTTGATTACTGTGTGATGAACAGATAATAATAAGTAGACAGCAAAGCTGACAAATATAAAAACACCATACAGAAAACAAGGCAGCAAAGCTGACAAATGTTTAGATATTCAGATGCAGAAAAGTATGAACCAAATAATATTTTGGCCAATTTTGATGCACTATTACATTATGCTTTAAAACAGCATAATCACTCTCACCTTCTTACATTATGTACTACAGGTAACAAGGACACTGAAAAACTAGCAAGTGATTCAGTTTCATCGGCTATAAAAGCCACTGAATATGCTTATGTGTGAAATGAAATATTAAAGGGATAATAACTCTTCGCTTCGGCCAAAAAATGAATTTTCCTGGAGTAAACAACAATTTTCCCATACTTGCCAATGGTTAATGAAACCATTTTTACATTCAAAGTTAGTCCCTGGTTTTTTTTCTAAAAAGTTTGGTTTTTTGTTAAAATCTCTTAAGAGATTTTAACAGAGTATATCCATCAATGGAGGTCACGTGGTCTAAAGACAAGCTCAGATATCAGAATAATAGCTATAACTGCAATTTTTGTGGTAAAACAGAATATATTATATTTCTACGAGTTATTCACAATGTTTTTATTGTGAAATATAGATCTCATACGAAGAGTTATTATCCCTTTAAAAAAAATAATAATTACCATAAATGTAAACCAATTGTGCCGATTTTCGAAAGCAACCTGCCTCTTTACCAAACAAAGCCACTCAGTAAATTAAGTGTAAAACAAAAATGTGGTTTTGCAGGTATGGGGCAAACATCACCAAAATTGTAAAATAAGAGAATAATTACTGTTAATGTACACTGATCAAGCCACTTTTCGAAAACAACCTGCTTGGTTGCCAAACAAAGCTACAAAGTAAATTTAATGTAAAACAAAAATACGGTAAGGAAGTTAGGGGGCAAATGTCACCAAAATTGGGCAAATAAAAAAAAAAATATAATAATAACTGTAAATGTAAACTGGCCAAGCTGATTTTGAAAGCAACCTGCTTCTTTGCCAAACAAAACCAGTCAGTAAATGTAAAGTTAAACAAAAATATGATTTGGAATTTATGGGGTGAACGTCACCAAAATCGTGCAAAAAAAAAAAAAAATCAATTAGCATAAATGTGAAAAGATCATGCCAATTTTCAATTACCAAACAAAGCAACTCAATAAATTTAAAGTAAAACAAAAATAGGCTTTGGCAATTACGAGACAAACGTCATGTGTTGGACAGCACCAGCGACGACACCGAAGACAGACCGATCAGAATATATACAGACACTATAAGTGTCTGTATATAATGATAATGGATGACAAACTGATTCTGATGACAGACTTGTATTTTGCTGCCTTATTCTCACCATACACAGGATTAAACTAACACATCTGTTTGCTTTTGCATGTTTGTAAGCAGATGTGTACATGCAGGTGTAAAGAAAAAAACTATACACACCCTAGGAACACTTCTCTTTTTAGAAGGAACGCCAGGTAATGTACATCCCATACTTCCAACTCATATTGCTTATTGAAAGCCTGTTTATTGAATTCCTCCAACTCCTTCAGTTCTGCCTCAAGCAGTGGTTCTAAGTTTGTCTTTACGCTACAAAAGATTACGAACAGAAATACCAACAGTTCCTTTTTGGTTAATATAAAACAAGCAATACTGTGTATTATAATTATTATATCACATTAACAATGAATGTTAAATATTTTCTTTTTTTAAGATAATAATGTTTAACTTTGAATTTGCTCCAAATCCTGAAGTTTATAAATCTCCAGAAGATGGTTAGGCTTGAAGTCAGTCACTTTTCAAATATTTCTGCTTTGTTTATATTTTACCACTGGCTTATCTAATGTTTTAGGTCGCAGGCATGCCTGTCCATATTAAGTCTACAACTCTGTGATTGTTTCAAATAGGGAGAACAATTGTATTCTAAGAATAAAATAAATCCTTCTCACTCATAAATCAATCCCATGACATCATCAGCACTACCCGCCATTGATCTTGACAGTAACATATCTACATGGCTATCAAATCCAAGGTTTTGTGCCACATAATTCCTAAAACAAAAAATTTAATAACTAAAAATCAAAATAAAAACAAGGCAGCAAAGCTGTCAAATGTACAGACAAAAAGCAGAAAATAATAATGCACAAAACAGGATTCTGTCAATTCTGATGCAGTAAAATGTGTAACAAGCATAAGGCTTCAGGCCCATGAGAGTTTAAGTTCACACTTTGAAAATGCCAGAATGTGAAAAAGTGAAAATTTCACAAGAAATTGCATAAATTCAATAAAAAAATTACAATCCAATACTACTGTTATTCTAATTTGAGCTGTATGTCAATCCTAAGAATCATTCTTGTAAGTTAAAAAAAAGTGACACAGTTTTCTTTGCATAACATTTGTGGTGGCAGTGCACAAAGGTGTTTTTGTCAATTTTGATGCAATATTACATAATGATTAACAGTATGATTACCACCCATTTTAAAATATCTACTATAAATGACATGGGCATTTAGAAAATTTGATTACTATTCAGCTAATATTGTAGTACCATTAATAGTACTGATAGGTTACATATGCATGTGATTTGCATATTTGTTTAATTCAAAATTTATCTACAAACTTTTAATTTATGCAGATGTATATAAGCATGGCAGGTTGTATGTAGTGAACCATTAATAATACTGATAGTTTAGATTTGTATGTATGTGATTTGCATATCTGTTTAATTTAAAATGTAAGGTACGTACAATTAAGTTTTAATTAAATCACATGTACATAAGCATGGCAGGTTGCATGTCAGTTATGCAAATTAAGATCAAGCATAAAAGAGGCGACAGAGCCACAGAGAGGGAGATACATAGACATAGATACACAGAGAGAGAGCCAGCAGGCTTGACACACACACTTATAGTTGTAGAGACCTGAATTTTACAGTCAGTTGAATAAACTATGTAGCAGAAAACTATATCTGCCTGTCTCAGTTGTCTTATTGGTGAAAAGCAAATCTAAGAACCTGAATAACCAACAGGTTGGTTACTGCTATATGTGAAAAATGAAAAATTCACAAAAATGTAAAACTTCCAGAAAAAGAAGCCATATAGACTGCTTTTCCAACTCAGGCTGCATTTTACTCCTGTTTCCTTTTTTGTAAGATATAGAATCATAGGTAACATGGTCAGGGTCAGGTTTAGGCCGTCTTCTGGGTTTTCCGGAAGACGGTCAGTTTTTCAAATTTACATTGATGGGTATCTGATATTTTTCTGTCAGAAGACAGTAAAAAATGGAGGATGAATCAATAAAGATCATTTGGAAGACAGTCAGAAAATATCTATGGATCCACCCCTGATGGTTTTTCCTTAACAGTCACTATGGTGGCAATGCCCAAAATAGGGTATTCTTCAATTTTGATGCAATATTACATAATGCTTAACAGCATATTCACCACCAATTTTTAATAAAAAAATATAAGTACCATAGCCAAAATGCCATCTGTGTCTGCACATAAAAAAGAAAAAATATATTCTTACTGATCTTAGCAGAATTTAAGGTTCAGAGTGTACATAAATGTTTTATGCTCCTTTGCCATTGTAAGGGAGGGGCTCTGTCAGTATTGTTTGAAGACATGTGTGACAGTGTAAAGGGCATTTACAGCTGTAGTGTGTTTTTTAACCAGGATAGCACACATATTTTAAGTGTTAACGCACCTAAAAGTTTACCATATGTGGTTCATACTGCTTTCTTGAATTAATGCATTTGAATGCATTTAACAATGATTTAATTTAAGCATTTTATTATTTATTGTTTGATTACTATGTTGACCTTTACTGCACAGTAATGAAAGTTTATTTTCTGTATGGTACAAACTGTATTATCTATATCAGTTAAAAATCAAAACAATAAAATAAACCTTTTTTCAAACTGGAACTTGCTGTTGGTGATTTATTATTAACGTTAAAGTGAAGAAAACTGTAAAAACACACTCTCACCTGTCCATCCTGATATTGTTCAATTCTTCAATGTTGGATGCCATGTTCTGGCTGTACTCCTCCGAAGCTCTCAAGTTCCAAATTTTATAAATTGACATCCTCAACTCTCTACTATCAGCCAGCAGCATGACCTTCTTGTAGACATCTATATTTAGTGGCATAGCCCAAGGTCCTTCTGCGGGGTTTTCTCTACATGATGAAGATTATATAATGACAATGTCACAAATCATTACATATTTCAAGCAGGTATGACAGAATCAATACCCCAAATGTAAAATAATTACATAAGGCAGCAAATAGATTTGACAGTAACTAGGTGAATGCATGTAATGGACTTGCACAGTGTGACATAATTCAGCATACTGTAACTATTACTATATCACATGGTCTTAATATAATAAAATATCAAGCTTGTTTAATTTTCTTTGTTTCAGTACATAATTACTGCATCTCATGTTACTTATTTATTGATTTACTAACCTTAATATTTTTCATTTCTGACACAGAGAAAACAAACTTACTCATTTGTGGATATATATTGCAAAAAATCCTCTGGTAAGCCAGAAATTGTGCTTTTGTGATGAAATATTCGTCTGAAGAGACTTTGACAGAATGAAATCCTTCCTCTGCAAAGTAAACAAATTCATGGATCAATTTTACTTCTTCTAAAGAGTTAACAGTTTTCATATGAATAAAAATGCTACTCTTTTGCCTTGACAGTTTGTCACAACATGAAGGTTCAAATGTGGAAGGTAGAGAGTGTTAGCATTTTCACATTCTATGTAAATAGTTTTTTAAAGTGTGATAATATAATGTTAAAACACGATTATTTATCCCATTACTGTTTGCTCTGTTTGCTTGTAACTGTATCATCACAAAGAACAAAGGTTTTTGAAAGATTAGATATAATTTAAACAAAAGCAATAACATATAAATCTTTATATTAAACCATCAATGCCTTACTTAAACAATTTGCAATCTTCTGACAGATCATGCTGGCCTTTCAATAATTCTTCTCTTTTTCTATTCTCCAATTTAAAGCCAACTTTAAAGAATTCATTCAAAAGCACATCCAGGTACCGTTGCTGAATGTCTGTCAAATTTTCTTTGTTCTCTTCTAATTTCTACAAAATATTTATCAAACAAATACAAAGTGTTTCAACATCAATTAGACATAAATGTGAGTATGAAATTTTTATAACTATTATTAACAGTACATTTGTCTCATAATTTATGTGTGCTTATATCACACTTTCTGTTTTTTTATTTTAGTTATAAAATACTAAATGAAATGATACTCTCAAAAAGAAAATTTATAAATTAATTTATGGAAACAATATACTATCTCTTATATAAAGAACTGATATGATTATTGAAAATTATGAACAATTAGATTTCACATATCCTTCTTTACCTTCAAAACATTCCAAAAATTTTCATTTGCCCATCTGTCAGTAAGGATCTTGTTTATTTTAGCTTGACCCTAAACATAAATCACCAAAATATTTAAAGAAAACATAGAGTGTTTTACAGAGATTTTAAAAATAATAAAATTGACCTTACTTTTATTTTGTCTTTGCACCTTCTAATTGATTTACACACACACACACACACACACACACACACACACACAGACACACACACACACACACAAAAAAAAAAAATGATTATTTAAACAAAAATTTGCTTTAAATGTTGAACCAACACACTGCACTCTGTGAAGAAGATATACTTGCACTCCCACAAATGTATATATATATATATTCTGCAATTTTACTCACTACTTCAATTGACTTTGTGAGGTCTACATCCAGATTTCCAAGGTGGGCACTTGTGGCACTTGCATATAACAACTGTGCACATATTTCCTCATATGGTCTAATTACAGAATCAAATGATTCTGGTGCTGAGTCAACTAAATGAATATATTTCAAAAACATGTCATAAGCAAAAGACTTTTCACTATACATCAGACATCTACTAATCTTCAAATTTAAATCCCACCAATGGAATGTCCTTTAACAAGTTAAAAAGACAAACTCATGCACATGTAAATTATTTATTGAAAAAGGTATGTATGAATCAAGCCAAGTGGTTGTTAGAAGTTCAGCAATATAAATGTATGCAATTGATAATTTCAATTCAATGAAAAAAATAATTACTACAAACTATGCCATTTTACAAAACCACATGTGAATGACAACACGTACCTTGCAAGCTTTCAAAATAATCCAGAAATTCAGAACCTTTAACTGCTGCTATTTTTGTCAGTCCTTTAAGTAAGTGATGACGTTTGAAGTTCTTGTCAAATGCCGGTGTCTCATTTTCTAATGTTTCTAGTAATGGGTTTGTTTTTGGTGTGTCTTGGGGAACCTCTGGGAGACTGACAAGTAACAGAAAACTCGTAATCATGTATACATTTTTATACATTAAACAACCGGTCATGCTTAAGTATGCAAAGACATGCAAGACGCGACAAGACAGGTTAATTGAATAAATAAACACCAACTTAGAGTTACATATGCTTCTATATGATACCAAAAGTGCTAGAAATTGTCTTAGATAAAAATACACTAACTATGAAGTGGTTTAATTTGATAAAATGCTCCGATGCGGATCTTCGTCTGCCATCTTGGATTTCCCTTGCTGGATTTTCGCTCCCTTCTTGTAAAGCGCCACCTTATTTTACTGATTCTAGCAGAAATCCAAGCGCATTTTTGCATACTTCAGCATGTTCCAAAACTTGTTCCAATATGTATCTTATGCTAACGAATTTAATGTGCCACTAAAGTCATGGTTGATGTGAAGGTATATATGTTACAATACTTACTTGCATGGAAAACCACATAAAAAATACCCACAGATATCTGCAATACAATTATCTGCTACAAGCATTCGTAGTAGTACTAGTACCGGTAACAATAATAGCATTATTTATATTTATTTATTTCATAGCCATTTCAATCTCAACGTTATGTAATAAAAATGTAAAAAAAATACCGATACTTTAAAAATCAAATATTTGATATTCACTCACAGAATATAATAACCCTGGCCTCTATCCCCACTCTGAGTAAACTCATTTGGCCGCATGGTCTTGCTATAACGACGTACAGACCACAGACTGCGCGGCGGCTTTAAAAGCTGCATCCTTGCTAAGGAGGCAGCCATGTTTTTTAACCTACTAACGTGACCTTCAAGGTCATGGTAGCTCCAGGCAGATTACCTGATATTTATGAAATATCAGTTCTTTATTGCCACAGACATAAATAAAATTCAACATAGGCATTATAAAAAACTGCACAGTTAAGTTTTAATCGGAATACAATTATTCGAAGTCATCGACTGCTACTGGAAATCGCGGAAGTTGTTAACCGTGACGTCATGGGCGGGGTGAACCAGCAACATGGCGGACGTATTTTTCTGCTGTGGGGTAACTCCTGAAGAAAAGACTAACCGGAATCGAAGCAAGAAAATTGATCGTATGCTCGCCAAAGAGAAAATACACTTTAAAAGAACGGTGAAGATTTTATTATTAGGTTCGGGTGAAAGTGGAAAAAGCACATTTTTGAAACAGATGCGAATAATACACGGGCAAGACTTTGACGATGAAGCATTAAATGAGTACAGGCTTATTGTACACACTAACATTGTGAAAGGAATGAAAGTGTTGATTGATGCAAGAGAGAAACTTGGAATTCCTTGGGGAGAGAGTAAAAATGTATCCCATGCTAACAAAGTGTTTGGATACGATAGTAACGTCAAGCTCGATGCTGATTTATTTATGGACTATGCACCCCATGTCGAAAAACTGTGGCAAGATTCGGGCATTCGTGCAGCTTATGAGAGGAGGCGGGAATTCCAACTGGTGGGTTGACAAGAACCTTCACAGAATAAGCAAAATATACTTTAATGTTTTTACACAGAGTACTTATGTTATTTAACACAGAATTGCGATGTTTAAAACTTTTTAAAACTACTATAACTTCTTGTTTGATCTATGTTTAAAAGTTTTCAACTAGTTTTTCCAAGTGTCTCTTTAGAATATGATCAATATCATTTTGCCAAAACATTTCAACCTTTCGATTTTGAAACAAATAGATTAAACAGAATGACAGTATGTGAAACTTGTAAACGTACCACACTACCTGAATTCTAACTTGCAGTTAATAATCAATAAGAACAACAGGTGGAACACTTTCTATATATGGATTGAATTGGTTGGGAAGGGAAAGGAGTACAGAGAAGTGTTAACTTTCTGTATTTTGGTTTATATTTTGTTTAAATGCATCTAAAGACAACAATAAGATGTGATTATCTGTGGTTTAAGAAGAAATGTGTTTATGATCTGTGACTTCATTGGAAATTATATTTGTGCTTGAACACAACAAGTAAAGTGTACTGTACTATTTCTGAAAAAGCTGTTACTAGTACACAAAAGTCATGCCTCCAAGAGCAACTGTGTTAGAAAGCATGGTTACAGTAGCCAATATACTATTGAAGTAGATTTTTGAATTTATGTAATACTCCTCAGTGTTGGTCATATTTTCATTTGGCTGTTAAAAAGTTCAATTAAATTTTTGATATGCAATTAGGGTGCTGTGCCACTGCTCAGAGTATGAAAGTCTTGCTTTTTTGTTTTTGGGGGGTCACATTAAGTTTAACAATTGCTGTCAAATAACATACAGGATTGTGTATATGCTATGCCCTGTTAACTTGAATAAAAATAAAACAATTCTGACATATGCTCTCCAACTGGTATAATTTTGGATCTAGTAGGGTCATTTGGTAAAATTTTTCTGTGTGTAAAGAAAAGAAGACAAAATTAATTTTTAAAAATGCAAATCTTGCTTGGTGCTTTCCTGAAGATTTGAAGAAAAAAGAAACAATAAGCAAAGTAAATGAAATTTCCCTCTCTTGATAATTTGTTGGTATATACGATATATTTATATGACAATGCAGTGTACTGGTGCAAAAGGAAAATCTGGATGCACCTTAGCTTGGAAAACATGCTTTATTTCTTCACAGCAGGTGCTGGCTATTTTATCCAAAATATCTTTTCTTCTGCATGAAAAGAAGGCAGTGTTAGTTCTTAAAAGTGACCAAAGCATGACAGAATGTCAATAACATCATGGTGTCTGAGGATGCACATTTGACCTTTACTAGTAATTGCTTTTTGCTCACTCTCTGTGAGTTGTGTGACTGTTAACTGGCCCTTTTGTCCAGCTGTTACCACTATGTCAACCCATAAATGATGTGATTTCTTTTTAATTCATTTAAAGATCTATATATCTGCCATCATCATGTGGCAGTTATGAGTCAATGGAAATAATAAAGAGACTTTTAAGTAGAAGTATGGGTCACGGCTTATGATTTTAATCTCATTAGTACAGGTCTCGTAAATGGTAATTGATATTAGGGATCTTCAATGCCCAATTAATGACTTTGAACCGTGATTTCATGTTCCATTTGTATAAATACTTAATACAAACTAAATATTTTATTGTACAAATGTATGTCTAGATTTTCATTAATTATTAGTTTATAGTCACGTCAAATTGCAACTTCAGTTAACTGAGGATATTTTTACAGCTCTTGGTCTAATATCTTTGTATAATTTTTTACAAGTTAAGTATGTTTTCCTTGTCCATAATTTTAATTTTACTTTTTCTCTGTTTCTGCAGGGTGATTCAATTCGATATTTTCTCGAAGAAATGGATCGTATAGCACAACAGGTACAGTATAATATGAGAGTTCTAAACAAATTTCAATGATGCTGGTGCAGTTTTTCCCAGGTTGCACAAGATAACACAGGTCAAAGTCATGGTAGTAGTTGTTTTTTAGATCCTACCTGGTCTACCTGAGCTGAAATAAGTGCAGTTGAGCACATTTGGACAGAGATGCTGGTTCGTTGGAATAATTAGTTTCATATGGATTTTATTTTTGTTAAACTTCTGAAAAAAGTTCTTGGCAAGCAGATGCTATTTTCATTGCTGGGGAAAATTGATATCTAAGTGAAGTACTACTTGTTAGCTTACTAGGGCATAAGCACGGGACAACCTGAAAATGGTTGAAAAAAATCCTTCCCAAGAAAATTAGATGGTACAGCAAATACCTCTGAGTGTAATGGCTTGAGAGGGATACTTTGCAGTTGGGGAGTGCAAGGAGGTTTTCTGGAAATGTTAAACCATTAGTTTGGCCTGGAAATTAGGCATTTCAATGAAAGTATAGTAATGAATCTTTTTAATGGGGGGGGGGGTATCAATCTTTAAGATACATAATTTTTGAATCACAAAAAAATCTATTTCTTTTAGCATTTGTGGTACTTTTACAGTATAAAATATGACTTGAAAAAACAGTATCTAAAAATTCATAATTTTCTCCACTGAATAGATCAAGTCTTTGCTGTATATTAAGATGTAGTATAGTTAATACTTTCAAATTGTGTCTCACTTTAAATTGGCAAAGATTGATTCTGCTAGGCACCACAAAACCAAATGTAAATATCATTTCAGTGTGATCTTGTAATGAAATGTAGAACCTGTGAAGGATCATCAAAGAAACTGTGGCTTCTTTGTGCATGAGCCTGTGTAATTTGTGGGTTTACCTTAGCCACACTTATTTTAAAAAAATAATAGTCATAAGATCAACTGTGATATTTATTCTGTATGTTGATCATCAGAAAGGGTTTTTCCTTTTATCATTGAACCAAGTTTTAGTTGGTACTCAGGCAGAATTAGATTGAAGTCCTTTGGGAGAATCCCATTTTTCTCTGTTATGCAATTATTAAACTTTTCCATCAGTGGAAATATGAATGCTTTTACAAGGAGGTCTTTTTTATATTGGGGGGGGGGGGGGGGGGGGAGGGGCAAAATACATGAGTTTCAAGCAGGGTTTTCCCCAGGATTTGCAGTACAGGGAGTCCAAAATTTTGATCAGTAATCTGTTCATCAATTTATAGGGAGTCCGACTACAAAAAATATCATCATTCCCCAAAAATTTCATTAGCTGTCCAGATGTTTGTGAAAATATTGGCCTTTTTAGGCCAGTAGCATTCCAAATGATGGCTGGACAGCTTTCTTGAAGAAAGCCTTGGATTCAAGTGATTTCCAACATTTGACTAGTGGATTAAGATAAAAATTTGAAAGTTTTTTTACGATAAGTTTGTCTTGGAAACAGAATCAGTTTGCAAAAATGAAAAGAGGGAGTACAGCTTCATTAAAGGGTTAAAGTTGTCTGGGACACATTTCTCAAAGCTGCAACTTGGGCAGATAATATGGTTAAAATGCTGGGAGTGGTGCTTTGATGATTTTCAGTTGATTGATTAATTTAACACTTTCAGTGGTGGGGGGGGGGGGGGGGGGGTGCTGTCATTGATGTTGCAAGTAAAACAATGTTATATTTGATAGAGGGGCTTCTGCCATAAGTTACTTGCCAAAGTCACAAGCCATTCATTTCTTGACTCAGTTTGTAAAGTATATATATCATATGAATTGGCCCAAGAAATTGAAATTGTTGTGCTGGACTAAACTTTCTTTCATACTTGACTAAATTCACTGTCTTACAGAGAGACCACATAGTAGATTGAATGCAATCCAGTTTTGCTGATGAAGTAACTTACTAATACCAAATGAAAAGTCTAATCAAAATCTCATTTGAAGTAATTTGGTATCTTCTATTAAATTATTTTCATAATGTGATTTATTCCCTGCAAAAAAACCCGTGAATGATATCCATGTCATATCCAATTGTGAATAATTGTTAACTTACAATAAGTAAGTGGAGATGTAATTTATTTGAGCTGTGATCTTTTCCCTGCAGTACAGATCCTTATAGCTCTAGATCTGCTGCCCAGTTACTTGGCAAGATTTCATAATGTAGCTGTTTATACAAGAAAAAGAAAAGCTAATATTTGCCAAGTTGTTTTCTTGTAAGTTGTACAAATAAGTTTAACACCAGTGCTCAGTATCAAAAGATTAATGTCAGTTTTATTTAAAAAAAAAAGTTCCTTTTGTTTTTATTTTTCTTATTTTGATAACACTAAAAAAACAGCTGGTAAACTCTCTCATAAAGTGAAAAGGATATATGTCAGATTTACACAAGGTATATGGTCCAAGGCTGGTGCGATCAAGGGTTGGGTTAGTTTATACTTTCTGATCATCAAGCCAAGTTAACAAAATTTTGTGTACAGTTTTGCATTATAAGCTGATGCATAAAGACTGCTTCATTGCAAGCATTATTAATAAAAGTGCATACACATCAACCATGCAGTAGAAATGAACCAGATTTTGGTACAGTGTAAATTAGTTTGTGTAGCCATGGTGATCTGAAGGTGAGGATTGTTTCCTGTCACTGGGCTATGATTCACAATCACACTTTCATCTTCTCCCACTCTCTTTACTTCACCTATTTTGCTTAAAAACACCCACAGTGATACTGATATAGCATAGGGGCAGCACTGTTATGGTTGTCTCCATTTCTGAGGAATAATTTAGACTTGAAACCTAAACTTGAAAAATGTTTGACTTTTGTGCAGGCAGAATGCATGATATGCCTTAAGATAAATAGTTAACATGGGGTCTTAAAGTAACCCCTTTCCAGGCTCAATCCAGCTTAAAATTTGTTTTTACTGACTGGCAAATATTATGTATTATGTAAAATCTGCTAGAATATAAATAACAGAAAATGTTCAAATGCTAATTGTTATTCTAAACAACTTGATAAATTGGCAAGTTTTCTAGGAAGTTTAATAATGTACCAGTTGTACTGTTGTTATTATATTATATTATATTACATTGTACAAGGTCATGATAATATATGTACCAGTACAGAAATAAATTGAATTGAAATTCAATTGAATATTACAGTAGCCATAGTTAAGTATCTGACACTTGGAAGATTTTATATCAACTGGGCTTTATATTACTAACGGTGGTGTCACCGATCTTGCATTCAGCTTAAGACGCTCTGATGTCTGGCACGCCAACTGATACTGTTAGTGGGTAATTAACTATCATTTAGCAGCTTCACTAGGCTTACAAACATGTATAATGCTTAATATGAATGCAATTAAGCAAGAATCCCTTTGGAGACAGGTCAATCCTGCTAGATCGATCTAGGTACGGGAATGGGGTCTAAGGCCATGATCTGTATGATTCTCTAAAAATGTTTGATTTCTTGGATTAGCTGTTGATCAAAAAACAGTGAATTTCATCCTTTTGTATATCTGTATATTTTAGTCCCACAAGGGACTCCTTACAAAATTTTGATTTGGCCATACTTCGGTATTAGATATCGGCAAATTTCATTAGGTAACATTTCCTTAGTCAGAGTTGGAAATATAAGAAGATACATGGGAAAAGAAAAGACAGTATAATGAAGAGCACTTGGGTTGGTTTTCAAATAGAATCTCTCATCTGCATAACCATAAGATTTTCTATGCCTGCTTCCTTGATTCAGCAACCAGGGAAAATATACTGCATGATGAGACTAATTGCAAGCTGATCAGGTTTCCTTCTGCACCCTGTAATGGAGAAGTGAAGGTTAAGTGGTTCTTAAAAAAAAAAAGAAAGAAAGAAAAACAAAAATGAAAAAAAGACATATCACTCTACACGTATGGTCAGTGGTACCCTTCAACTCACTGCCTTGGATAAAAACAGTCTTAAAATTAACAAATTATTACCTCCCACACACACACACCCACCCCACACACACACACACACACACACACCCCACCCCCTCACTCCTACCAACCTCTGTGATGGCAAACATTTTATGCAAGCAAGAGTAATCTTTTTAGTCAAATCAAATTTCATTGTTAAAATTCATTAATGAAATATGGAGTATTTCACACTTTGTTCTTCAAAAATAATGTTTCACCCAATGACAATAATTCCATGTGCTTATGTAGACTTCCATTTCTGGTAAAATACAATAGATTTCAGTCACTAATGTGTTTTGCTGCAGTCTTGTAAAAAAAAAAAGAAGAGAAAAGAAATAAAATCAAGAGCAGAAGAATAAGAAGAAAAAGCTGCTGATGGACATCCTGTCTCTGGGTTTTCCTCTGTATTCAGGAAGTATGCCTCAGAGTATAAACCAGCCTGACGCTCTAATAGCAAACACATTCTGTGTTCTGGCATCTGGAAGAAATGTGACCTTGTTTGCCAAGTTGTACAAAACCCATTGTGATTTGAAAATGTAATTTGGGGAGAGAGAGAGAGAGAGAGAGAGAGAGAGAGAGAGAGAGAGAGAGAGAGGGGGGAAGAGGAAGCAAAGTGCCCATGTTGGGTATCCCTTTTAGTGCCATTGATCACAAAAGGTTATGAAGACTCTCTGGGCAGCTTCTGAAAATCCATATCAAAATATATTAATCTACCTATACACATGTTCCAAGAATTTAATATCCAGTTAAGAACATTACCTTCAAAAGATGTTCACATCAAAAGATAGAAACCTTTGATCAGTTGTACATCATAAGCTGAGTAACACAATTAGCCCTTTGTTAGTGTTAAATAGAAAACGTATACCGTACTCTTTTTGTCTAAATTGAAATAAAAACTTCTGTGGAACTATTCACTGTTTCTGTTTTCACATAGCTAAACAAATGCCTTTTGTCCATAGTTTCAAGAACTCTTGGTAGTATGTATAGCCATGCATCAAGTATCTTGAAAAGAGACTTGTATTTTTGAGGTTTAAGCACTGCTAATATAAGTCAAAATTGATGTGTAAATATGTATCAAATCTTAAATGATATTTATTGGGTCCATTTTATTGATGGATTTCAAAAATTCTCAGTTACACTGTTTTATCTTTGTAATTCTGCTATTTCTTAAAACGAGAGCATTTCCAATTGGTGTTTTTTTTGTTTTTTTTTTAATTGGGTGCTCTTTACTTGTTTGATAGGTCTAATACTGAATAGTAATTTTGGAACACAAAAATTCAATATAGTCAGTTATTTATCTGAATTGGAAAAAGTAGTAGTTTTCTGTCAGAATAATTCTTCAGGTAACATTTTGTAAATTTTAATCGGCAAGTTTCAGTTTACATCAAATATTTTATGTAATGTGGAAAAAGACATCAGTTTTCTGCCAAACCCTTTAACATTTAGCTAATTGTAAAACATGATGAGTAGAATTACTTTTTGTTGTGCTATAATTTCCAACTACTTGTGCTTATAAGTAATCAACCCTTCTTTTTTTCTTTTGATTAATTTGGTATTTTTTTACTATTTCAGAACTATGTTCCAACTAAAAAGGATATCTTGCATTCAAGGAAAGCAACAAAGGGAATAATTGAACATGAATTTGTCATCAAGGATATACCATTCAGGTTTGTGGATGTTGGTGGCCAGCGATCACAGCGACAGAAATGGTTTCAGTGTTTTGAAGGGGTAACATCAATCCTCTTCCTCTCTTCTTCCAGTGAATTCGATCAAGTCTTGATGGAGGATAGGATAACAAACAGACTTGTGGAATCCTGCAACATCTTTGAGACAATAGTGAACAATAAGTGTTTTGTAAATGTCTCCATTATTCTATTTCTCAATAAGACGGACTTACTGGAAGAAAAAGTTAGAAAGTACAGCATCAAAGGGTACTTTCCAGACTTTCAAGGAGATCCACACAGGCTGGAGGATGTGCAAAACTTTATGTTGCAATTGTTTGACTCAAAGCGTCATGGAGTTGCTAGAGAGAAGCCCCTTTTCCATCATTTCACCACTGCCATTGACACTGAAAATATCAAATTTGTATTCCAAGCAGTGAAAGATACAATCTTACAAGATAACTTGAAATCCCTCATGCTGCAGTGAACTTTGAGGTTGAATACAAACAGCATCAGATTCAATTAAGCAAGCCTCCGACAAACAGTCTAATAGAATAAGAGCCAGTATATACAGATCTTATAGTTGATTACTTGCTTATCATTGTCCTTATAGAGTTTGGCATGCTACAGTTTTCTAAAGATAATCTAGTTATATCTTGCACTTACAGTGGAGTAAAAAAATCGAATAGCCTAAATGTTTTGAAATGCTTGGAATTGAATTACTTTTAAGAATGCCGAGTAGTGCCATTAAGAAATCAGCCACCTTCCTTGAAACAGTATTTCCTTGTGTGTTGGATTTCTAAGCTGACTTGTTAACTTAGGGTATATAATATAACATATATATGTAAAGCAAGTATGACAACATCTTTTGATACTTTCATATACAATTTAAGTTTAACTCACAGTTAGGGTAACATGTTCACTTTAAGTACCATGCATGGGTTTGGTCACATACATCAAGGTAACACTGCCTCATATTCTAAGATAACTTGGCTTTCATTTCATCCATCCCACCCTTACCCTACTTCAAAAGCCGTGTTCAGATAGAAACTGATACCAATCACAAATTGGTCCAACTTATTTTATCAGGTGACCAGATAACAAAGAAACAAAATGGTCTTATGAACTAAGGCAAATATCAGATTTGAAGATACCCTGTCACTGTGTGATCATGCCATATTAAGTCCATGACATACTGTTAAATGCGAAAAAGAAAAACAATGATATGAAAACACATAAGCAACAAATCTGTCCAAAATTGCCTCGACTATATCTTTGTTTCTACTGCCATTGCTGCTATGATTTTTACCCAGTAGTCATCAGTTACATATGATTCAAGCAGGATTTTGTCAAACGCAAATCATAATCTCATTAATTTTTTCGCTGGTGGCCAATCATAATGAGGAGGGTGAAGAGGGTATAAAAGCAAGATGTGCTGCTGATGGTGGCCAACAATAGGCACAATGGCATTTTATGTTGGTCAATACTAGAGTTTTTTAAACATTCATATGAAAAGAACCATGTTAGATTAATTTTTAAGGACATGGCGTGATATTCAGATTACTATCAGGGTGAAGTAGCACCTTGAATTTAACATTTTTTCTCAGTGCTCTAGTACATTTTTTCTCAGTGATCTATAGGAAAGTAAAACAAAAGAGTATAATTTCAGATTTTTTTTTCTTTTTATGTGGTTGTTTAATTTTGTATATTTCTTCATGTGCCTTATGTGTTAAGTATAGATTTCTGAAATAATTGCAGAGTATTCTGACCCTAATATATCTGCTGCAACTGCTTTCTCATGATATTGTGTACTTTGTATTGTATATATGTATATGACGTGACTTTTGTAACTAGTTCTTCGGGATGTTTTTCTTTGAAAGCTGTCCATGTTAACATGACAATTCCAATATGTACAGAAGAGAGTAACTGGAGATACTCATATTCCTGGAATATAAACATTCTGATCATGACTGGGTGATATATATATAATAATAATAGCCATTAAAAGACTGAAAGCAAACTTATGTCCGAGTTATATCAAAAATAATTAAACTTACAGTTTTAAGGTTAAAGTTTAATCTTCTTTAATCCTGAAAATAGAAAGTTTAGTGCAAATGCTGTTTCTCAAGGTCATGTTATTTGACAAGTTGTCAAGTGATAAATTTGAGAACGTCAGCAGACCTGGTTTGTGTTAGATTCAGAACTTTTTGATGATACGATTAATGACCCAAAAATACAAGGCTAAGATTTCATCAGCCTGATTAATATCAATTTACACTTGCTCTGGGCTTGTACCTTGATCTTTTTTGCTTTGGTGTTTGTAGCAGAGATGGTGCTGTTCTTTCTACCAGATGGTTTATTAAAGCTGGTTATAGTGTAAATAGTCTGCTGTGGTTAGTGCTAGGCAGGATGCCAAGATCTTAAGGTAGACCTTGGATATTAAAGATGAGTGTTGTGAACTAAATGAATTTAAGATAATTAGAAGTGGGAATGCAAATTTTTTGCTTAAGCCGACTCATGTACCCAATACCTCTGTGATCTTTAGATCTAGTCTCCTAAAATGAATTGATATTCTGTGGCATTTACTTTATAGAAAGCACTGTTTAGAGTAAGACACTTTCTTCAGACCGGTGATGATAGCCGAGTGCCAAGAAATAAGGCAATAATTGTTGACCCAAACCCTTTCTGTCATATAGTTATTACAAATGGGTTTCCTCTTGTGTGAAAGAGTTTGGAAGTGAGATGAGGAATGAAGACTAGCTTTCTTTGCCTCCTTTAAAAGCATTTTTGAAAAAAAAAATGCTTTTATATCTTCCCAACAAAGTGATTACAAATAGTGTTGGCCAAAAGCAAGTCAGGACATTGGGCACGGCATTCTGACCAGCAATTTGTTAATTGTTTCCAAATTATATTTTTATTATTATCATCTACATATTTTTATATTATAAACTGGGATTATAATCACATAAAGTAATTGATATGTTGATTGGTTAAATGGGCTTTCTCTGTGAAGAGGTCCCTCATAGTTATAGAAAAGGATCATGGAAACTTAATGTATTGAACGGTTTCAAAATTCATCCTTGCTAGGAACAGTGTAATTAATAGTGACAGTTCTGCGGGTATTTAAAGATCTAATGCTTGTAGGAAATATCCAATTTTGTTTAGCTTGGGAGCAGATTTTCTGTTTCTACCCAAAGAAGAGAGAATGGACTTGTGATTCTGCGCAGGTAAAAAGTAGTGTAGTCGACAAAAGAAAAATCAATGGTATAATTAAGGACATTTGTCTGGGTATTTCTGAGGAGTATAAATACTTTACCCAGAGAGCAACATGTCTGTGTACCATAAGAGATTAAAATATATGCAAAAGCACTTTTGTAACACATGAGCATTAATATTTACTCTGTGACAGCAAAGACATTTTGAATTCCAACTGCTGTGAAGTATTTTGTTAAATATCCAATTGTTTTGACTTTCTTAGTAGATTAATATGGATTTTGTTTAAGACAGTTATAGAATAAACGCATTTTGTTTTGACTTACTTGATAGATTTACACATACATAAAGGGAACCATAAGCTTGAAAGTGGTATCAGTGTAAGCAAATTGCTGTAGCACAAATGTTTTTTATTTTGGGAGTTTAGAAAGGGAGATTTTTAATTTTGTATATACACATGAACTGAATTAATCGCAAAGATTAGTAAATACTGCTGTAAACTATGTAGATGGCTCAGTATCTCGTTTGTATGTTGTGAAATGAAATATTTATATGTACATCACAAATAAAATGTAAGATACAAAGAGATGGACTTTTTGACATTTTTAAAAACCATACATAATTTTAAGTAAGCTGCTACTCGAGATGGTTAAACAGGGCTAGTAATAACAGATCCATACAACAATTCAACAATTTTCATATGAAAAAACTTTATTAGTGACAAAACCTCACTCCGTAGAAGGAAGTAATATAACACATCGCACAAATGGGAGTTATTAGCTCAAAATGGATGTTGATTACAAATTATAAGTAGAATTTTCCTCCTTATGCCAAAGAGGAAAATGTGCAAAGCTTACGGACTGTTCATGTAATACTGTTCAATATACAATATTGCTAACAACATTTAACTAACATTAAATAATGTATCAAAGAAGAAATGAGCAATAAAAGGCATCAACATTTATCATGGCAATTTTCATAGACATATTTTTACTATGTTTGAAAATTAAATTGTTTTACACCAACTTTTAGGTTTACAGCCAAATTTCCATACTGTTTAACACATGAAACCTGCACCATACTAAAAAATGGCCCTTAACATATGTACATTTGCTTCAATCCTAACAGTTTCTTTATCTTTTCTGTCTAACCTTTCAATCAAGATGCAGTACATATTCCAACATAACCAATACCCACACCATAATATTGTACCCTACACTCAAAAACAATAGCACCAAAAGCACCAAACATCAAGACTTTTAAGTATAACTGCCAATATGAGGAAAAAAGATAACAAGGAAGAATGTAGTCCTAGCCATTCAAATATTCAGTTCAAAAGACATATTCTAAGCAGATAACACCAGTTGGAGACAAATCAGCAACAAACAACACTTCAAAGATCTCATATTGTTATTCTCAAAATTGTCTTGATTTGAAAGAAAAGGGCATAAAGCTGTAAAACTTGAAGGTTGTATTTTACAGAGATATAGAGTTCAATTCAAACATGAGAAACCATTTTACCAAATCAATGCAATTTTCTTTATTAGCAATCGAATGCTAATAATATTTCACCTTTCAGTCAGTAATAACCAGTCATGTATACAAGGGGAAAAAGGCTGAATAATCATTTAGCGAATTTGTTGGATTTAGGATTTCATATAACCATCAAATATTACTCTAAACATCTACAAAACCTTCACATCGACATCAGTATCAATGCTATACCTTTTCTGCAGATTCCAGTAAGTATTTTTCAGTCCTTTCCTTTAATTCTTGAAGCAAACTTTTTAAAGACATACAAAACCCTTTAGAACCTGGAAGAAGGGGGAAGTCTGGTAAGATGAATGTCACTGCTGAAGTATTTGGTTCTGCACTTTCCTCACTTTCCTGCACTTTTTTGGTAGCAGTTTCCTCACCTTCTAGACTGGTCTCCTGCAGTACCTCAGAGCTACTAGAGGGCACTGGTTGTTCCTCTGTGGCATCTAAGGTCATGGACTTTTGGCTGTCACGTGAACCTTCTGGTTTTTCAGAGACACTGGGGACCCTTGAACTAGCTGTAGCATCCATCGTATCTGCCTTCAATGAATCAACGGAAGCTTTTGTTTTGGTTGTGTCATTTGGAGATTCTGGCTTACTTTCCATGTTAGGAGATTGTAACTTAGTTGTGCTGCTCGAAGATGCCAATTTTTCAGACTTTTGAAGGTTTTCTGAATATTGCACCCAATATTTCAGTCTCTGAATCATTCTGAAAATATTAATCATATTTTTTATGCTCTATATGTGCAGCAAGGTTTAGAAAAGAAGCTAATTTTTTATTTGTTACAATATTTCTAATTTTACAGCATTTTTCATCTAACCAACCTCTTTGTCCTGTGCTGCAAGTGTTCTCTGAATTCATCTTTGAATAGGTCAGGGGGATTACAAACCATTCTTATCATAGACTGAAAGCAAATGAAGAATATTCATTTTCACTTTTTATTCCTTTTTACATGCATGAAGGTCACTGTGATTATTCATCTTTTTATATTGAATTGTAATCTCATCTATCACTACTTTTCACAACAAAACTTTTTCAAGAAATGCCATGAAACAAACTACTTCAAGTAAAAACAGAACCTAAACAAACATAGCCAAGTATATTAAAAAAATATATATGAAAAAAATCTTATCTTCCATGCAAATGAATTCTTAACCTGTAAGAGTTTGATGACAGCCATCTCATTGTACACCTTGCTGTTCTCCATGCCCTGCTGTGTGCCTCTCTGCCGCTCATAACCAGCTTCATTGTAATAAGGTTCAGCATTCAGGATTAGGCCTAAAAAAAGGCAAATGTTCAAATTTCAATAGTACAGTTAAAAAGTAAGATGAAGAATGCTTTAAGTCAGCAACTATCACTTTTCAATTTTGGGTTTATACTAGTGTCATCCGTTGTCTACAGCTATGATTTAAGCCATGGATGCAATACCTAATATCAGAATCTCAATATTTCCAATGTTCATATGACTGTTTTAAAGGTACATGGTTGTTTTTTGTGGCAAAAAATTTACTTCATATGCATCTTTTTAAAATGCAGAGAGAATAAACAAATTATCTACAAGAAAGACAAAAATACCCACCTTGAATAGACACAAAAACCTGAAGCAAATTAGATTTAGATGTCCATACTTCTGAACCCTGAAAAATAACACAATATTTAAGAATCCTGTATGAAAAAGAACAAATTGCGAAAAGTGCATTACAGTCAAAACTTTTGATAACAGATACATTTTAACTTATATCCTCACCAGGGAGGCGAGAATGTCAAAACCCAGTCTGTATCAGGGCCAAAAGTGACCAGGCGTCCAACGTAAACTGCGCTGAGACTCAGTAGTGTAGTGTGGTATATAAGAACTGAACGTAAACTTTTTACTTACCAATTATAACATTCATAACAACTGTGTTATGTTAAATTTTACAGGAAAAAGACAACACTATAGAAGAAAGTACTGCCACACTGGTCACAGAAATGTCAGCCAAAGAATAGCAACTATTCCCCGTTCCCATGAGTACCAATGTCAAAATCCACCACCAATTTGACTTCAGTTAAACCATATTTATAGCAAACAATTCTATTACAGTCTATATAAAAAATGATCTTTACCTTCCCACCCCAGGTGCCAAGGAGACTGACACAAACTTTTCCATCCTCGTACAGATTGGGATTCAGCCTGTCACTACAGAAAGCTAAGTAGTGGAACACTGGAGGTGAGGTAGGGTAGTCACTGGGCAGTTGAATGTCAAAAAAGAATAAACCATCTTCATATGGGGTGTTTGCTGGTCCAACAAACATCACCGAATACAGGTCCTGCAATAAAAACACCACATAGAAACAAACACAAAGACCCAAACAAATGTGGTTTTACAGCCTAGAAAATGACAGGAAAGTATTCTGCAACATCAGGGAAGTGTATTGTCCTAGACTAGTCTAATTCAACTTCAAACTTTCATCATAATTTTTACAACCTAAGTTGTGTCTGTGATAGTGACCTACAGAATAGTGCATCTTCATTATGTTTACAATTAAACAAAAAAAGACATATTTTAAACACAGAACTAATTAAATATTACCATTCTATCTTCAAATCCTTTCACAACGATTCCAGATGGCAAGTGGCCTCTCAGCAGCTTCAGCTAAAATAAACACTGCACAATTGAGGGGAAAACACAATTTCTTCCCACAGCAAATACAACCAGCAAATTTCTATATCTTACACTGATTTGAATTCAATGCATTTAATTTCTTAGTCAACTTCGAATTTAACTTAAGTCCTTTATCTTCTGGTCACAGATACAATCAGCCCTTAACCTTGAAGACTGCAAAGCTTTTCTGTTTAACTTCAGTAGCTTTTCTGTGCAAAGAGAATTGATGGCTTGATTACTGAAGTTGTCATAAGATATTTTTAGTACATACTGGTAAATGTAAACAGCTTCATCCAACTTCCTGGAGCAATAGCTAATGAATAAATCGCAAAGAAAGTAACATTACCTCTTTCCTGACAGCACCAAGAAACATCTTACTATCTGCTGGTTGGTGTTCTTTATTCTTGAATTTGTGGCCTGCTGGCACTTCTTCCAGCATTACAAACACTGTAAAGAAATAAATTGATTGTTATAAGACAGAGCAATATTCATGAGAAAAAGTGAGAGATTTGGGGGGGGGGAGAGGTCCATTTCTCAAAATAATTGATTAATGCTACAAGATCAGTACTTGGATTTTAAAATAAGTTAAAAAATTTAACATCTCTTACCAGATTTGTTTTCTTCACTGTCATCTATTTTGGCTTCTTCCTCTTCCATTTCTTTCAAAGACAGGTTTCCATTCATTTCCTCTTCTACTGTAGAAGTGGCCTCATCTTTCAGTGCAGTCATATTTTCCTTCAATTCTGTGTCTGCAATGCTTGTCACTGAAGCAGGAGTTTCTACAGTGACATTTTCTTCCATTTTAGCAGCAGCATCTGGATTAGAAGCAGCGCTTGTTAGATTGTCAAGTGTTTCATCCATATCTTCACCAACACTTTTGTCCCCAGGTAGATCAACAGATGTAGCCGAATGCAAAGATTCATCATGCTGGTCTGTCCCAAGTTTTTTTAGTTCTCCTTTCAAATGTTCTATATTTCCCTTGCAGAGAGATTTGATTTCCTCTTGTGTTAGACTAAATTGCTTTTTGAGACATTTGCATGCCATTTCCCATATATCCTTCACCTTTGACCTTTGCTCTGCATTACTCGAAGGAGTAAATGATGACAGGCCTGTAGATGTCGCTGCTGTAGCTCCCTCGCCAGCATTTTGGTTAACATTAACCACGACAGTGGTTACTTCTGTTGAGGTTTCAGGGGGATTTTTTGATTCTTCTGCACTGGCACTGCTACCCTTCAAGTTTTCTTCAGGTTTAGTTTGTTTGAAAGAACTAACATTACCACTTAAACAAGTTTCCTTCCCTGAATTTTTTTCTTCATTGGGTTTTGCTGCACTTGAACTCATGGCATCATTGGTTGTATTCCCAGCTGCATTACCAACATCATCATCAGACTGAACACTATCCTTTTTGGTTTTTACATTTTTCTGCATATTGAGTTTACTAAGTGCTTTTCTTGCTTTTCTTGTGGCCCTTTCCTTTTCAATTTCAGACTCTACAACTTTGTACACTTCCTGTACTCCTGTGTCCTTAAAATGTCTAGTACCAAGGTTTTTATCTATGGTCTTGCACTGCTTGAGAAAACCAAGTATAGGCTCATAGAAAACTTTGGAATATGAACTAATTGTCATGGTGTCTCTATTCAACACTTGATCCATCTTTTCCATGCTTGTGAACAGATCATTAAAATTTTTGTCCATTCTCTGCATCATTGTTTCAACATCACGTAATTTCTTTTCAATGGCCTGCACTTCAATGCTAGAAGATAAAAAAAAAAATGATAAAAAATGGCACATTTTTATACAAAAACAAAATCATTCTGTCTTAAACTTATTTTATGTGCAAAATTATTTTTTTAAACAAATTAACAAATGTGCCCCACAAGCTAGTTACTTACTCTTTCTCCTTTTCAGCTTCTTCCTCATCCACTTCCTCCTCCTCCTCAGTCTCCCAGGAGTCCACGTCACTGTCCTCCTCACTCTCACTTCCAGATTCCCATTCTTCAGACATCTAATAAATTTCAAGTTTTAAAAGGTGTTTTCAACAGGAAAAGTAGAAAAAAAAACTTTAAATCTAATTCTTTACATATACTAAAATGTCATTTTAAAAAAGATAGAAGAAATTCTGAATTATTATAGTATATGAGACCAAAACAGGTCAGATAGTAAAGCCATGAAATAAATAAAAATTTTAAAAATCCAAGTTTATAATTTTTTATTTATTTATTTTGAGGATGTTGGTAAAAGAAAACTAAGGTCTTTATAACAAGTTTCAGCCAAAATGGACATCCTGTCTGTTACACACCAAACCTAAAATCAAAATCCATCAAAATCAAATATGTTACTAATCATCCGTCACACTCACTTCATCTGTGACCAGATAGAGATGGCAAGGATAACAATAGCTGGTGCTGCCATCTACCCAATGTACACCAATACGTCCTCCTGGAGTCACATCGCACACTTGACCAGTAGCGGCACTACTTGCCTCAATCTACAAGGTCAAAGGTGCTGGGCTGATATCATTGTCCACATAATACACATTTCTTAAACACTATGGGACTTACTATGAGTTTTTATTACTAGTAACATTATGAGATAAAATTTCTAATACAGAATTTTAAATACATAAAAATTATTTCATCAGTCAAGGAGTTAAATTGCATTATCTTACCTCTCTTTCTCCACCTATTTTCACTACAACATGCCCAAGTCTGAACTTAAAGTCTGGGTGATCCTTGACATCATACACACTCATTTCAATGGGTTCTCCAACTTCTTCAGGACTGGACAAGAATAAAAGACATGCATTACCAACAATTCCTACTTTTAAATAGTATCAGTTTGGACCCTTGATAACATACTAGTACTTTGTACCAAATGTATAATATAATGAAATGTAGATATACGAAATAGAAAAGATGTTATAATTTCAGAGAAAAAATATTGATTTGTTCCAAATAATAAAGTCTTAATGACCCCAATGATTTCTTGATTCACACAACTGAACAGGCTCAAAAAAAAAAAAAAAAAAAAAAAAAAAAAAAAAAAATCAGCACTGTCCTATAGTGGGGCGTTTACTGAATTCATCATTTCAAATCTTTGACATCAAGATAAAACCTGCGCAGAAATCATGGGCAACGTGTTTTCACATCAAGTCGTGTCTGTACAAACCCAGTTCTGGTTCCTAGAGTGTTACCACTATAACAGAATTAGAATGTGGCCATTTTCCAATTTATGTAGATTATTAATATTTTCACTTTTTATCACATAATTTTCTATTTTTTGTTCTCACTTGTTTTCCTCTCCTGTCTTCATCCACTTTACTATACAGGTCCTCTGCTGGTGATCTACTGTGACTACGACCCCGTACTGATCTTCGCTGCCCACGTCTGTGACTGAAAAATAATAGATGTGGGATCAAATACCTATTGGGATTTCAGTATTGTAGTGATTGCATTACTGAAATAAATCTTTCATCACACACTCAACAATTAAATGATAGTTATGGATATAATGCAATAACTCATACAATTCTACCAGCTGGATACTCACTTTTCAGATCAGCTCTCAATAAAAAAAAAGTCAGGGGGATAAAAAAAAAGCTAGAATGTCTGACAATCACTTCAATGTAGCTGCATGCAGCATTAATTAAGTCAGATATTAAGTTTGCATCAAGAACAACAAAAAGCTTTTAGATCATTCTTTAACTGATTTTTGCAACTACTTATACTTGACAAAATCAGAATTCCAAGATTCCTACATTTGAATCCATCAATATGCTGTGCAATTTACCTTTAGCTGGAACAACAAAATCTCCTGGGAAGAATTCAAGCTCATCTAAATGGTGGATTGGGTACAGCTCTGTGGACGGGATGCTCTTCTCAATGCTCCCATCCTACATATTTGACGAAAACACAAAGTGCAATCAACTGGATGAGTCAGCAAAACAATCATTACTAGACTGTAGACATATAAATATTAGAAGTATGCCAGTGTCCTCAGAAAAATGTCGGTCTACATAAATTTCACATGCAAGTTTTCCCTCTTATCCCACATCACTTTTCTTGATTACTGTTAAGAGATAAGAATGGATTTCTTGACTTTCTTGACAGCTTTAAAAACTTTTATGAGATTACTAGTCAAGTCAATATTTTATATCAGTATTAATTTTTTATTCAGAATTTTCATCAACTGACCTGCCACATGACGTCTGCATGAGAATAGGTATACATCACCTCCACTGCCACACTCTCCCCAGCCTTAAACTCCTTCTGTGGTTGAATCTGCAGCAAAGACTTGGATTTTTTACCTTTCAATTTATGCTTGAACTTCAATCCAGTAAAAGTCCTCGATTTCTTTTTCTTACTACTCGGCCCAGAAGCATCTGACTGAGATGAGGTGAGAGACCCTGTATCTGTTCCATCATCATCTTCATTATCATCATCTTCTTCTTCTTCAGATGTGGAATCTTCAGCAAACCCGGTGTCTTCACTGCCTGCCTTGGATGAGGTATTACCAGCTAAAACATTGGCTTCCTGAGTTACAGATTCAACAGTAGTGGTAATGCCAGTCGTCCCAGCAACAGTAGATGAGGTAATTTTTGCTTCAGGATTTTCTGGGATGGTGGAGTGTCCCAAGTCTGTAGTGGATGAAAAGGAAACTGCTGCTTCTGTATCACCACTGAGAGCCGGAGGTCCCGGATCAGCCATAGCAGAGGGAGTTTCTAAATCAGCAGGCACAGAGGGCATAGTCACCACTGAATCACTGGCTGCAGTGCAACTGGGTTGTTCTGACTCCATATTTATGACAGAAGTTTCATCTGGTGTCATTGCATCAGCTTCATCTCCTGCAGTTTTACTTACTGCACTTCCTGTGATAAAAGTTTCTTTCTGTGAAGCATTATTCTTTGCATTTAGCATATCCTCCATTGCAGCAGCACTGGCATTTCCCTCAGAACTCTCCCCACATTCAATGATTTTTTCAACATTATGTCCAGACTTATTTGCTTTATTTCTGGCGAGTACAGAAAACTTGGTTGCTGACTTAGTCGAGTCCTCAGTTATTGTACTACTATCCTTGGTAAGATAAGATGCATGGGATCTTCCCTTACTCGGTATGACGGTTTGTATATCATCTGTATCTTTTATGGTATAGAAACATTTGTCACCTAATTGATAGCTGCATGAAGAGAACATGTCCAGAGACTTCAACCTGTAAAAAGAAGGAAAAACCTTTTATCTTTCAGATATATTATGCTGCTAAAATACTTTTCTGCTTCATGTACTACAGTTATCTTTAAATTACAAAGACTAACATAGACTTGCATATGCATGGGCAGGTATTATTCTCAGATCTCATCATTAATGGTGATCTTTGGGACTTTATTTTTGCTCTTGATAATTAGCTAATGTTTGTAATAAATGAGTCCACTGAAAAGCATAAGGTACCTCTGGAGATTGTCATCTTTGACCACCCTTGGAGGAGGATCTACTTTGGTGTCTGTGTGAGTGGCATACCCTCGACATGTCCAGTGAACTTCAATGCTTTTAGTCATGACCTGAAGCAAATTGAGAAATATAGAAAAGCAATATTTGCCATAGATGCAATAACTTAATGAGTATAAGTAGATGATAACAAAAGGGAGGTCAATCAATCAATTAGACTTGTCATAATCAAAAATCATTAAGAAGCTGATATTCATTACAGGACCACAAAAACTAGTTTCAGGAAAGCATAAATTACCACTTTTTATAAACTTATTTACCTTTTCAACTGAAACATGGACTTTCCTCAGTCTGTTGGTTTCCACTGTCCATGCAGAGTGGTGCTTAGTAGTAGAGAGCCACTTGGCCTTGGAAAGCTCTCCCAGATTGCCCACTAGATGTTGACCAGGGTAGTATGCTTGGTTATAAAATTCTGTGCCCTAGATGAACGAAATAGAAAAAAAAATGACAAAGTTGTTTAAGCCTCTTTACAGATGACTCTTGCTGAAGTCAGAGTTCAAACACCTTTAAAATAGGATAAATAGCTATTAAGGTGATTGATCTCTATTGTTTTCCCATGGAAGTCATGACTGTGCAGGTAAACAAGTTATTATAAGATTAATTTATTCAGCAGTTTATTTCATTTTCATTCAGCAAACTCATTGCAAACTTTTAACTGCATATTACATATTCTTTTGGAATCTAGACAAAAAATTACTGTAGTACAACTAAAGGAATCCATCTTAATTAAACTTACATCATCTCTCTTTTCACAGACGTCTTCAAAATCATATAACTCTGATTCTTCTATTTGGCATCTGAAAATACAATTGCTTATCAGGACTAACAGTTCTGAAATTGTGGTATAAGCTATCACAGTGTGTACATAAAGGACCCATTGTATGTTCAATTGTTTACTGTAAAATGTGCTCACTAATTCTGACAGCAATGTTCAAAACTAAAACATTATTGGCCTGGTCCTCTTACTTTTTCAGTCATGACGTGCGTGTATGTATGTGTGTGTTTTTTTTTTCATATCTAGCATGTAAAACTTAAAAGAACCATTAAATATTTATTTTTGTCTTCACATATATTGACTTTTTAATTAATCTTTTTTGTCTGTTGAATTACATCTTCACTGATGCTTTTTGAAACCTGATGACCCATACCTCTTGAGTTTAATATTTGTTTATTTATTTATTTATTTATTTATTTTAAAAAACAATTTGTTTAATATTGTTTTCATCACAATTTTCAAGTTTAAAACCAACAAAATAAGCAATGTTTACAAGAAAAATAATAGTACCATCATACTCTAACTAATTTTAACCACAAAGAGTGTATGTTTTGAAAGTTCATTACATGACCCTGCGCACAGTAGCATACCTAGCACCATCAGCAAACTTGAGTATCAGTTCTTGGTTGATCAGGTCTATTCTTCCCACCCAGGAGTCCAGTGTGACATCACCAGGCTCAGGATCCCATTCCTAATATACATATATTTATTCACATAAGACAAGATGTTTTAATACATATTAAATACAAAATCCAGGGGCAGAGGACATCTGGGTCTTCCAGAAGACGGTCAGAATTTTTCAAGTTTACATTGATGGCCATCTAATTTTTTTCCTCCAGAAAATGGACAAAAACGGAAGATGGATCAACAAAGATAGTTTAGAAGACTGTCAGATAATAAATCTGGATCCATCCCTGAAACCTATCTAAATTGATTTACAAAATAGTTCAATGTGATGTGAAATGATTTCCCACAAGAGTTTTACAATGACAGAAAATAAATGTTATTTATAGACATCAAACAGTGAAGCCATCTACAGACATTCTAATTCATCAAGGCCATTTACTGCACTGGGCATACAGCCATTATTCACATGTTTTATCAATCACTAGTAACATGTTGCATCCATACGAAAAGAACTTTTGGCCCTGTAAAAAATTCCTCTACCTCCAGGTTTCTCAGTTCTTTAGTGTTTACGTTAGTGATGACTTTGTTTGTTCCAAGAATCAGAACATGGCAGGTTATATCTGTCATGGAAACAAAACCCCTTTGGCTGTTTTCTCCTTGGATCAGTCTTCTAACCACATCACCAGGCATCAAGGAACGATCTACCAACTTGAGCTTAAATAATAAAAAAAAAAATTGTTTGTCAATTCATTAACATATCCCAACTGATACTCTCTCTCTCTCTCTCTCTCTCTCTCTCTCTCTCTCTCTCTCTCTCTCTCTATATATATATATATATATATATATATATATATATATAGTTTTTTATCACACATCAAAGAAGTGGTTAAATGTACAACTGGAATAAGGTTTCAACTTTTCAGAATAAAGCACATTTTCTTTATTTGACTTCATTATTAATTTTTTCATTGTTTTATTGAGGTTTATTTATTTATTTTTATTAATTAAGTGTGTGTGTGTGTGTGTGTGTGTGTGTGTGTGTGTGTGTGTGTGTGTGTGTGTGTGTGTGTGTGTGTGTACAGATAGATCGACAGACTTTTTATTGTGAACAAACCCATCATAACAATATAACCTGGTTAATCAACTCTGCCAAATCCTATCAAAATTGAAGAGAAGTGCTAAAGACAGAAAAGGCAGGCTAATTATAGCCCCTCCTCTCTTCTTGGTATGGTTAGTCTGCCAAGTGGATATGTTTGTTTTGTTCTTGCTTTATTAAGCAAGACAGGAGGGATGTTAAAATCCTGAACTGATTTAATAGGACTCGGCGGCTTTTAATTGTAAATCTACCTTCTTTACATTTGACAAATTCAATGTGAAAACAAAAGTGACTTTGCTTTACAACTAAACTGTTCATAAGATCAATACAAAGAAACTACAGTTATGTGGCAATTGCATCACACTCTTACACGAAACAAGCAACAACTATATGATATAGAATATATTTTCGGCTGTTGAAATGTATTACAAATACCAAATACGATCAATGTCGAACTACCTTTTTCTCTGGCACAACTTCTTCCTCCCCCCTTGGGTGCCATGCTACTCTCACAGTACCCCTCCGTACCCGTGACGTATTGTCGTTATTGTCTTCGTCTTCATCACTACTCAGGTATTCAGAACTTTCAATAATCAGTCCATACATGGCACCCTTCTTCGAATCAATTCGGCAAACCTCATCCTCATCGAAAATCGTGCAGGTCGCCATATTGGGAAAGGTTGCGCATGAAATAGGGATCATATCGTCTGTCAAAATATATCGAGGCTGTAATATAGCCTACTAATATGGCTGATAATAGGCCAAGGCTACTGGGTGGGGGTTTCTATGACGAAAATGATATTATAACATGTGTCATTTTACATTTTTCATTGATTTCAAGTTCACGTTTCTCTCTCAGTTGATCAAAGATAGAGTGCACGAAAATAAATCAAGGAATAGGCCTTCATGTCTCCACTATCGTCTTCTCCACTCTCCATCCACTCTCCTTCAATAGAAGCCTGTTTGACAGGCCCTATACGCTTTAGTTAAACTTGGACAAAATAACGGGTGCATTTTGTTATATTATATTATTTTTATTTATTTATTTATTTATTTATTATATGTAGGGCCTAAGCCTAAGTCTTAGGGGAGACCGGGGCTACTGGTTAGTTGGACCCTCAGACCCTGGGGTAAGTTGGTCCCTCGTCAATTTATGAAAAAGTAACTGCGAGGTAAAAAAAAAAATTGATCACATCATTTTGTAACTTGAAGTGACCATATCCAATAGGCCTAATGCCAAGAAAGCTTCGGTCGTAAAAAAGTTTTAGGCCTAGGCCTACTTAGGCCCTATGCGGTGGGTGCAAATGAAAGATTTCTGCCTCTATGCTAGGCCTAAAAGTAGGCCTAACTTTATTAAAGAGATTTATTTTCATAGGCTTGTGATCGAATATAGTAGGCTATATGTATCGGGCATCAAACTAAAGCTAATTGTTTCAAGTTTCACAGAAATGTAGCCTATCATCGTAGTTCATTCTAGCACCAAAACTGGCTGCAATCCTTTAAAAAAAATGTGCACTCGTGGCTAGTTGTCCCCCGGTCTCCCCTATTTATCCTTTTCCCTAGGCCTACAGCTAGATAGCTAGGAGGCCTATGTATTGGCCTATAGGCTAGTAAGCACATAAAATGAAATCTAACTGCTGGATTAAACGGATCATATCATTTGAATCAAATTTTCCTCAAGATAAAATGTGTTTTCTCCAATTCACGAATCGTTTTCCCTGCACTAGGATTCGATGTTTTATAGGCCTACTGTATTGTTTTGACGCACATGCACATTTTTTGTAACATTTTCATTGTCTGTTTTGTGTCTCTTTGATTACTATTGATTTCTTTTCATATTGGAGGGTAGGCCTAGGCCTACTGATGATGCAAATAGGCCTATTAGCCTACGCTAGATGTGAGCGTCACTGACTTTAAAAAGTAAATATTTATTTATTTACTTATTTATTTATTTTTTATTTTATTTTTTATTTTTTTATGAAATGACAACTGTTATCGTTAGTGTGCGGAACCTGGGTTTGGCTGAAAATGAGGTCGTGTGAAAGGCGGAGACAAATATCCTGCAAGTAATCAATTTCCTCATCACCTCTAACTCTTACATAGGCCTACATTTCCGTACACCTGCACATTATTTCCTTTATTAACGTTTATGAATAGTCTATTAATGTGTTTATGTATTCATTAGGACTTTTCGTCTTTAAATATCGATTGAGGGAACCTGGCAAATACATGCAAAAATACCGATTTTTTTTTTTAATTTAATGGTTTTATCTATTAACACATCTGGTTATTTACATAGCCAGCTCAAGGGCCTTAAATGAGTTTTCGTGGCAGATAATTTTCTATTATTATTATTATTATCATTATTATCATTATTATTATTATTATTGAAAATTATCACATTATCATATTGTCCCCATTAAATCGTTTTAAATATATGCGGCATTTTAGTATAGGTAGGCCTATTAGTTATCGCGATTTATAGCCATTGAGCAGTCTTTTTCAGTAGGCCTATGTCAAGACCTTCCAAAACTTGGCTTATTCGCGAGCAGGTAGTTTCTCTCTGCCGGTGTGACAGGAACGGTAGTCCTAAAATTGGAAGTCTGGAGTCCCATATTATTAGTACAGGTTAGGGTTGGTCGGTGGATTGGGATAAGTATATGGGACTAATGTCACCTGTATAAAGTGATGGGGGAACAGACTTACGCAAGACTATCATATTTGTCACACCAGGTTTACGTGACCATGGGCATGACCAAGCATCAATAGGACAAGAAAGATCTATATTTGTATGTGTGTGTTCTTTATTAAAGCGTATACATTATTTTATTTATTTTTCCATATTCCATTTTATTCACGAGCACCTTTCACCATGACTATAGAAATGATTATTTAAAACGAGACTCGCATTTAAAAACAAATTATCTGTTTCCAAGGGGGCACAGCAGGCACGTGCCCAAGCTTTGAAGGTACAGATTATGCCGTTTCTCCCCTAACAAAGCAAACAATCAATGCTACTTGAATCCTATATGTTATAATAAAATTCTAATTGTCTTTTATTCTACATAAATATTTCGCTTTCCTTGCGCCACCGCCCCAGCAATTTTTTCTATCAAAGTTTTCGTTTTCCTTTTTTGTTTTTCGGTATTTTGAGAGCATTAAAATGCAGTGCATAGGAAAGATTATACAAAAAAAAAAAAAAAAAAAAAAAAAATACACAACGTGTCCTTGTGGTGTGGGAAGATAATGTTTTTCTACTAAACTAAACTTATTGACATTTTTTCATTGAAATGTTTTGCATAAACGTTAGGCCCTACACTTTAGTATAGGGAAGGGTATCGCAGCTCCCACGATTTATAGCCAGTGGTCAGCATTTTCCCGTAAGCAACAGAAAAGTCTGCCAAAAACTTGGCATTGTCGCTAGCATATAGTTTCACTCTATCAGCTAAACGTGACGACGGACATGTCGAGACATCAGCAGGACAAGATGTAACTCTTCCGTCACTATTAGGTGCTGTGTTCTTGAACAATTCCATATCCGTATTTAACATCATGATGCCTTCCTTGCCTTCTCTATGTTTCTTGGCGTTCCACTGCCATCTGGGTTTGTTTGGATCATCAGGGTTTTCATTTTCCTGAACCCAAAGTTGAGTTTTATCTGATAAAACACGATAAAAGTCGTTGTCAAAAACGTCTCTTTCTATGACCCACTCACCGTCAAAACCAGATGCATCTTTCCTTGCATCTCCTAACGTGTGAGCACCTAAAACGGCTGCTAACTGTTCGGGCGTGAGATCAAAGACTCTTCGGAAGTAATCGACAGTTTCCGTCAGGTTTCCTAAAGCGTTAGGGAAAACTCGCATTTCTGTAGTTATTGGTGATGTTGGGCAGTCTCTTCTTCCCCAGTGAAATGGTATGCGTGGAGATTGCACTTGACTCTGCCCACTTTTCATCTTTGAACCAACTTCTGCTCCAACTATTCCCGCTAAGGCGAAAAAATCAGCTCTAGACATTATCCGATCAATTCGCTCTCTGGCATATAAATCATTCAGTGCATTGAAAGTAGTATCCAAACCAGCGTTATCTGGGTTGTTCAGATTAATACAACCGTCACACCCACCCACACAATCGTGGAAACCAAGTCGCACAGAGCCTGCGATAAGTGGATGGAATATTTTGCCGTTTTCTGTGTCCACCGTGTTTATCATTAAGTCTGACAGCAGCGTCTTGGTGTAACGCAATTTGGTTTGCGTCAAGCACTTATAGCCCGCGGATAATCCATTTAGAAAAAGAATTATCAGAGTGAATACCTTCAGACCTGTGATATTCATCATGCCCATGTGGCCGAAACTGAATTGTCACCCTCTGTCTATTAGCTAGCAGCAACGTCTAGTTAGTAAAGTGCACAGAAGTGTATCCCAATTTATAGTCAAAAATTGAGAAATTAATTAGCAAAATTCTTTTCTCGCGTGAATACGATGTCAATCTGAAGTGGAAGTAAACTTTCTGCACCAAAAACAAGACACCCATAAAAAACCAGGTGATGACATTTAATGTCACGATTTTCCCCTTGAACGGAACACCTTGACTCAAAAGGTACTGTGGGCCTTGTCCTTCAGAGTTAAACTTTTTTGCTGAGGTTTTCACTCTTTTGATCACTTAGCAATTAACAAGCAATTGTTTGTATGACATGAAAAGATAGCATTTTGTGTTTCAAAATAAAGTGATTTGTGCTTTTTGTTTTTCTTTTAATTTTGTAGCTCAACGTTTCTTCGCAAATGTGTGTGTACATACGTGTGTTTGCGCGTGCCGCAGCGCGCTTTTAAAACATCTCAGCTATTTCTGTTATTCTGTATCCAAGAGTGATGGCTGTATCAATTTCACTATTTTATGACAGGCCTTGTTGTGGTGCTGCCTCTCAAAATAATGTACAAGGCATATATATGTTAAGATGCCTAGCTCACACTTCAGAAGTTATTTTATAGGCATTAAAACAGACTGGCTTATTTTAATGCAGGTGCAGTGCACCAAGAACGTGACTCTAGCCACGGTCTTATCATGTTGTCTTATGCAAAACGCGTGTTCTTTGAACTCGATGCGAATACGTAAAATAAAAAGCGACACTTCTTTTGTTTCCTTTCATATGAAGCTTTGAATATATTTGAATATGTTAGTTAAGAAGAGGACAAGGGAGGAGACTGTCCTGGAAGAAGTGTCATTTTTGAGTCGTCCTTTCCTAAAGTAAAGATTTGTTATATCCGTCTCTTTTGCCCTCTACCACTACAAAGGAATCTTCAAACTGTACGATAGCTACGATATTTTCCTGAAATACCTTCGAAGCGGGTGAGGTGATAAGGTGATATCTGTTCCTCCTTGATGTCCTTTATCAACAAAATTCACGTCTGAGGGCACGGGGAGGAATGGCCATCTGTCTAAAGACATGCCCCGAATTTTAGAACAGTTATGTCTCGTTTTTTAATCAGTTATAGATGTTAGATAATTCGCCCAACCCTTAGCAGTTAGTCGTCTCAAAATTCAAGATACGTATCACCATAATAATATATTGATATATTTCCATGGTCTCACATGGACATCCAACGCGTTGCCAGCAAGGAAGCGAAGCGTAAAATTTTCCCTGCTTGTGCTATTAGGAAAATTTCACTAATAGATTTTACTTTTTTCGTTTAAGCACCGTATAGGTGACTAATAACTCCATGCAATTTTGAAAATCGCGATAAAAGTGCTGTTGTTTCCTGACCGGAAAACACTTTAAACAACAATGCACAATCTTTACTAATTTTTGGGAGGTGGGAGCTGGCGCCAAGGGATTATAATAAAGCAATTAAAACCACGCCATCTCCTCGAAATTTAATTGTATTGCTGCTTAAATGTATTATTCCACTGATATGTCGTCACCACGAAAACACCTCTATGAAGTGGATGGGCATTTTGCCAATTTGGACACTCACGGTTTTAGTATTTATCGGAAAATAACTCTATGATCAGGATTGGTAAACGATTTGTTATCAATGCAACCCTCTATTTGTTAGATGCTGTGTTCTGGGTTTATTCCATATAAGTGTGCAGCTTTCCATCTGAAATATGTGCTTATATTTGCATTAGAGTTTATATACGTAGGTCTATACATTGTTTTATTTATCTGTTTCTTCATTTCTTCACTTATTTACTTATTCGTTTATTATAAGCTTTCGTTTGGATATAATGAGACGGAAATATGTCACAAAATGGTCACAAAATGCCCATATGTCAGGACATTCAGTAAGCTATCAGGTCTCATATTAGTTTGTCTCCAAATATATTCAATTAAATGGAACATAAAACACATTCATAAAATGTATCCATGGGCACTGCAAGAAGTTCGGTATTCTGATACGAATATAAGAAACATTTTTTTGATTCTAGTAAAATTTCGGGAACATGAACTTATTCGTGCTAATGAATTCTTTTCTGTGTGTTTTCATTAGTCTTTTTAAATCTATAACAACCTTTTATTTCTTATTAAGGCTGGGAAGTTCAAACAAGGCCCATACCTGTAAACTGAAATTTTATTGACTCATTGATGTAACTTGGGAAACTAATATGTGCAAAATATGTCCATTTTTCTGCAACCGAATTGTTAATCATTTTCCACATTTGTATTTCTGATATCTCGAGTACCTGGGGAGCAATAAAATACCTGTTAAGATACATTAGAAAGAAAAGGAGATACATGCTCTACTGCACAAGTCGGTGTAGTGTCAAAAGAACTTCTTCATTATGATTGATTGCTTAAAGATGCATACAAAGCGAGGAGGCATGTCATACAGTAATCGATTGTTTTTGCCAACTCTTATATGGATGATTATGCTATTGCGCGTGCAACAGTAATATGCCAGGCATTAAGTACGTTTGGCGGACATTTACGAACTGGAGAGACGCATAAGCAGATCAAATTTAAGACGTGAAATTTGAGCGAAGTGCAGTTTTAAGTTTAAGTTTTTAAGTTTTTATTAATTTGGTTTAACCATCGGCATGTGGACTTGGTTTGAGTTGGGTAAAAAACTAGTAGTGGTGATTTAAATGCGTTACAGGGAATCTACAATCCCTTTGTGTGCATCTTTAAAATGAAATTATTAACATACTGTTTCCAAAATCATTTTAGACGAATTTTACACTTTAGTATAGGGAAGGGTATCGCAGCTCCCACGATTTATAGCCAGTGGTCAGCATTTTCCCGTATGCGACAGAAAAGTCATCCAAAAACTTGGCGTTGTTGCTTGCGTATAATTTCACTCTATCAGCTAAACGTGACGACGGACATGTCGAGACATCAGCAGGACAAGACGTAACCCTTCCTTCGCTATTAGGTGCCGTGTTTTTGAACAATTCCATATCCGTATTGAGCATCATCAACCCCTTCTCACCTTCCTTGCCTTTCTTTGCGTTCCACTGCCATCTAGGTTTGTTTGGATCATCAGGGTTTTCATTTTCCTGCATCCAAAGTTGAGTTTGATCTGATAAAACGCGGTAAAACTCGTTGTCGAAGACGTCTCTTTCTGTAACCCACTCGCCGTCAAACCCAGATGCATCTTTCCCTGCATCTCCCAAAGTGTGAGCACCTAAAACGGCTGCTAACTGTTCGGGGGTGAGATCAAAGACCCTTCGGAAGTAATCGACAGTTTCCGTAAGGTTTCCTAAAGCGTTCGGGAAAACTCGCATTTCTGTAGTTATTGGTGATGTTGGGCAGTCTCTTCTTCCCCAGCGAAACGGTATGCACGGAGACGTAAAACATCTGGTAGAAAATCGCGGACGCCAAAATCCATAAAAGTGTCTCTTGTAGCGGTAATGATGTGGGAAACCATAAAAAAGTCCACGGAAACCAAAATAGGGGCTACGGTTGAACGCAAAATAAGGCATTCTTCTGGACTGCATTGGACCCATCCCGTATTTCATCTTTGAACCAACTTCTGCTCCAACTATTCCCGCCAGGGCGAAAAAATCGGCTCTAGACATTATCTGATCAATTCGCTCTCTGGCATATAAATCATTCAGTGCATTGAAAGTAGTATCCAAACCAGCGTTATCTGGGTTGTTCAGATTAATACAACCGTCACA